CGGGATGTGCGATATTATATTTCTGAGTAACAAGTCAAAATTTCAAACTTAAGTCACAACTCAGAATTTCTGATATGTCTCGTAAGGTATATTGCCTGCTTGCTCCCATGCTGTTACAACTCGGATGGCTTTTGCCGACTTTTCTCTCCCATATGTGCAATCGTTCGTCGTTTTCGACTGTCATCGTCCATGTCTCGCAGCCGTACATAACTTATCACTGTTACTTATAGGTTGATCTGGGCTATCCTGGTGAGTTCTTTACCTCGTTTATTCCTGGTATCTGATATTGCCATCAGTAATCCTTGTTCCGAGATATTTGAATTCTTTAATTTTGTCAAAATTATAGTCCCGATCGATAGTTATATTCTAACCATTTCTGTTCTCTGAACCTTCCGGCTTGTGTACATATATTTGGTCTTATTTTCGTTGATTTGGAGTCCCCATCCTCTCTGCTTCCTTCCTTCCTGTAACGAAAGTTTCTCTCATTTTTATGCTGCTATTTATCATCAGATCTACATCGTATACAAGGGCCATAGTAGATCCGGACCTTCTCGACGGAATATTGAAGTTGGTTCTTCAATTCTCGTTCTCCTTGTGATATATTTCAGAGTCATATTGAAGAGTTATTGTCATATCCCAAACTTGCACTGAGGTCCTTCCATACACATCCTTACCAGGTTTTTGTTGAAGTCAAGTTCTTGCTTTGCTATCCACAGTTTCGTTCTACATACTCGATCAAATGCCTGTTCGATGTCTATGAAAATTTGATGTCTCGATCACATTCTGAGAATTTCTCCATTGTCTGGTGAAAATCTGAATCCATATTGATAGTCCCCGAGTATATCTTCAGTATATGTTTTGGTTCTTTCTAGTACTATATTCAAAGAACTTTATAAGTTGCGGTGGTACTAGTTAGTTGGTACATTGCTTTTTGTCTCCTTTTATGTGGATTGGTAAAACAACCCCTTCCTTATTATTTTTGAGCCTTCCGTATAAATGATCTGTCGTTGAGTAGTTTTTCAGAATTTCCTTGTCGTTACTTATGAGCTCTTTGTAGAAAATTTTCATTTCTTGGAAATATTGTCTCGCTTGCCTGTTTTTATGATTCTGTTCCAGTTCCTTAACTATGTTTCTTTGATGCTTCCTTTTTTTGCTTCTCGTCAATTTTGTTGCCTATTGAAATTTCCTTACTTGGTTGGATCTGGATTTTAGTGTGTCTCTCACTTATCGCCTTCAAGAAGTCATCTCTTTGTTTTCGTCTTCCTTGTCTCAAGTATTTCGTCTGATGTACTTCCAAGCCGAGTCTATGCTGTTATCTGACCCAGTTTTTCTTGTTGTCGTTGGATGAATTTGAGGGCTCTTTGGAGACGCTATTCTAGATCGTGTCTTTGTTCTTGCCAGAAAATGATCAGTGCCACCTCTCAGGATTCGTAGGTCGAAGCAGTTGCTACTTCTCCTGAGCACGTGGTATATCTCATTTCTGGCGACGCGGTTTGTTCGTATATGTTGTTATATACGAACATGATTGACTTTGTTAGGATTATTTGTTAGGTTTGTAGGTTTCGCTTTAGTCTTTCGTGGACAGCTTGTGACTGACCCTGCCAGGATCTCCTTGAATATCAAACCTGTACCAAATTGGTGCTCTCTTTCGCTTCCACTGAAGAACATGGTAGATTTGATGGTTTGTACCGTGTCATTACTGGTCTATCTGATTTCTTGTATAGAATTTCAGTTCTCTGACCACCTGAGTTACGGCTCCGGGTCGATATTAATGTAGCTCGTTCCATGTTCGTTTCGAGGGATGTGTTTTGTTTTCATAACTATTTGTTTGTTTAATTTCTCATCCTGAACTTGGGACGAAGCAACGGAAATGTCAGAAATTCTGACACGTTTCTCAGAAATTCTGACGTGTTTCTCAAATATTCCAATTTATGTCAGAAATTCTAACTTGTTTCTCAGAAATTTTGACTTAAGTCAGGAATTCTGACATGTTCTTCAGAAATTCCGACTTATGTCAAAAATTGTGACATTTTTCTCAGAAATTCTGATATATTCTTCAAAAAATTAAGCAAACTTATACTTATCTTCGATTTTTTGTTCAGCGTTTTCGTACTTTCGCATTGCCGAGGGATTATATTGGACGGACGATTCGTTCAAATGAACTACTAAATGATATTTCTAGTCAATGAGCTATAAGAGTAAAAAATGACATTCGTTGTTTAATTTTTGTGATATTTAAAAATTTGTTATAGACGAAATACCAGTCGTTGTAGTGTTGTAAATATTTTTTAAGCAATCTTTTAATTTATTTAAATGATTTCGCGAAATTACTCAAATAATGCGGATGGACGCACACCGAGGCAGTTGATAATTTTCCACTGAAATTAAAATAAACTTAACAATTACGCTATAAGAACTGGGACTGCGAGAGTAATGATTTCATATCGAAAGCCACCTTTAAAGGTCTGTTTAAGTTTAAGTATGGACGTGGTCCAAGTTACCAACTTACTCGACATCCGGCATCTCCTTACCAAAAATAATCTTAAATAAAGATTTAGATATTATTCCTCTTTGTGCTATGTACAATCATTTATCAAAATTTGGAAAGAATAATAGCATAACCCCCATACTGTAAATCCCATCGACAAAATAAATTACAAATAAATCGAGAGACGCATTTTTAATTCGCAACCCGATTTAGACTACCAATGGGCAAAAGGTGAGGTGATATCAGTTGATAGATGTTTGTCTGTATTTTTTTTTTATTGTATTTTGATTTGCGTTTATCCGCACGACACGTATCTGTTAGTTTTATTTAAAAATCGTTTTATAGAATTGCACGGATTCGTTTGATTTTGTTTGAACACTTTTCCGCTGTTTATTCGTCCGTATATATTTTTTATGCAGTGCGTTCCGGTTGGATTATGACATGTTAATACAATAGGTAAAATTGTCTATTTGAAAAAGTTTAAATAAAATTTTGATACTCAATAACGTAAAGCAAAAATATTGTAAACAACATAATGAACATATTAAAGTTTTTTGCCACTGGATGTACTTTTAGATTTGTCATATTTGCCATTGCTGCACAGGGTGTTCAAAATAAGATCCCCTACCCTCTTAATTTAGAAATTACAAACAATATGAATTTATAATTTTTAATTATAGTCTAACCGTTTTCGATAAATGTTTTTTTTACATGAAATTTTTTTTCCGTATTATAATAATGCCATAGTACAGCTGGTAAGTTTTGTTATTAGTTGCAGAAACGTTACTTTTCAAAACAGCATCTATTTAGATGTCAGTTTGACACTGGTATTCTGTCATTCATTTATTATTTGATTAATCTGATTTTTTCCATTAAAAGCCAGAACATATTCGTTAAAGCAAAGATTGAATTTATATAATTGTTATATTAAAAAGAACTCCCTTGTACAAAAAATTGTTAATTATTTTTAGTACCCGCAAACGTCATTTTTTACATAAAAATCAAGATTTGTGAGACTTAGGTATAGGACATTATGCTGTTTAAAATAAGTCCCCGCTATCCAATCTAAGAAATGGTAAGATCTACAAAAAATGTTTAATACAAAAATTTCTCGTATTGAGTTCAGCATATGCTTATTGGTATTTAGTTTTTTCAGCCCAGATACAAACTTATTTTAAATAGAAAACTGTATATGTTGACAACACACTCGGAGAGTGTGTTCCATGACAAGTTCAACGATATGTTATTGTAATTTCGGCCTGTCACTCGACGTTCTTTATTTTTTGATACAGACTACAATTGTCATAGAGAGAATATATTTAATGCCTTTCAATTTTTATGTATTTAAAATAAAGGACTAAATTTTATGTTGCGTTATGTCTAAGGTGATGAATTCGCTGCAATGTTGCCACGTTTCGCTTTGTGTAAATTTACTCTATTTTTTTGAATGCCGCCTCCCACAAATTGGCTTATAATTAAAATAACCATTAACCAATTTTAAAGACATAAAAGTGGCAGTTTAAGGAACCTGTCTTTTTTTTTGATACACTTCATTTTGGTTAGTTTTGAATATTTTTTTTCATATTAATAACATTAGGTGCTTATAAATAAATTAGAATTATTTTATTTATAAATTTACGCTTACTAGGCTGTTTAAATAATCAACAAAGTCTAAAAGTATAAAATATTAGTTTTCTCTTTTCTGATTTTTGACAGTGAAATTAGTTATTCAATCAATATGAGTCTTAATGATTCTCTATCATTATGTGTTGTTGCAATTGCATTTTAATGCTAACTTTAATTATGAAGCAATAAATAAAGGGTTTACAAAATTTACGAGCCTTGCAATATTGCAACTCCGTAAAAATTGTTAAAACTCTTTCTCTCTGCCTCTCTGCGACAGTTTCGTTATATGTCAAAAAATAAGGAACAATGCCTCTGGAACGAAGCTTTGCGTCACATATACCCACTGCTACACATCGTTGAACTCGTCTTAAAATGCACCCTCTGTAGGTGTTCTGTTTAAAATAAGAAAGTTTTGACTTACTCGTAAAAAACTTATCTCCTAATACATAAAACCCGAATAGTTTGAACTATAAAGTATTTTCGCATCTCACAGAACGAAGAAAAATTGCTTACGATAGGATTAATTTGACACATTGGTATAGGCATAATTATCAAAAAATAACATTTCGCGGGTCTCTATGATTGTTACTAGTTTATAAAGTACGTAGAGCTAGTTTGTATTTCGTAAAAGGAGAAACTAAAACTGAACGAATTAACTAAACAATATTGTTGTTCTAATCAATCGCACAATCGTGAGCATAATTTAAAAAATATTTTTGCTTCCTACGATTTGGTATCAAAACTTTACTAAATATATATATATATATATATATATATATATATATATATATATATAAATTGGTTCAAAATTCTTCCGGAACAATTTTTTTAGACTCCTACCTCCACAAGTTTCCCGTTTGAAGTTTCATTTGTCGTTTTCCTGTAGACGACCAGAAAGAGCTGCTGAAGATGAGGACGCAAAACAAGAGCCTCGACAACTTTTACACGTCGACGCCGACAAGTAAGACACCAAACGGCAACATATCCAATCTATCGTTGGACGTCGCCAACGGCAACTACAGCATTCCGAATTTGCACGAGAAATCGACCAATTACGAAACGGAACAGCTGATGAACAGCCTCAACGCGAACATCAACGCGGGTAGCAACGGAACCACGACCACCATCATCGCCGACATCGAGAACGATGTCAAAAAGATCAAGCCGCGACATCTGGTCGACAAAACTTACTTCATCGCGAAAGAAATTTTTATGACTGAGCTCACTTACAAAAAGGACTTGGACGTTGTCAATGTGGTAAGCACTCCTGCTGAGTCTTTTGAAAATCCGAAATTTCAACCTTAGAATTTCATTTAATCCCCATTAGTAATTAATTACCAGCTTATCGGGCTATTAGCCTACCCTAGATACCGGTTATTAGGTGTTATTTTATTGTGGTTTACATCTTACATGTTCGGTCCCTCAAAGACCAAATTCCATTTGAGATGCCAGAAGTTTACAGCATTCCATGCATATGCGGCAAAGAATACATTGAAGAGGCCGGACGAAAAATATCAACTAGGCTCAAAGAACACGAAAGAGCCTTACGACTCAGACAAATAAAATCATCAGCTGTTGCCGAACACAATCACGAAACCGGATATAATTTTTTTTCGATAAAACTAAAATTCTTGCATGTAATGATTTCTTCTACCAACGAAAAATCCAAGAGTCCATAGAAATCTATAAACAACCTAACAATCTTAACCGCGACTCAAGTCTTTATCTGTCACTAATATGCGAATCAGTCATCCGAGATTGTGTTTAGCTCCGGCCCCCTCAAACACTATATAAGCAGGTATAGAGAAAATGCGAGTGCGACTAAGCAAAAACCGACGCAGGAGGAATCCAGAAGTTTTGTAAAAACTATTACAGTAGCCTGTGGAAGTTTCTTCATTTAAAAATCAGGTATTGGATTTTAAGAAAACTGCTTGCACACGTTCTTCCATATTTTTTTCTTGCATTTTTTGCACAGAAAATATACAATTTACCAAGCTCCTGTTTTAAATGGAACACCATTTTTTTAATCCATTTTCGAATTCTGCACGCATTGACAATTTGCTAATTTTTCCTATTTCCTATCAAGTTCTAGATTTTAAATCATCTAAATTTTGTGGTTTTTCCTTATACACTTTTGATTTTAAATGCCCCCAGAGGAGAATAATATCTGGAGTTCTTCCAGGCCATTGTATGGATCGCCTTACCACCAATCGACTGTCCGGATAATACCGTATTTAAATATTCACGCACTTTCGAGCAAATCTGTCTATCTGGCATATCAGGCTGATTCGGATTTGGGAAAGAAACTGCGAGAGTACGATTTAAGTCATTTTAAAGAAATTGTAAATATCTGGCACCAGTAATATTTCGATCGAAGAAATAAGGTTCAATAATTTTGTAATTTAAAATCTCTGGCCATACATTTTTTTTCTGATGTTGTGTATGACTTCGTCTATCGGGACTATTTGTATTTCAATTCCTACACTTTTGTTTAATTACCGTACCCTTAAAAACAAAACTAGGCTTCATCACGATGACGATGAAAAAATAGATTTAAGTTGCACATTTCTATCAGTTTCACAAAACTGCAGTTTGCGGTCGGGAGCATCTTCGTTTAGCTCCTAAAGCAATGCAATCTTGTACGGAGGATACTTTTCTTCTTTTAATATACGCAAATCTGTTCGTCGGCTGACATCATTATTTGAAGCTGCTTCAGAAGATGCGCGACTTCTTATAAAATGTTTAATCTTGTATTCTCATTAGTTTTTGAATGACCTAGCCATAGACATAGAATACAAACATCTTTGTAAGTTCTCGTTTCATCTCCGTATCCAAGAAAAATTCTGACAATTTAAGAACTTTACTGGTTCTAGCTACTTACCTGTTCGCTTCAAAATTTAATTTCTGTTTTTTTATTCTTTTGCTCATAAAAAGGAAAGTATACTACGTGACTTATGAGTGACATTTTACACAGAATTAAAACATGGATTTTTAAAAAAATGGTGTTCCATTAAAAAAAAAAAAAAGGAAGTTGGTATGGTATAAACGATAGCAATACTGCTGGGCGTTTTTTTAACATCCAAAAAGTTTTTACGAAAAAAAAACAGGTAATTTAAAACTGCCGTTTTCATTAAAGTTGACTAAAATTTTGGTAATATTCTTAACGGAATGGGTCATGGTCATGGTGATCACAATAAATCCGAATATTATTCTAGCGATAGTACCTTTGTCCAAAAAATCCATAAAAATTATCCCTTCACGCAACCCCATAACGCAGTGTAAGCATTACATTTCCAAAAGACGGAGCTGCACGCGCATTAACTGAAGGCTGTTCTTCACTATTCTTTGGGTTGACTTTTGATTTAAGGATTTAAATAAGGAATCCAAGTTTTGTGAATGGTTAATCGCCAAAATTAGTTACCACAGGATAACAGCTCTTGAAGTTAACCACAAGTATCAGATCTATTGAGTTTTTGTAATGTTGTTTTCGTTTATTTGGGTTTGGCCGCTTACCGCAGGTCGCTGCGTTCAGACCTTTCACGTCTGCACGTCTCCCTAGAAGAGCTCTGGCACTGTCACGGAAATTTTAGACTCACTGAATTGTGGTACACAGCTGGTTAGGAGATGAATTGGAGTTCCTTCCTCTTCTAAACACCTCCATGATATGGATTTTTTCTCTCAGAGTCAGTAAATTCTCCTTGCAGTTGTTTAATAATTTCCGGTATTTTCACACCTTATTTGCAAAAAGATATAATATTGCTCTTTGAGATTTTGCTACGTCTTTCATGGTTACAAAAATAGTACCATGAAAGCGCGTTTATATCACGAACACCACGAAAGCGCTAAAAAGCCACCAAAAGTAACATATTTCTGACAGAAGTCAGAATTGCTGAGAAACAAGTCAGTATTTCTGACATAAGTTTTTCGTTTTTGAACTTTTTGTTACTACTATTACCAAAATTGTTATTGTTAAATATCAGTGTTTTATTGTTTCCGCACCTCTGCAGCTTTTAAGTAATTATGGCTAAAATCAGAAAAACTGCCTTGAAATTTTTGAATGCAAGTCATGAACCTACAGAGTTGGATGCCGTTTCCATTAAACATTGAAAATTGTAAAAAGTGTTGCACTGCACTAGGTAGTTGCATAAATATTTGAAGACATGTTTGGCACTAATAATATTGGCAGTACAATTTCCAGAACTTTGGAAACATCCATCCTAAACATTTTTTAAAATATAATTTTTTTTCCAGTGGTTCCGGGACGAGGTCGGCAAAGACGAACCCGAGGAATGTTCGATACTGCTGTCATTGATCGCGCCTCTGGCTCAGGCTCACGGATCGCTGGTCAAAGATTTGGAAAAGCGGTTGCAGGGATGGGACGGTAAAGGGGGTCCCAAAGCCTCCCCCGGACGAATAGCAGACGTTCTTTTGGCTCACCTGCCTCCCCTCTTACCGGTAAGCGACTATAACATTACCCGCGTGACTTCCGTTCCACGTTTCCATTTTCAGTTTTACGAGGAATACCTGGACGGGCACATTGTCGTTCTCGAAAGGCTGGACACCGCGTTCAAGCAGAACGCCCACTTTGAGCGGCTCTATCGCGACTTCGAAACGCAAAAGGTGTGCTACCTCCCCTTCACCACGTTCGTGTTGAAGCCCCTCCACCGGCTGCTGCAGTACCAGTCATTGCTCGACAAGTTGCTGGCTCATTACGGGTCCAGTCATCCGGATAGAGCCGACTGTTTGATGGCCAGCGACACTTTAAAAGACCTGATCCCCCCAGTGCGCGAAACTTTGGAACATTCCGAAAATTTGGCGATGCTCTGCGAGCTGCAAAGGGACATTACCGGCTTCGACAATCTGATCCAACCGGGCAGGAAGTTCATCCGGCATGGGTGCCTGTTAAAACACTCGCGGAAGGGCTACCAGCAGAGGATGTTCTTTTTGGTGAGTTTGGAGAAGTTTTGTATTTATTAAAGTCTTATAAAACTCCACGGACTTTGTTGTTAAATCCTTTATCGTTAAAACATTATATAACTTTGGAGTTAGTGCGTTTAATAATAATACAGTAGCTTCCCTCAGTAGCGACAACCCTTGGGGATCAAATATTAGTCGCTTCAAACGAAAACAGAAATTTAATTTATAATTTTAATTACAAATTACTGAAAATAAATTCAACTAAATGCACCCTATATGCACAAGGTGCCCTATTATGAATTACCAAATAGATAACTTTGTTAAAATTGATCCTGCAATGAAAATTAAATTACCAAAGTTGGAGCATTTTTCCTAAACCTTCCGATTCTGTAATCAAAAACATAAAATCAAAATGTTATCTGTTAAATTTTAACAGGTCGACATTTTTTAAAATTTGATTTGAATGTGTCAATCGATTGCATTTTTTCGCCTGATTTCAAATATATATGAGGTGTTAGAGTTATTTTTGACAGATTTTGAGATGTCGCGCATTTTATCTAATATTATAATAATAAGGAAGTCAATAACTGTTATTTCAAATATCTAATTAGCCATGCAAACTAATTTAGTTGCTTTTTTTTTAAATAATAAAAGAGTTTATTTGTTGTATGATTTTATATTATGTAATTATTATTACAAATTTTAAGTCAAATATAGTTTCATTTATTGGCAACATATCACCTACTACTTATAACAAAAAAAATATTACATACTTAAATAATATCAAAAAACGTCTTACTCAAAAACATCGTCTTTAGTATTCTAAATTATTTCACAAAGATGTTCCAAATGACCACCATTCATCTGGACGCATACACGAAAACGTTTGTGTAGGTTTTTCGATACATCATCTTAGAAGTTCTGGTTGCCCATTTAGGGCTTCAACTTCGTCTCATACTCTGTTTTGTATTTTCAGAATTGTTGCCGGCCTTGTTCTATATACTCTCGAATTTTAGGAATCCCCATAAAAAGTTGTCAATGGAAGTAAGATCTGGACTATCTTTTCCTAATTCCTATTTTTATAAAACTTCTGGATAGTGGAGCGCCTGGGGCGTTAAAAATACAAAAACCTCGAATTTTTGGCTAGAGTGAATAAAATTTCAAAATTCAAAATGAAATGTTTAGCTAATAGCATAAATAAAAAAGTTTACCTATTAAAAAAAATTGTGATCTTGATTTTAAAAAAAAATTGATTAGTGTAATAGTTCAAATAGTGAAATTCCTATGAGCCAGAAATTTTTTTTTTTTTTATTAAAATTAAATGAACAAATATATTTATATAAAGAAATTAGTTGGAAAAATGAATTAAATGAAGGAAAAATAAATAATTAATATAAAATTTAATATAATTTTTTTTTTGTTTATTTAAATAACTTACATTTTCGTACATATCAAACATTTTCTTCAACTTCATTTATTTGAATAATAAGTGGGCTGTTGAAACAACTATTATCGCTACACTGTACACATGCTACACTACAATCAAACCACTCTTCCGGCATCCACAAGCAGCTCCGCATCCTTTTTTGCAATTACAAAATAACATTTTCAATAGATTATCCGGAGCTGGCAATTGATTCATTGTTACTGGGATGAACGTGTTATTGACATGCTTCCACCCCCAATTTTCAATATTTACATCATTTCCCAGCGATATTTGGATTTGCAGATACACTCTTTTTAAGTGCTCAAACGCTGCATCAGTTGTAGGAGGCAATGATGACAAAATAACACTTGTATTTTTGGCAGTTGCTTTTATGAAATAATGGAACCTCAACGTATTCAAATCTTTAATTTTTACTGGAGCTCCATATAAAGCCAAAATGCATGCTACACCCGCTTGTAATATATTGCTTGAGTCTTCGTTGCTATTTTTAAATATTTTTCGCAAACTTAATTTTGCCTCTATTGAAAAACGCAGATGTAGTATCGCAACCCGTAAAGGCACGTAAAAAACGAATATGTTCTTTACATTTCGATAGCAATCGTTCTAAACTTTTCGAAGAAAATATTTTATGTGGAACTTTACCTTGGGACGGTTTTAAAAAATAAATTTCACGATCCCCTTCCGCTAATGCTGTTAATATGACCAACACGTCAATATCTTCTGAAACTACAACTAGCTGCTTTCAATATGTGAAACTCCTCGTCTTCTTTACTGTTATGTTTTTGGTTGTACCAATTTTCAGTCAATATATCGTGATTAATCTTCTTAAAACATATATTGGTATTGGCTGCAAATTTGCTTGATATAATAATATCATCATGATAGCGGTCTATCAGTCGTTTTCTAATAGTCTTTTCATCAGGGATATGTTCAGTAGTGATAGCGTTTTTCAACTCTTGCATGGTGAATTGACAGTCATCATTTTCTTCAATGTACTTGTAAATTTGCTGCATTGCTGTATCAATCATCAAACTTCTCGGACCAACAATCTTTTCAACATTACTCTGGTGAATAGAAGTATTAAGTGACTTATAACAATCTGCATGATATTTTGCTTCAAGTGACTGTAAATCAGTTATATCAGAAATTCGTTTCAGAATTTCCCGATAATAATGATCTTTCTGTACGGCAATAAAATTCATGATAGAGTGATTTAAAACTGGAGTATTGACATACGAAATTTGTCGTCGCCGATTTTTATTTAATTTAGCTTCTTTATTTTTATCAGCTTCTTGGCCACAGAGGAAACAATTCTTCTCCCAATCGAAGCCAGATAAATCAGTGCTACTTCGGAGCTTCTTTTTCGGAGTTGAAAACGAAGTGTTATGAGTTTTTTTTTACACATATCAATATAATTTTTATTAATATATTTTTGCCGACAACCTGCATGCGCATAAACAAATTCAGATTGTAAATGAGGTAATAGTCCATCCTGTCGTTCACTTGAAGCAGTTCGTAGCGTGGGTACCCCTCTGCTTATTTTTACAATATCACCCAAATCAGAATTGGCTTCGGAAGATGAACCTAATTTTTCACATATTATGCAGCTGTGCTCGTCAGCCATGCTTTGGTTTATTGTTCGAAAACTGTAATCGAAAATAAATAAAGAACTCAGTAATAAGTTAGTTTTGTTTAATTCGTTATTATTAAAGTCCGATAGTTGAGGCAAAATTGTACTTTACACAAATTTATATCACGATATATTTAAAATTATTAAAGTAATAAAAAATTATTGGACTATTTTTTTTCAAAAATTGAATTTCCTGCGAAAAAGCCTTCATTTGAGAATTGGTTATATAAAATGAATATCTAAAAAGTTACACCTATTTTAAATAAAATCGAAAATGATGTCTTTCTAATTATTAACTAAAAAATTCTGTAACTTTTTAATTATTATTTCTATCATTTTTTTTATCAGAACCTTTTTTGTAGAAAATTATATTTTTGATTCAAAATATAGAATAAAAATTATTGATATTTCTATTAGTTAATAAGATATTTAAGCAATTATTTTGCTCCAACTTTCGAAATTTAATAATATTTTTTTCATGTTAATCCACCTTTTATCATCAATTATTTGATCAATAATCTAATAATTAATAAGCTTATAAATTTTTAATAACATTACTTACATGAAATAAAAATATTCACACACTATACAAAAACACACAACACGTAAAGAACACGTTTCATTTAAAACTAGCCGAAAAATTTTTGTTTAGTTCCACTTTGCAGCTGTCGTTCTCCCCTCTACGTTTTATTACACGTTCAAGGTCTCGACGATCCTTATGATACACACGGGTATACCTTTGAAAGACTTTAGTTTACGTTTATTTTGGTAAAATCAAAAGTACACAACAAAAATTTAAAACAAAAAGAAGTGTACAAGAATTAATTTTTTAGGTTTTTTTGTTAAAATAATTAAAAAATTAAACGCACAAAAAAATTTTTGGTAAACATTGCAATTTTTAATATAAAAAACAAGAAGCCACGTCACCCATGCGAATTTATTCACTCTAAAAAAAGTCCGAGGTCGAAAACCCCAGGCGCCCTACTAGGATTCCTCCTGTGTCGGTTTTTGTTGAGTCGAACTAGCTAGCGTTTCGCCAATCATCCTGAACCCATAACTGTTCCCGACGTTTGTTCAAAAATTTGACCCTTATATATATATATATATATGATCCCCACAAGCATTTTTCAATTAAGGTGAGAAAGTTTGGTTCCAGATTCTCGGATTTTGCCACTGCTATCCTTCCTTATATTCAAAATATCGCTGACCAGATATCAAAAGTTCTAAAGAAATATAACGTCAAAACCAGATTTACCACTTGTCCAAAAATCTCTCAACATCTTTGATCCGTCAAAGACAAAATTCCATTTGAGATGCCAGGAGTTTACAGCATCCATGCATATGCGGCAAAGAATACATTGGAGAGACCGGACGAAAAATATCAACTCAAAGAACATGAAAGACCCTTAAGACAGGCAAATAAACTCATCAGCAGTTGCCGAAGAAAATCACGAAACCGGACATAAAATTTTATTCGATAAAACTAAAATTCTTGCATGTAATCAATTCTTCTACCAACGAAAAATCTGGGAGTCTATAGAAATCTATAAGCAACCTAACAATCTTAACCGCGACTCAGGTCTTTACCTGTCACCAATATGGGAATCAGTCATCCGAGACAGTGTTTATGCCCCTCATTTAGCTCCGTCCCTCTCAAGCAATATAAAATCAGGTATAGAGTAAAATGCGAGCCAGTTTCAGTCAAGCTCTGAAGAAGCCAACAAGGTAATTGACAAAAGGTTAGCTAGTTCGACTCAACAAAAACGGACGACCGAATCCGGAAGTTTTATAAAAAGTATTACATTAGCCTGTGGAAGTTTCTTTGAAAAATTGGTCTCTTACGTCTCTCGCATTGTGATATGGTGCCAATATGATTGTCGGCCAAATATTTTAATTGGCAAGGAAATACCGACGAAATGTCCAACTTTTTTGCTTATGTAAATACCTTTTTAATATATAATGGCAGTTAACTTCGCAAGTTTTTTTGAAATAATAGTTATTGACTTTCTTACATCCAATATTAGAGAAAATGCGCGATATTTCAAAATTCTTCAGAAATAACCCTAACAACAGATATTTGAAATCAGAAGAGAAAATTCAATCGATTGACATACATATTCAAATACAGGGTATTGAATTTAAAAAAAAAATTCGACCCGTTAAAATTTGTCAGATACAATTTTAGTTTTATATTTTTTATTGCAGAATCGGAAGGTTTGGGAATAATGCATCAACTTTGGTAATTTAAACGTCATCGTAGGATCAATATTAACAAACTTATCCATTTGGTAATTTACAGTGGGACACCCTGTATAGGATGACCGTTTATGAGGCACCACCTTATCAAAGGAGCTAAAAGAGATTAACATTCAAATGTTGATTGAGTTGATTTAAACTTTCGATTTATCATATTTTCATGTGACTCGATTCGTCGTGATCACTGCCAGCTTTTTTATTTCAAATGGAACACCCAATATATTAATACTTATTTCGACTAAAGAGAAGTTCAACAATGTATAATATATATATATGGACCGTTTCGGAATTATTGACGTTCATCTTCATATTCTTGTCGTTTATTTATTTTGCAAAACAAAACAAATGAAAAAAAAATTGCAGCGTAGCAGCACTTCGCGCATCATCAGTTTTCTCAATTCAACGATATATAATACGAGGGGCCTACAAATCACTGTTTCTGAATTATTGATCATTGGTCAGTATGAAGCCTATTTTCAAAACAAAATTCGGCCTTAAAATATCTGCAATTCTGTAATTGTAAATCTTGGCAGTAATAAGTGGTCTTATACAAGTAAATAATTTTGACATTGCCTCATCCTATTAACTATTTTTCTTTATTAATTTTGAAGACAAGCAGCTAGATATTCTATGCCCTTTGAAGACAGTTAGTTGAAGTCTAACATTACCCCGAAATCCTTGGTAAAGGACAGTCTTCAGGAAACATATTATTTAAGCTGTAATCAAAATCAATGTTTTTTAGAGCTTATTTGAAAACACTTATTCGGCGTTAATCTTTGATTTGGCTCACAGTACTCGATAAATTTATTTAAGTCTGCATGTAATTCCCACCAGTCAGAGATAGTTTTAATTACGTTATGTATTCTTGAGCATGCAAATTTAGAGTATTGGAAACAAAACTTTATATCGTGTACCATGAGTGAAAGGAAGAGTTGACCAAATGATTCTACAAGGGTAAGAGGTCACCGTCAACCTTAATAAATGATAATGTTCAACTGGAAGAAATGAATGACATATGCTTAAAACATACACCTTATTCTTGGCCTTGAAAGAAGAAATCTTCCTTTTGAATTGGATATTCCATTATACTGTTGCAAAAGCGTTGGTTAGAGTAAATATTTTTTTTCTATTTAGTCTAGTGAATACTTGGTAGAAGAAAAATAAGTTTAACATTGTTCCGTGCAATTTTCGAAAACTATGGCATTATCTTAAAATAATACCACTTTCCTATTCTCTTTCTTCGTCTTCAAATAAATCTCGCGTAGACACCCCTTCATAATATCTCCTGTCATTCACGTTTTTTCATTTGATACCCATTGAAGAGGTAACTGAGTGTGCACCTCTATTCCATATTTGCACAAAAGGAAATAATAATTGCTCTTTATTGAGAGTGGTTTAGCCTCTCGTTTACACTGAGACAAAAGATATTAATACTTCCGAATGTACAATTGACCACCTGTAATTTTAAATTATTCAACGCCAGTTGGTTAGCCAAGAACCATTGCATTATTTTCATGTCTTAATATCATAAAATGTTGCTTCATCAGACAAAATAACTGTGTTGTTTGTTCCACTGGGACTCAATACGCAACCTCGAGGTACATTCTACTTAAGCTGTTCCTTTTTTGTATTGATTGATTGCAGTGAATATACTGATTGCGATCAGAAAGATGTGGCGTAAGTAATTGAGTTGCATCATGCTGAATATAAACTAATCAACCAGTATAAAGTCTAAAAGGGATGTAAGTGTGTCAAGAGAAGTCCAAATTGGTATAATTTGTTAGACTCAAAGTAATATGAGACAGTAGTTATTTCAATCATTGGCAGAACTTTCAGCATTGATGAAAGCTAGGAAACGAGCTATTAGCAAATGACTGGTTTGGTTTGTTTTGATATTGTTTGTATTGAGTCCCTCTGGATTCTTGCTACTACTGTTTTTTTATAAGGCACCATGCATGAAGACATTCCAAAACCATTCTATTCCTGGCGCTGACAATTGCATACCTTCTCACATGGAACAAAAAAATTCTCACTCCAAGAATGGTAGTTATCATATATATTCCACAATATTCGCCTACCTAAGGCTAGACATCAATTTAAAAAATTAAAAAAGATTACTTTTAGAAAAGCGTTTTTACTCTTCAGTTGAGTTTAGTTTCTGGACCACCTGGGTTGCTGTGAGTGGGTGTCGAGTAACACGAACTAGTTTGTCTGATGTTTTTTTTGCATTGCGTACTTTCAATTTTTTGATTTGTCTCGTCAGACCAGTAAAGCTTATTTCATCTTTGCCTGCAGTTTTCCGACATCCTGCTGTACACGTCACGATCGCAGGCAACATTGCAATTCAAAGTGCACGGTCACATGCCCCTCCGTGGAGTACTGATCGAGGAACCCGAGGGCGACCTCTCGTTTAACGGTTTGATCATATACGGAGGCAACAGGGCGCTGACGGTCGCGGCCAGCTCGCAGGAGGAGAAAGACAAATGGAAGCAGGATCTGCAGACTGCGATACAGCACGCCCGTGACAAGTCCGACACGAAAATTACCTATTTGAGCTTGAAAAGTTGCAGTAAGTAGAAACATTTTGACATTTGAAGACCCCGATTTAAACGGGAATGCCCCAACCTGTAGCGGTCCCCGTTTGTGGTTTGTGTTGGATTCCACCAAAGCGGTCTAAATATTTTTCCAACCTCTAACTTTGCAAATGTTGAATATACCCCTCCCAAAAACATATTCAAAGGAGACACAACAATTCATCCATAATATGAATAGAAACCGGCAGCCAATGTAAATACATATTTATGAATGGTTTCCATAATTTGATTCAGACAACCACAGCTCTTTCCCATTACATGAAAGTTCTGCACTGGGCAATGTAAAAACTGTGCCATGTTACCATAGGTATAGCTTGTGGATGGTTCGTGCATCATTACTAAACACCGTTTAAACAAAAAGAATCACTTTTTGCACCTCTTATTTTGACGTTGTTGTGCGTTAATTGAATTGAATTCTTTTGATCGCAGGCTCATCTGACGAGCACGTAGACCAAGTGAGCGTCGAGGCTAGCACCCAAACCAAACCCCAGGCTCAAAGGAACAACACGACGGTGCACGTGTGTTGGCACCGCAACACCAGCATCAGCATGAAGGACGAATTGTCGGCGGTCGAGGTTAGTGTGTAAAAAAAAAACAGAAATTTCGGACCTCTACTTATATTTTCTTTTTGTCGCGCAGAACCAGCTTTCCGGTTACCTGCTGAGAAAATTTAAGAGCAACAACGGCTGGCAAAAGTTGTGGGTGGTGTTCACGTCGTTCTGCCTGTTTTTCTACAAGGGATGCACGGACGATTTCCCGTTGGCGTCGCTACCCCTACTGGGCTATTCGGTGGGGCCGCCGTCCGCCGACGATCAGATCGCCAAGGATTACGTCTTCAAACTCCAATACAAGAACCACGTGTATTTCTTCAGGGCCGAATCGGAGTACACGTATAGCCGGTGAGCAATGTCTCTAAGAATATTTTTGTTGTTTTCTTTTACATATGTACCCTTTTCGTTTCTCAATGCTATAGGTAATAAAACGTAAATTTCGAACAATAGGGATCATGAAACAGGGTATGTAACATGAAAGTTATATCATAAACTTCAGATAAATTGCAATAATAATTTTCCATATTTCAGTTTTTTTAAGACCTGCACCCTTCCTATCATTAATAAATTGGCGTCACACTAATTTTCATACCATAAAAAGATGAGTTTGGCGAATGAAAGTAATGTGACAGTGGCGTTACTACAGGTAGTTTATTAGAATAATAAATCTAATAATAATTCTACATGCTTATAATTTAAAAGATGAGCAGCTAATTGAGATATTATTTAATCTAAGAGCAAGTATATAAAAACTTAGATAGTCTATTCTAGCATGTTATCGAACTTCCTACATTCTTTCTTCTATTTCAATCACAATACACTGCCTTAATTCCCTCTTGCAAGAGGGTTTTAACGTCCCTCATTTTAAAAGTGATGTTATGCATTGCTACCATTCAATTCTTGGGGTTCACTATGATTGGCAGACGGCGAATTACTGTTATATTTCGTTTCCGTTACCAATAGCCCCTTCTTCAGCATATCTTTCTGAAATTGCTTCTTATTTAAAATAAGTCTACGTTTTCGAAAAAGACGTGGGTATTTTTTCGGGGTTTCTTAAGTGGTAGCTGACATATCCATGACCCAAGATGAATAAGATCTAGCATTATATCAACGTAACACACATAACAAATATAACAAATCAATTTCTGCCACCAACGTGAGTAATTATTAATCTTTTACCTTTTGCAGATGGTGCTTTATTTTGAGTTCTAAAAAAGCGTCCTTACGCTTTCTAAGGTTTATTCTGTCATGTTTTAGGAACGGTATATCCTTCATTTACCCAAATTTCGTCTTCACCAGTAGATAATGTCACGTTTCTCTATTAAAAATGATTTTCTGTTTTGATCTTTTTGTAACGCAAACAGATTTCTTTTAAAGTTTTCCACAATTTCTTGTTATTAATGAGTGAAATAAAATCAGGCATTTCTTCTTAAGGTAAAACACGTGTATTATTCTTCTGATGGCAGTCTTTTCATGCTCATTTATTACAGTTTCTTTTCATCTTGTTGACTGTTTAATCCCAGTCATATTCAAACATTAATTTTGCAGAAAATATTGGGATTTGCAGCAACAAACTCGGAAACGCTAGCCATTTTCAAGAACGAACTGTCAGAAAGTAACAGTAATTCTAATTTTAAACACTAAGAAAAAACCGGTAGGTCAACTTCCTGTCCGTCTACCTGCAACTTTCGGGACCCTTGACAAACATCCAACAATATTAGTACAATACTACGTCTAAGTCTTACAATATTACAATAATGATTTATAAATCTCTCCCATTAAGAAACAGATAATAAATTTTTATTTTCATAAATTTCATAACATGATTCCTCAAATGTTTTTAATGTAAAAAGTTATTATTAATGTGTTTCGTTTTTTTAACCATAGTGTGTTCCAGTTTTGATGATTTTACGGCATATCTAAATCCATCCCACCATACACCACTCAAGGCTGCTTTTTAATCAACTGAAAGGGGTCTCAAACAGAGAGATGTAACACATAAGATATAAAATAAATCTTCAATCAATCTTCAACTAACTAAATATTTTTAAAAAGATCAATAAGTGGTAACACGCTAGTTTCATTAGTAATAGATATGAGTCATAAAACCATCAAAAATGAGACACTGTACAGGATGTCTCGATTTGTTTTTTTTTTGCGTAATGTACGGCAAAATTATCTTATGTTTGTACTTTTTACATGACAACATAAACAAAATACATTGCAAAATAATATTACTGCTTGCACTTTTTTCCTTATTAGAATTGTTTTAATTTTTTAAAAACGCATGCACTGATTACATCAAACCAAAATATTTCGAAAAGGGTTGAAGGATCTCGCTCCCGTAAAAACGATGGAAGAACACAAAAATACAATACAAAAAGTCATGTGTCGAAGGTTAGAAAAGGCGTGCAGGTAGCACCAAATTCTCATGTCAAAAAACTCCCCAAATATCGTTTTCGGCATTGAAAAACAAAAATCAACCCACTGTATTTTGAAAACGAAGCATCTTGCTGTGAAAGATTGAACGCTGATTAAAAAAAAAACGCTCTGTATAATTAAAACCAAATTACCTTTACTAGTTATCAAGTGCAGACCAGGAGGCTTATATACTAGACTACAGCGTGCACACATGACGTAGTCTGGTGCAGTCAAGTTGTTCCGCTAGGACGCCAAAATTGTCGCGCTCTATTAAGTGCTGTCAGATTTTAGATATTTTCCCGCTAGGATTACTAACGATGTTTTCTTTGTTTATAATGAATACGGTTCCTTAAACTTGCGTTTTTTCCAATGGTACAATCCGAGCTTAAGACCAATTGATGTATTTTTTGGTCCATACATGTCCAGACCTTTGGATTTCATATTTCAAACTACCCAAACTAGGAATCTCAGAAAAGAACAGTCGAATGGCGAAAACAATACAAAGTCCAGGAACGACATTACCTAAGGGGCTGCTAAATCGAGTGTAAAAGAGTGTATTTACTCAATACTCTGTGAATGTGGAGTCATATATCGTAGAAACAAAAAGACCTTCAAACGCTAGAATTGAAGCACATAGCAAACACACAATGAGGGGTGAAAACCAAAGGTCTGAAGTTGCTTGACTCCCTCTGAGTCCGTCACGGGTGAATGCTGTAGCTCGTTGCCTTCAAATTCAAATTAGTCGTCTGCACTTGACAAGGTTGTGTAAACAAAAAATAAAGACAATAGAAGTTCAACAATCACTTATTATGTTCTCTTTTACCAGTTTCACAGTAAGCAGAATATAGATCATCTTTTCGTACACTTGGTATCTTACAGGAAATGGGATATAACATAACATAAAATTGCTAATTACAAAATAAAAAGCAAATTAAGTAAATGGGTTAGGGGAATTCTAAAAATAAAAACGGCATGGCATCCTGTCCACTTCCGCCATAAGCAGTATTGCTATTGTTAGCGTTAATTATTTCTTTCAGGTGGATAGAAGTAATAAACAGTGCAACGCAGCATAAAAGCAAAAGGCTACCTCTCAAAGATCCGAACGAGATTTCTTTGGTACTTCCAGATTAAAATTTTGCCTCGTCAACAATATTTAGTTTGCGGCAAGTATGTATTAAACAAGCATTTACTCTGACGATCCATTCCCCGTTTTAATAAAGAGAAAATAAATTGTGCCTTAACATTAAAATTATATTTATAAATCGTGTTGTAAATATTTGTATATTTTAATAAATGTACTTTTATAAAATTTTACCGATTAACCCCGGAAATTTTTGAGGAATAAACTGTTGTAATTGATTACTTTTACTTTTATTTATTTGTAATTAATATTTTTTTGAATTTGTTGACTGGAAATTGGAATATATTGTATATGACGGCTGAGAGTTTTTATAAAAATAATCTCCCTCTATTCCTGTTCCCTCTACTTGCAATTGCATATTATTTGATTTTTATTTTGTTATATACCTTAATTTTTGCATTATTAAACGAACACTGATTATAAAAATACATATTTTTAAATTGGGGAAAAACTATCCCTTATTCTCTTATCAAGGAAGCCAGTGTGTTGCAGTTTTCTTCACCCAAGGCTACTTATTTTAAGAAATGAAAGAGAAATGCACCCTTGGTTTTTATGTAGGGTCTCGTGGCGTTCTCTTCGTAAAACAACTCCTCGCTACTCAAAACAAATATAAAAATTGTTATTATTATTCTATTAGGCAGTAGGCGACAAAGCCGGTAAAACTGCAATTTAGTATATGCATATACACTATATACAGAAGTAACATGTTGACACAGCAATTCAGGATAGAATAATATCATCTGATCAACTGTTCCTCATTTACAACAGGGTTTGTTATAAATTTTTAGGGTGAAAGTTATGACAAAAGTTCAGTACACAATTTTAGTGAATTTAGTGATTTTGTAGCATTCAGTTAGGTCCCCCCCTTCTCCTAAAGTGGTTAGGTTTTGACTCGTTCCAGAAGATCTATGTCCTTTCAGAAGTATGGAGACCAAGCCATTACAGAATGTTCCAGGACCGGTCTGAAGAAGCTTTTATAGGCTCGAAGAAAGGATCAGTAAATACAAATACCCCATGTTATGTCCAAGTACTAACTGGTACCAAAAACCTAAAATACAAATAGAGATACTGAACAAATCAGTGAAAAATCAACCTGCCCAAACACAAAACACCATTCAACCCCACGCAGTAGAAATTACCAAGAAATTAAATGAAAAAGAAAGAAGAAAACAAAATGTAGTGCTGTTTGGAATAATCATAGAAAACAAAGTTTTGATGAAAGAGTACAGAATACGGATAGAATCATATTCGAATCCAAAAAGTACTCAATTATGGTTCTGAGGAACAAAGGCAATCTTAGAGATAACGGCACATATTTCAAATATGATCTTGCCAAGTCACGAATGTGCTATCTTAGAGAAGTACAAGGGATTGTAGAAGAAAGAAAAGAAGGAGATCCGTTACTATAAAATATATCGGTGGCATCCCAACAGAGGTCTAAACCAGCCTAAAAAAATATATGCAAACTTTTATTTCTTCATTTCCCTAGTCTACACAAATCTTATCTCTGATGTAGCAAAATTTAATGAACTAGTTGAAATACATCACAAGCAACCAGATAGTATATTTCTCACTGAGACATGGCTGCATGTGAACATGAATGAAATTAAAAGATATAAGCTGTTTGACAAAGCGCATGAAATTATTAAAATACATACAGGGTGTTCCATTAAAAAGCACAAGTTTAATTTATTTTTAAAAAACCTAACCAAAGCTATCCAAACCAGTTTTCAACATTTCGATAATTTAATTACTATGTCTAAAAATGAAGACTTATAAAAATTCTTTTTACAAAACTTCTGGATTCCTCCTGCGTCTTTTTTTGCTTAGTCGAAATTGCTGACGTTTCGCCAATCATCCTGTTGGCTTCTTCAGAGCTTGACTGAAACTGACTATCTGAAGAAGCCAACAGGATGATTGTCGAAACGTCACCAATTTCGACTAAGCAAAAAGCGACACAGGAGGAATCCAGAAGTTTTGTAAAAAGCATTACAGTAGCCTGTAGAAGTTTCTTTGAAAAAACTTATAAAAATCGCTCCATATCTAAAAATTAGAGATAGCCATGACATTTCTCACCTTTGATTTTCATGAAAAAGTAGCCTTAAATCTCAAATGTCCCAACTATCTAGTTTAATTAATAAGGGGGATATACTGTAAAACCAGCAAAAATGGGACACACTGTACTTATTAATGCAACCCAAAATATTCATTCAATGTTGGAGGTGTCGTTCGAAAATATGTCGACGTTCTGCTTCCGTATAGGCACGTATGACAGTTGGTCAATAAAGTGGCAACCTTGTACAGAGAATTGAGATCCTGCATAGACAGTTTTCTGTTTTTCCTAAAATCTACAAATGGGAATATGGCGATCACTTCCTGGAATCCCCACTCGACACCTGCCCTAAGGTACTTCATAGACTGGTTGAATATGCGTTGTCGGGAAGTCAAGCTTAGCGGTTTGCCCTCGTAGGGGGTCACAACTAATGTCATTAGCGCGTAATGCTCTCCATACAAAGCAAATGTTTGCTTATCGAATATGACTTTGGCCTCTAGTTGTTTGTATAAAGAAGAAAGTCTAAATATTCCAGCATTATGCTTATCCGCTGCATAAGGCCCTTTTAAGCTAGCTATAATACCATCTGGACAAAGTACAGATTGGAATTTAAGGCAATGGCATTCCCTCCGGTAAGAATAATAGTCGTCAGGATTTTTAGTTGGTGTTGACATTTGGCGTTCGATGCCATCAATAAATCCCCAGCAATTACTAATAGCGCCTCCCCTTGCTTGGACGGCCTATTAAATAAAGTAATTTTTATCACCCTATGTTCATTTTCTGGTTAAATTAAATGGAAAGATAACCAGTCTGTTAATTTTGTTTTGAGTTAAAAAAAGAAAATCCCTCGCTACCCAAGGATAATAACATTATTACTTACTTGGGCATAATATTTCAGTTTTCTCTTATTGAGCCACTGTAGGTCATCTAAATTGTCCAACAATTCGCCGCAATTGTTTATTATGATCGTACTTATGGTGTGTATAATTTTGGAAAGATTTTGGGTCGATAACCCAAAAATTTCACACAAATCTTCCAACCCACCGTGATATGCCAGTCTCCTTAATAATACGCATAGTGCCGTAGTGCCTAAAAGATTCAATCTTAATATATGGGGTAACTTGCAAGTGTCCACACTTTTTTTAATTCTTACCAGACACTGTAATCCCCTTTCCAATCTCCACTTTCTGCGGAATTCTAAATATTGATACTAATCTCTCAATATCTTTTCTTTTGAAACGAAAACGTCGTTTGATATCTTTGTCGGTCATTTGGTTCAAATTAAAGTAATCCTCGACGTGCGCATTTTTCGTGCCGCCTAAAATATTCTGTAATATAATAAACTCGATATCGTCATCGTTGGCGCCTGCTAGGATAGCGGTTTTTAAGGTTTCATCCATTTAACAACCTTTTACATGAAAAAAAATTCAAACTAAGAATAGACAACTACAAAGGTTATGTTATGAAGGGAACATAACCTGAATCTTTCTGCATTAGTTTTTTTTATATAAAAAGATATTCAACAAATCAAACCAAAGTCAATTTGAAATGAGCGTAATAGAAATTTAATGAACCTTTTCTCTAACGCACTGAGTAAGGGTAGTGGTGCCGAATATAAGTTTATTAATTTTGATTTAAACAGCAAACCAGAATTGTTAGGTGTAGTATCTCCGATCTCAGATAAAAAAGCTTTGATCTAATTTTTTAGAATATGTAGCGAAAACTTAAAATTTAGCAAAATTTCTTATGCTGCTGATGGGGAAAATTTCCCTTAATTACTGCAAAATCTGACTCGAGACAAGCATTGCTAAGTGAAATTTATATTATAATAACATACTAAGTTATATTTCCTTAATTTGCTTTTAATAGCATTGGGAGATATCTGAACATTAGGGACTCTGGGGAGAGCAGTTTGCAGGTACCTAGCTGTAACATGACATGTACGCAAAGATAATTAACGTTAATAATGACAACATCCGCATTAACAGGTGTAATGAGCAGGGTCATTTTCCTTAGTGCTGGAAAGTTTCTTTGATCAAATCACTGCCAAAAGAGGCCGCACTCAAGTCATTTGGTGACTTGCGCCCTGTTAGTCTTCTACCAGTTATTTCTGAAATCCTAGACAAATTTATTCATTCGTGTTAAACGAATAACTTATATCCGAGTGTCAAGTCAGGATTCAGAAAAGGATACAGTTTGGATGAGAGGCTGAGATGCAGGTAAAATCTCGGTACTAGTGTAGCTTAACTACTCGAAATGATTAGTTTTGTACCAAACTTAAGCTCTCAAACGCTGCAGTGCAACTTTTGCCTTCTTATTTGAGTGGCAAGTATCAGATGGTGATGGTCAGGAGTATCTTCCCCTTTACCGGCCTGGTAAGTATCAATTTTGAGACAGCTTCTTTTCATATTATATTCGGCAGATATTCTAAATGTAATAAGAGTTTGTAGTTATCAAGATTATGCTGATGATACGCAGCTCCGATTAAGTGTTGATCCTCAGGAATATCATGGGACCGACTATGGTATGAATGAGGAATTGAGATATATAAAAACCATATCAAAACAAATTGTTTATAAACGCTGATAAATCTAGTTATCTACTCATGATAATATCAACTCAACCGTAATAGAATGTGTGACAGGACATGAAACTAAATGTTTTCGGCGCAGGTGACATATCAGCAGTAAAAAAACGCGTTTTCAAATTTAAGGATACTTGATGCAAATATTGTCAGAAAGTTTGAAGGCAATATTTATCAAAAAAGATTAAAGGAAGTTAAAAATTCTTGCTCTCTTAAAAAGTATGATGTTATCTTACATAAGTTTAAGTCAAAAATTTTAAAAAACAAGCATCTCAGGCTTCTGCATTTTTCAGCTTTTATAAAGTTATAAGTTTATAAGCTGGCAAACTATAACAATATTTATAACAACTTTAAACCTGTAACATTAAATAATTTTAAGCTTAAACGTAAACAATTTTTATTACTCTAGAGTACCATACTATGGCATCTAGTACTTATGTTGTATTCTTCTGATTTTTCTTTTTGTCTTGTTTCTTTACGTTGTATAAACCTGACTTAGGCTTAATATATTAATTAGTATTAGCGTTGGTTCATGTTTGTGTTTTTAAATTGAGTGTAAGAATAGTCTTTTGGCTAAACCTTGCCTTGAGATTGGGTCCTTATATACAAAGACTTAATAATAAATAGCAGGCACTGGTAACTTACAGTTTGTCTAAATCTTCTGAATGTTAAAAATAAAAATGATCTATTCGTTGGTAATTTTTTTTTTGTTCCGAACAAAGACATATTTAGAATTGAGGGTGAATTTTCAGTTTTTAAAATTACCAATTTTAAAACCAGAAAATTGCTTTTTATTATTTATATTGACACTTAAACTTATAAGCTTATCGTTTTCATGGGAAGATAGTATACTATAGTATACATTAATAAGATGAAAAACAAACGATAAGACCGATTTTGATAATATTTTGGGTATGTGGTCGAGGAAAACAAAACCTCACGGTAAACCTTGCTTTATTTCCATACATAAGCAGTTTAAGATATATTTTCGTCCATTAACAATTGAAAAAACTAATCCCCCCTTTCCGTCTCCAACTCGGAAGGACTTTCGCTCGGCGAGGCGACGCCCGGACAAAAACGTCGCGATATAAGCCCAAAACTACAAAGTCAAAGTCCGACGCTTTTGCCCGGACGCCCTCTTTCCGATCGACGCTTTATTTACAACTCTTCCCCCTCGAACCGCATCATTGAGACAACAATAAATATTACAAATCACATTCGAATCGAAAAATAAAGCCATAAAACGTAACAGGGAAAAAAAGACAACTTTATTCAGAAACCGCGCGCCCAAAACAATGACGAAAATTAGACGAAACCGAAGTTTTTAGTTTTAATGGCAAGTAACAGTTTCTGACGCAAAACAGTTCGGCTACTATATAAGGGTATATATAGGCGGGAGATGCACGTGTTAGCCGTGGGCAGGTGGGCGTCGTCGGCGGGTCGTATGGTCACTGAGGGCATCGGCTGGAAACCGTCCTCGCTGGCCGGTAATGCAGGCGAACCGGTCCAAAAATATACCTGCAAGGCTCGAGTATTAGGGCCGGGTTATTATTAATCTAAGTTAGAGACGAATATTGTAACCTTTTTAAGCAATTAATAACGAATGTTATGCTAGAGTTGCCAACTCTCCCCTCCACCAAACATTTAGGTGAGAGGTTCCCATTTTTTTACTAAATCTTCCGCTCTTTGACAAATAACAAATACATTAATTTAAATCATTCCAAATATCCCACCAGGCAACCCAATAGGTTATGATAATCACCACACTTTAGCTAAAAAAGTATCAACAATCTGCAGCAAAAAAGTGAGATTGCAAGAGAAAAGAACAACTAGTTGAAGCTTTAATAGCCAAATCCTATGTAAATTGTATTCCCTAAAGGAGGTCATAACAGAATCCGGCAGTATACCCGTTAGATTACTATACAAACACATGCGCACGCACACACACGTGAGAACGAAATATAGAGAATAATAATTGGAAACAATTATGAAGATGGAGGTCAAAATAAGGTCTTTCCATAGATACCATAAAGTCCAGCCCGACCCATGCTAATTAATTATTTTTTAAAAAATTTCAGCCTCCCACAAAAAACGTTCCCCACGATAAACGGTACAACTTGAGTGAGACTTTGTGGTATCGTCGGATGGAGGAAGGGCCAAGGTATATAAGACACTAACTTTAAATTCTCAAAATTATAAATAGGCGAGGTATAAAACTTTCAAAATTAACCATCGATTTTCGGGCTGATTTTTCAGGACAAAATGGGATTTCTCAAATGTAATAATTTGTAATATTTTTTTGAAAATGTCAATAAACTATCGACATTTTTTTTTAAAATTGACATTTTTTTGACTAATATTTTGTCTCCCGGAGGAGCTAAGAAACTTAGAATTAAACACTATTCACACTTCCCGACCCCCTACTTCGTGCCAAATTTCAATTTACATTTTTGATTTTTTAAATTATCTACGTGGCTCCGAAAAAGTTGAAATTTTTATGGAAGATGGGGGTCAATGATGTATTCCGGCCAATACCATAAAGTCCCCCCCAGCCCGCTCCATTTAATTGTAATTAAGCATTATTTAAAAATTTGCAGCGTCCCACAAAAACCGTTCCCGACGGCAAACGGTACAACTTGGATAAGACTATTTGGTATTGTCAGATAGAGAAAGGACCAAACTATATAACGTTAAAAATTTAAAATTCTCAAAATTATAAATGAGTGAGATATAAAACTTTCAATATTAACCATCGATTTTCGGGCCGATTTTTTTGCCCAAAATTTGATTTCGAGGTGATTTCCGAAAAGTGGGTAAAATTCAGCATAAGGGGGTTTTCGAGGACGAGAAATTGGAATTTGTAATAATTTTGTTGTTTGTTTTGACCAATATTTTGTCTCCCGGAGGAGCTAAGAAAGTATTTTTTTTAATATCTTCCCAACCTCCTATCTTCGTGCCAAATTTGAGCCGGATCGGCTCGTCCTCGATTCAAAATTTTCATGTTTATTTGGTCGTGATTTTTGTATTTAATGTTTTCACAAATTTGACAAATTGTAATGACGTAATTTTTAATATATTCCAAACTGCGATGACAACGAAGTAAAAAAAAAAGATGTCGGATGGTTATTGGTTTTTTATATATCTTGATTTAAGGTTATGAGAAATACCCAATACTGTTAGACAAAAACACGGTTTTGTCAACTGGCCGAAATTTATTTCGAAAAGTTTTAAATAATGCCGAAGAAAAGATACAATAGGTATCACAACTGAAAATTACAATATTCTTTTAGACACCTTTAGCACCTTTAAAAACAAAATTAAAACTCTACGCACGGTATGGAGAAGTAATATCATATTTTTGTTCAACAACGCCAGTGAAAGTAATTAGCACGAAAACTTTTAAGATGAAGGAAAAACTCTCCTTATGCAAAAAAAGATTATTGCATAAAGTTACTATATAATGTATCTTTGGTTATTTGTGTATTAGAAGTTATTTTTGCAAAATGAATTCAAAGTAAAGAAACCAAACACCTTTTTGATTCCCTGAAAATAAAATTGACGTCACCACTTTTCATACTTTAAAATTTCTCTTTCTCTTTGTTACACATATTATATATTATATTATCGGGTGGTATTTGCCTTGAGCAAGAAAGTTTTAGTATAGTTCCGAATAAAAATGGTGAAATTGAACACATCGAGAATTTGAAAGTTGAGGTCCTGCGTCTAAAATATACATAAGAGTTCCAAATTCAAAAAACAAAGAAATAGCTCCGATTTTCCTACTTTTTAAGTGGGAAAAGTGAAGCCAAAAATTTTGTTGTGTAAATTGTTTCTAAAGGAAAGATTGCTATTTTCATGGTTCATGATTTTTATTATTTATATGAAAATGCAGAATCGCATTCTGACGTCATTACAGTAGCAGTGAATGGATATGTTGGAAAATAGATTGTTCCTTAGGTAACTTAAGTGACGTTTATTTCATGTCGCTGTTGTGACGTCAAACATTATACTGTAGAAAAACGGACACGTATATTTTATGGCGCACGCAGCCTTTAGGAGTCACATAGCCAGGATAGCTATTCAAAAATATGCCAACAATTATATCTAAAAAAATACTTTTGTTGAAAGACTATGATAGCTTCCATTAACCTTTTTTACTTATAAGAACTCACTTTTTTATCAAATAACACGGAAGATTTTTAATAGCCGATATTGGTAAGACAATATTCGTGATCTAACTGTTAACATTGTTTTTAATAATCCTAGATACTTTAAGTAGGGGGAGGGATTCAAGAAAGATAAAATGAATGAGACACATCGATAACAGCGTGTGTCAAAAATTATCTTCTTACTATCTTATTATGGTACTCCTAGTTTTTGACCTAGATGGAGCGACAGTCGCCTTTAGTGAGTATTTATCGGTTATTATTAAAAATGACTGACACAAAATGGGTTGTGTTGTGGATACGGCCAAATGTGTGTGGCAATGAGTGGAACGTCAGTAATATTTTGATGAGTCACTACGAAGAACCTGAGATGTTTAATTTAAAGGACGCGAAGTAGAGAAATAAAATTATGCTGCAGCATTAAACATTTACAAGGGCACGTACCAAGTCTTGGCGCTCGAGGTGGCTCATTTTCTCCACTATTGACCACAACCACCGCTTAAACTTGACAAGTCTCTCGCTGCTCTCGCCCGACTCGTCGTTGAAGGACGTGTACGATATTAAAACGGCCACGTTGATGTCCCCGACGCCATTAAGTAAAAGCCTAAGGTCTTCCGCCGTAAGACCATCCAGTGAACCTTCTGGTAACACGTCGAATACACCGGTACGGATACTCTAAAAAGCATGGTTTTGTATCCGTCAGATTAGTAGTTCAAACGTACAAAAGCCAAAGAATAACGCAATTCCAAACGGCCCGCCCAGATAGTAAAGGTTACCGTTCAAATTTAATAAATTTCCATTAGTCGATAATATGACTATTTATCGAAAAGTTACTTAAACATTGGAAAATAAGTGAGTGATTTGTGGCCAACAAGAAAATGTAGGGGATTGTTTATCTTTTCACAAGTAAGTAGTAAACAAGTCTAGGTGGCGATTATTGCCACATAAGAGCGGCGGATAAAGTGATCAGAGTAAATAAAATAGTAAAAAAATGCGTTCAAAACATTTTTTTTTTAAAAACTGGCTTAATATATTTGCTTGCCATAATTTACTCCATATAGTATATTGAAGTCTCAATTTCAGAAGTATCAACGGACAAACTATTGACCAGGAACCGATATGTTTGAAAATTATTTTTTTCACTATTAATCATTCAAGTTCTAATGATATAAATCGATAGAGAAATAAACCCCACAAGACTAATAAAGCTTAAAAAATCAATATTAGTAGAAAACAGTATTTATGCTAGAATTTCTTGATTGGCAAGATCTTCATCAACGAAAAATTCAGTTGTAATTAAAAATGTTTACTGTTTTTTTTTTAACATTTGCTCTATACATATTTGTAAAAGTAAATGTATATAATTTTGGAAAATCATACGATAGCATCTGGAAAGTACCCCGAAGGTTTATTTGCTGATTTAATTACAACAGCAAGAGATGATCAATGAAACTATATAATATATATTTATATATATTTTTATTATTTTATATATTAATTATATATTTATATATTATATAAAAAAGGATAGTGATAATTTTTTTGCACAGGTAAGATATTACTAAATTTTGTGGGATTGTATGAAAAAAAATCTGTTGTGTTGATGTCAGCAGTGGAAATTTAGTTACTGCAAGAAAAGCAGCAAAATAGAATGAAAATTAGAGTAACGCGAATCAAAATACATACTATTCTTTGTGTAAAATATTGACAATAATCCAAATGTAAAAAAAATAGTCTTTTAGGAGTAAATAGAAAGAATACAGTTGTAGGTTGTTCTTTCTCCAATATGGGTCATATTTCACTATTACGAATTAATGAAACATTATTACAAAATTATTTGTATTTACGGGAATTTTTCACTTGTGGATTGGAACGATTAAATGGAACACTATACTTTATTGCGTTTTGGAATTAATGATAACAACAAAGGTAACTTTCATCTATCCAACCTACTCGATATCCGCATGGTTTGGGAAATATTTAAGGTTATGCGACTTGTTATAGAAAAATCAATTTATTAAGAAAAGCCCGCAAAATAAATATTAGACTAAGTAGTATTATGAAAAATAGGATCCACTATTTAGTTCCATATTAATTGCACAGCAAACATTATATTTAAATAAAATGCACAAAAAAATGAGAAAAAGTCAAATAAATCTACAATCACTAGGTCTAGGTATGGGACATGTTGTCTGCGCGTTCTGTAGTACACAATTTTGAACCTCATGCAGTAAGAAAGACACCCGTTATAATTCTAGACTCAAAAAACAAGAAACACACCATATATATAATCTTGAATATTTCCAAAAACGTCTAATGAAAGTTACCTTTGTTTTTATGATGTCTATATAATTTTATAATAAATATATATAATAATAAAATATAACTTTATAATAGTTTTGCATTTAAAATTTCTGTATATGGGTCACTTTATGTGAGACACCTTGTACATATTGTAACGAACAAGGACATGTTATAAAATACTTGATACATCTTCTATTATTTGTTATTTAATATAACAAATTTTAAATTTAAATATAGATAATTCGTTGGTTTGAAATATACATAAAGTACTGTTCCCCGCCTATGCAATTTTTTGTTTATCAGTGAGGCTTTCTTATAGGTGTTATGTATCTTTAACTATAGTTAATTTAAGTACATCGGGCCTAATTATTTTAATATCTACTATTAGTTCTCCTTCAACCGCGGCGGTAGCTCACCTCTATGGCCTTTTCCTGAACCTTCAGCATCCTGTATTTCGCGTACTTCCTGACGTAATCGTAGACGTTGGAGGACGTCACCTCGATATCCTTGCCTCCGGGCACTATCTCGACGGTACCGCCCCCTTCTTCGTGAGCGAGGTCAATCCTACGAGTCCCAGAAAACAATCAATGAGGTGAAGTCGACCTACGATCGGTTGAAACTCACGTGAAATTCAAGTCCAACGCGGAAAACAGGCTGTTGCTATCTTTGGTTTCCGCGTCGACGACGAGCTGCCTGAGCGACTCGTACACGACAGGATCGAAGAACGCGAGATCGTGAAACTTTATCGGCCTGCCCAAGATCGATTTGAGCACGTGTCTCGTGAGGAAAATCGGACACAATTCGTTCTGCAACAGGCACAACCCGAGCAACCTGAAAAAAAAAAGAAATTCATCCTCTTTTTACCCACTCACAAGATATTTGATCATCGGGTGGGCACTACTAAAGGCTGCAGAAAGTGGAGCCAAAACTTTTTGTATGAGACCAGCGTTAGTCAAAAAAAAAATCCCGCTCTACGCAGAGTCGCCTACTACATACAATCGTTGTCGAGAAGGTACTTTCTATAGATATCTTTAAACAAGTTTAAGCCTAAAGTATTTTAATTCTTTAGGAACTCTATTGTACAGCTTATAGATGTTATAAGAGAAATCTGTGAAAGAGGGTTAGTTGATGCGGTGGAGGCGATATATAGCCACGAAATCTCAAGTTCAGCGTAAGTACGGGGCACTCTTATTCAATAGAGTAACAATTTTGTAGCTTAAGTTTATATAAAACGACATCCCTGGCACGTATACCATAAATGAAACGCAAACATGACTTTTAGACCCTTTGTATTCTGTTGATGTCACACAAATCCAAACATGGGCCATATACACTGTCACAAAAATTAAAGTGACTTAAAATCATTGAATCAGTCAACTTTGTTTTTAATGACTTTGACAACAAATGCCTCTTAGGAAATCAAGTTCCAAATTTCTACAAGTGTTGGAGCATTTTACTTCTTCACCTTGAAATTTTGTGCGAAAAGTATCTTTTTACCAAATATTGAAAATTTTTTTGCTTTAATTTCTAAATTACAATTATTTGAAAACTGGATTAATCTATCTAAACCTTCATTTGTGCTTTATTGTAAGTTGACGGAAAAAATGAAAAGTACAGCTTGTGCATCATCTGCGTAAGGGTGTACATTGCAAAATCGCAAACAAAATGTTATGTCACAAATATAGACAGTAATCTCTTACTGAGATAATTGCGTAATAGACTTAAATTTCCCAGTAATAACTCGTCGCTTTCATTCCTTGTTCAACTTCATAGGACAAATTAATAGAATATGAATATGAGAAAATTTAAGCGAGAACTCGATGATTTTGAGGTCACTTATTAAAAGATTCTAGAATTTACTTTAAAGAGTAATCAATATGAAATACAAAGCACAATTCTGCCTCTTTCTTCATTAAACTTCATAGAACTACTCTACATAGTCTCAAAACGTTCTATCGCAATTTTCAGAGAGTCAAAGCAGAACTGCATTCTTTCAACGTCATTCATTGAAAGATTCTAGAATTTATTTTAAAAAAACAGCTATTCATGGTTTTACCACGTAGAGCCTGTTAGTATATAGTAGTAGAGCATATAGTATATGTAAATTCCTATAAAAAAAATTGCGAGAACTGGATCTTTAGAGGTTATTCAATAAAATAATCTCGAATTTACTTTAAGCAAAAGTATCAATTTAAAACACAAGGCAGAATTTTACTTCTTTCTTAGTTGAATTTCATAGAACAAATAAGTAAATAGTCTAAGAGCTCTCTGTCGCAATGTGCAGAAAATTTAGACGAAACTGAACCCTTTCAAGCAATTGATGAGAAGCGAAAAGCAAAATTTTGCGTGACTCTTTATCTTACTTCGTATTCCGTTTATTAACAGATTATTGAATTTACTTTAAGAGATAGTAATGAATATGAAATAGAAGGCAGAGTAATACCTCTTTTTTCTTTGAACTTTAGAAAAAAATTAGTAGATAGTCTTAGAGCGTCACATTGTAATTTACAGAAAATTTAGTCTAAATTGAACCGTTTCAAGGTTTAAAAATTTAAAAATTCAAGCTTTCATTTTAAGAAACAGAGATCAATAAGAAGTGCAAAACAAAATTTGAATTGTTTTCTTGTTACAATTTGCGTGTAAATTCCCAAAAAGAAATTTAGCGACAACTGGATAGTTTCCAGCTTATTCATTAGAAGATTTTAGAATTAGCTAGGAGGGTTATATCGTAATTTGCGCACATTCATTAAAAAATTCTAGAACTTATTTTAAGAAGCTGCAATCGATAAGAAATGAGAGGCCGAATTTTACTCCATTCATTGTTTTACCTCATAATTCACATGGGTAGATAGGCTATGATCGTTCCATAGCAATTTTACTTCAATCTTTGTGCTTGATAAAACAAATTAGTAGATAGGCTATAAGCGTTATGTGGAAAATTTAAAACACAACCGGATCCTGTCATATCCTGGTACTCTGCACCTGATAGCAGATCCGTCTAGACTATCTACTACTCAAATTATCCTTTTAATTAATTAGCAAATGAAATAAAACGAATAAAGCGTACCGTCCGACGTTTCGGAAGGCGTTCAGCCTCTCGTAGGTGGCCTTGCCCTGTCGCGGTGCATAAAAGCCCCTCTTGCCGGGAGAGTAGAATAGGGGCGCGTTATCCTCTTCGTCGGGTGCGGTTTCCTCTGTAACAGAATTATCAGCATTGTTCGATCGACCGCCATTACCCTTTCTCGCATTATCGCCCCGCTCATTCAACGAAAACACATCTAACTCTAAAATGCAAAAGAAAAAACAACGTGTAAAACCAAATAAACCAATATAATACGAGTGGAAAAGCCGAAACGTCCGGATTTTCCGACGAAGCGAAGCGTCAACTAAACAAATCTAGACTCCCACTTCGAAAATTCACAGTAATAAAAGCAGAATTTTAAACCATTTTTTGTTTTACTTCACGTAGGATAATTTTAGCCGTTTTCAATATGAAATACAAAGCAGAATTTTACTTTGTGTTACTTCATAATTTGCACGTAAACATTTTTAGTGAGAATTGGATCCTTCAAGGTCATTCATTAAAAGAATCTAGAACTTATTTTAATAAACAATAATCAATAAAAGTGCAAGTCGAGATTTATCTGCATTCTTTGTTAAACTTCATAGCATAAATTAGTAGATAGTTTGAGTAAAAGTGTAAAATCCCATAACAAAAAATTCATTAAAGGGTTTTAGAATTTACTTTAAGAATACAAAATACAAAGTAGCATTTTATTTCATTCATTGTGTTACAAATTAAGATAGTACAAGATCGTTGTCACAATTTGTAAGTAAAGCCCCATACAACTTTTTACAACACTTCTGGATTCCTCCTACGTCAGTTTTTGCTGAGTCGAACTCGCTAACGTGTCGCCAATTATCCTGTTGGCTTCTTGAGAACTGAAACTGAAACTGACCCGTATTTTACTCTGTACCTGCTTATATGGTGTTTAAGGGGGGCGGAGCTAAATGAGGGGCATAAACACCGTCTTTTAATCGCGACTCAGGTCTTTACCTGTCACCAATATGGGAATCAGTCATTCAAGAAGGTGTTTATGCCCCTCATTTAGCTTAGGCCCTGTCAAACACTATATAAGCAGGTACAGAGTAAAACATGAGCCAGTTTCAGCAGAGCTCTGAAGAAGCTAACAGGATGATTGGCGAAACGTTGGCAAGTTCGACTCAGCCAAAACCGAAGCAGGAGGAATCCGGAAGCTGTGTAAAAAGTATTACAGTAAGTTTCTTTGAAAAAAAATCCCCATAAACATTTTTAGCAAGAATTGAATCCTTCACGATCATTCATTGAATAATTCTAGAATTTATTTTAAGAAACAATAATCGATAAGAAGTGCAATTTAAAATGTTGTTGTTTGTTTGTTGAACTTCACAGGACAAATCAGTAGACAATCTAAATAAGAAAATGTAAATTCCAAAAAAAAAAAAGATTAATTAAATGTTCTAGAATTTACTCTAAGAAGCAGTAATCAATACGAAATACAGAGCAGAATTTTACTTCATTTTTGTGTTACTGCATGGGAAGAATTAACAGATAGTATGTGAGCGTTCTGTCACAATTTGTAAGTAAATCTCTATAAACGTTTTTAGCGAGAATAGGATCCTCTCCAGGCCATTCATTAAATGATTCGAGAATTTATTTTAAGAGACAGTAATCAATAAGATGCAAAAAATTAAGTTCATTATTTGCTAAACCTTATAGATCAAATTAGCAGATAATCTAAAACGTAAATTCTCACACAAAAAATTCATTCGAGTATTTATTTTAATACGCAATACGAAGCACAATTTTACTTCATGGGACAAATTAATAGATAGGATGTGAACATTCTGTCACAATTTGTAAGTAAATCTCTATAAACGTTTACATTTTCATTCATTAAAAGATTCGAGAATTTATTTTAAGACACAATAATCAACAAGAAGCGCCAGTCAAAATTTAAGTTCATTATTTGCTAATTAAAATCTTTGAGAATTAATTTTAAGAAGCTGCAATCAATACGCGATACAAAACAGAATTTTACTACATTCTTTGTGTTAATTCATGGCCCAATTTTCTATAGATTTCTGTCACAAATTGTAATGCAATCTCCATAAACATTTTTAGGGAGAATTATTATTTTTATTTTAAGAAACGGCAATCCGTAAAGGCAAAATTTTATTTATTTTATTTATTCTTTGTTATAATTCGCAGACCAAGTTAGTAGATAGTCTGCCGGTCCCAATCTTTTAAGATCATTTATTTAAAAATTTTAAGAAACAGCAATTGGCAAGAAGTGAAAATCTAGGTCTGTCCAGTCTGCGCGGAGAGCACTCACCTAACAGGGCGTCGCTACTGAGTTCTGACTGAGAGTGGGAGTGAGCCAGAATCATCTCCACGGCCTCTTCCACTTTCGACCTGAGCGACTCCTCAGACGCCAAGAGCAAAAGTAACTGTGCGGGGGACAACTCCAGCAACATACCTGATGCAAAAAAAAATGATATTTTAAGATACAAATACCAATTTCAGATGTTTTATGCAACCGATTGAAACCGAAACCACAAACCTGTTATTCTTCCCGCGAAGGTGGGGTGCAAATTGTACACTTTCGGGTAGAGCCGATCGCCCAACTGCTGCTGGTGACTGGTCAGGTGTTCGTTCCTGATATTGCCGGCAGGGGGATTCGACGCGGGCGACGAAATATCGGGCATGGAGGGGGCGTCGGTGCTGTTGTGGACGTTGTCGGCGGGCACGAACGCCCTCGCGTACACGCTCATCGTCCGCCGGTGATGGTCCCTGCTTCGGCTCGAACCTCTCGACGGTAACGACCTCCTCAACACCTCCCTGTCCCTTCGAAGTCTTTGCAACACGGTGTATTGTGGGGAGTACTTGTTGTCCACCTAGAATCGTTTTTTCATTACAATGAGGCAGTTACCTTGACAGCTGGGGTGTATTGTGGACCACAAACCTGTTAAAATGTGGAAAAAGGGCATAACTTGTAGAGATATATTCTAATAATGAAGTAACTATGAAAAAAAGGAGAAGGTTCATTCAACGACTGCATGCCTGAGGTTTATAACTAACCAAAACTAACCGATGACCTTGCGACATTCAACAACTAAAATGGCCTCAAAATATGCCCAGAACCCATTAAATCTTGAGATAAAAAGAGCTAAGTGCGTGTTGATGTTGCTGTTTATAAACAAAAATGGATAAAGTGAGAGTTAGTTTTTTCTTGATATAAACCAACATAGTTTAGCACAGTGTCTATACTCTCCCATATTTCGTTGGATGTTATAGGTCTAGTGAACGGTACCCGACCCCTCCAAGGCAGTAATAAGATATTTTTGGTTAGTTCCTAAGAATTTTGTTGCACCAATATGTAATAATTGCGAGTATTCCTGCACCGCCAAATGGAATGACGGAAAATTAATATCTTAAAAAAACGAATCGACTTTCCTACATGAACGTTACTCATGGCAAAATATTTAGTAAATCGCTAACCAGTTTTGACGATTTTAATATTATTAGTTGATAACTGCTCACACCAAATAAGTCAAATTTTTGTTTTATTTATTTATTTACCCACAGTATTTACATGGAACCAAACAAAACGCAACAAGTACAATATCATAATGTATCTCACAATAAATGGCACCCAAATACAAGAAGCCCTATGTTATATTGAGGAGTTTTAATCCACTTATTGCTTGTGTTGTAATTGTATTTCAGTTATCACCACTACAAAGAAGAACAGTCTCATCTGCGTATGATACAGTCAAGGCACAGGTGCTTAAATTCAATAAATAGTTTATGAAAAGTATAGGTCCTAAGACCGTACCTTGCGAAACACCAATTTTTATTTTGAGCTTGTTACATGTGCAGCTATTTACTTTCACAGTCTGATACCTATCCGCTAGACAATTTTTTACTAATTTTGAGACTATTCTTCTGATACCATAATGATATAACGCTTAAATAAGAGGAACCGAATCAAATGCTTTTGCCAGATCAATAAAGGCCATACATTTTTGTACCTAAATTTAAGTTTTTAACAATAGTAGATCACCAGTACTCCGCCCTCCAAGAAAACCATATCGATTGGGAGAAATTATGGATTTAGTATTTAAAATATTTATCCATCTGTCCTTGAAACTCTTTTAAAAAATCTTACCGAAATTACTAATCAAACTGATAGGTCTATAATTTGTTATGTTAGCTTTAGTACCAGATTTATGTAGTGGTGTGACCATCGACATTTTAAAATCTGTAGGGACAATGCCTGTTTTGAAAATTAAATTAATTATGTGTAATAATGGATTAATTATTTCTTCATCAGTTGCCTTTATCACCAAAACGGTTATCCCAACATGGCCTGATGAAGCGTTATGAAATATGTTTCACAAGTTCATTCTTTGTCAAGGAGTCAGAAACATTGATTCTGGAGTTCGTATAATATTCTCCATTTTTACTCCAATGTTTATGAAATAATCATAAGCGTAGTGAGCCATGTCTTCAGCGCAACAAAACTCATCACCATTAGTATTATGTATAGCTATATTATTGTTTGTAGGGGAATGTTTTGGGATGCTTAAAAAAAATGGAAGCATATTTGAAGTTTCATACTTTTTAATAATTCCCTATTTTAAGGAATTTCTTTCTCATAGTGCGGTAGAATGATAACTGCTCCTTACCTGAGCCGCCTCGAGGTTGGGTAGTTTCTCGTTGGACAGAATGGCGTCGGCCACGGCCGTGTAAAAGCTGCGGGCGACTCCGCTGCCCTCGCCGGGCTCGTCCTTAAAGGTCACCTTGACCCGACTAACCGCCAGCGGCGGCGACGACGGGTTCCTCCTGTTAAAGCTGTTGTACTGGCTGTTCAGCTCCTTGAACGTCTGAATCAGGAGCTGGGTCCGATCTCTTTCGATCTGAAACCGTCCGTCAGGCTATAATACCACGATCGAGAGACTTACAGAGGCAAAGAGTGACGAAATATCCACCAAAATTGGAAGAAAAAAAGATGGTTAAATGAGGAATTTAATTATAAGATATTCTTTAATACCCACTATCCTTGCAGATATATTCGAATTTTTCACAAAAAATGTCATTATTTATACTACCAAATCTAAGCTTTGGTCTATCGACTAGTAAACCCAAATATGAATTCTTTTTTTATTTTGCGGCAGTTTTTCTTAGTTTTCTTTAATTTTCTTGGCCAATTTAAGGAAATGATATTTCAAAAGTACCACAAAATGAAATAATTAGTCATGAATTTCAATCGCAAATTGAAACTAAAAATTGTCGATGAAAAAATGTGGATTTTGTTTACGGTAACATAATTTTTTTTAAAAAACATTTCAGACGCCCAATAAATGATTGGCAACGTCATTAGCCATGTTAGTTAGGGTCTTATTTCATAACCATTATTGTTAAGATGAAAGAAACAGAATACGATTTTACATACCCATATTGCCATCGTCTAAAGTTTTAACAATATTGCTATTCAACCACGATCATAACAATGTTATTATTGCTTAAGAAAAACATTACATTCTGCTAAACAAGGGTCTGCACGATTCCAGAAAAATATATACAAATAAAAAAAATGTCTTTTTTGGACGTTAGATTAAGCAACGATGTTGAAATAAAGGGCATAAAAAGAGCACATGGACAAAAGTTTCTAGTTCATGCCTGTTACAAACAGAGCAATTTTTTGAGAATTTATTTTAAAGTTATTATGATTGTAGGTTAAGTAGAAAGAGAGACTTGTTCCTTGTTCTTATTTGAGCAACTAATCTGTTAATGAATATTGGATTATGGAGCAACAAATATTCTGAGGATGTGATGAGTCAAATGAGGATAAAAGTTGGCAAACGTTAAGTTTTGTGCAATAGCAATGAGCAGAAAAGGTTCGTGCTGTATTAAGTAAATTTTGGTTTTCCTAGTTGTCTAAGCACTGAATGTTTTCAAAAAAAAGTTTTGCCGGCAACGCCCAGTGAAATTTGATTCGAAAAGAATCGAGAAGTTGAATATGTCGGTTAACACAAATCTTAGGAAGCCGCGAGTTTTCCATTTTGTGAATTTTAATGAGGAAGTTTAGAAGACAATGAATCGACTCTGTTTCGAACCTAACAAAAGCAGAGGCAGTTGATTTCGGTAAACATAGAACCATGATCATAACCATGTAGAAACAGAATACAACTTATTTGATTTTTGATCGGGATGTGCCCGAAATTCTGTGAGACTGTCAAAACGGTCTCTACCTTTGCAAGGGTCAAATCTTTCTGCTGGTTGTTCCTCAGCTTCTCCATGTCGCGCCTGAACTTGGCTTCTTTTACCGGGAAGCCTCCGAGTTCCGACACAATGGAGCCCGGTTCAAGACCGACGTCTTCCATGAAAACCCGCCCAAACAGATCCAGGGACAGTCTCCATCGGCCGAGGAGTAAATCGTGCGAGACCAGCTGTCCGACGGTCGGCTGTTTGATCGCCTGCTCGCAGTTCACCGACGTCGTCACGATCGTTATGTTGGCGGATATCTCCTGGTTTTCCAGGGTTTCAGGCAACTGGACGTCCATTAGAATGTCCGAATCGTTCGATTTTTGGCTTTGCGTATTGGAGCCCTGTTACAACGAGGATTCGGTTTCAGTTGCACGAAACGTTCAATATAATTTATACCTTCTAAGAAGGAAAATATTCAACTAAGTTAGTTTAAGGAGTGCAAAACTGAATGGAATTTGAGGAAAAAACCACTGTATGCAAATTTCTAGGGCCGCCCCTTCTGATGAAACGTACAATGAAATATAAGAGGTATAAATTATTATAGGTACAAAAACCAATGTATTAATAATTAATAAAAAAAATAACTTCAAAACCCCTCGAACGATATGAGTGAATTTATAAAAACGATATGAGTGAATTTATAAAAACTCGAAACTTGCATGAATATTTTGATTTACATATGAAACCATAATGAAAACAAAAAGTAACTAAATAATACATCACATATATTTCTAAAATTATTAGAAAGTATTCAGGTGGCTAAGAATTCTGATAGATAGACAAATAAGAATCGCAATAAAGAGAATAAACATTGTGTACGCTTCGTATCTGTCCCCAACCAAATACTCAAACGGGTGGAGTCATCAGAAAGCGATAATATTTTAGGAAGGGTTGTGATGTGCAAATTTTAAATAACTTACACACGTATTCTTTCTTCCATAAACTACTAAATTATTAATTTTTCAAAGAATATTTCACAGGGTACTACGACACTCGTTGATAAATCGAACTTGATGTTTCGCCCATCATTCTGTTGGTTTCTTCAGAGCTTAACTGAAACTGACTCGCGTTCTGCTCTCTACTTGCTGATATACTATTTGAGGGGGCGTAGCTAAAGGAAGGACATGAACATATTCGTGAAAAGTAAAGACCTGAGTTGCAGTTAAGATTGTTTGGTTGTATAGAGATTTCTCTGGATTCTCGGATTTTTCTTTAGTAGAAAAACTGATTACATGCAAGAATTTTAATTTTATCAATCATTCAACTTTTAGTAGGCCCTCCTTTAGCTCTGCCCGCGTCAAACAGTATATAAGCAGGTACAGAGTAGTTTGCGAGTAAGTTTCAGTTAAGCTCTGCGATGATCGGCGAAACGTCTGCAAACTCGATTTTTCAACAATCCCTGAATTATAGACTATTTCAGAAAAATGTAGTGTAACAAGCTCTGCTCACGAACTTTGTGCAGTACAATTAGTTTTGATCTCTATTGTAAATACGATCCTAACTAGGATTTGTTGTGATTGTTCACCGCTTAACAGCGGGTCAGATGGAAATGCCCAGGCGGTCCAATAAAATTCCTTTAAGACAAAAATTGTAAATAATCCGTTAATAATTAAAAAACTTTCATGGATCACTTTAAAAAAGATGGATTTTGCCTAAAAAATTTATAACCACACATTTGGATGTTTTTGAAGGCGTTTTTCAGTAGTAGTAGACTCCAACTTCATCTTGGAGGAAAACAAGAACTTATCGACTGCTAAACCACAAAGACTATTGAATTTGAAGGTTTGAAAAACAAGAAACTATTATACTATTATACTACTATTATACTATACAAATATGCCGTAGAAGATAGGACCGTCGACTCGTTAATTATACAGCCAAGAGGAGAGCCGACAGTTCCTCAGGTGACAAACAATATGATTTTTTATAATTTGATTTCCTTATAATATATACTTTTGTAAAATTTTTAACAAAAAAATAAGGACACTTAATACCATGCACAGGGTCTATTATAGGACGAACAGTTTTTCAGAATTTGTAAAGAACATGGACATATTTGTAATGTAATACCCAGCACCATTTCTGAGATTTTGGATTTTATGTCAAAAGTGACGCGGGTGTAAATACATATATCGATATCTGTGACTTTGTTACATATTTAGGGTTAACTTTCGTATAGAAGGAAATATACTTTAGGAGTATGTATCAGTATTTCAAAAATAAATAAATACAGCGTGGTCAAAAAGTAACAAAAATCTTAATGAAAAAATGGTAAAAAGGACTCTTTATAATTTTATTGTATTTCGAAATTAAGAAAGTGGGTGACTTTGTTTCCTATTTCAAAAACTTGTAGAAATATTAGAAATAATAGCAATAAAATACTATTTTCATTACAAAAATGCTACGACGACGAAATATTGCGAAAAAAACAATGAAGCGCTACAGAAACGTCACTATTTTATCTTGCTGTGGGTTTGGAAATCAATGTTTGGACACTTTTATTGGACCTAACTTTGTCATATTTGATTGTTATAGTTAAATTAATAAAAAAAAGGATATCAAGTCCATAACACATTTTTCCTTTAAAAAATGGAGAAAAAGGGTTTATTATTTACAACATTCACAAAAAAAAACATTTTTTATGAAAATACATATATTTTTGCAAATATTTTTTTCCAGTGATAGTGATTCAGTAGTTTCAGAAAATATCTAAATGTTTTTCACAAAATCTGTTCCATTTTTAAATATGAAAGAAATTTCAAAGCTCTATTGTTAATAGCTTTATGACCGGGTATGCTTTTGATCAATTAATAGCCGTTTGGCATTTTTACAATGGAAAAAAGCTTAATATTACTATTACTACAACGAAACCTTGTGCAAAGACACTGCTTTTTTAAATGCGAAATACGGAAAAAAATAGTAAAAACAGTGTTTCAGGCTTTCAGTTGTAGAAATCGATAAATACATTTATTTAATGGTATTATTCATATAAAAATTCAAAATAGGTCAGAAACGGTAAGACTTCGGTACAGTTCAGCGAAAGTTACAAGTTACTCAACAACACCTTGACATACTTGAAAAGTACAAGTGAACCCAAACAATTTTATTCGTCACGTTTTTTTGATATTTTCTACAGATTCTGAGATAACTTATCATCCCGTAATTAACGGAGCATCCCGTACATTATACCTAATTTTTATTCTGTTAAAATACAATTCTTTCCTTTTTACGAGTATCCTAACTGCAATGAAATCAATGCCAAACAATAAAAGCAGCTTAAGTATTGCTTGGTATACTTAATCAGCTTTTATTACTCTACAAGTTTCTGAAATAGAGTATATTAACTTTGAAGTAGTTTTAAGTAGTTTTTGAATCTTAATTTATCTTTGTAATGAAATGAAAAAACAATTTGAACATTTGACAACAATCCAATGTCCCATCTATACAGATGACGTAGGAAATAAGGATGCGGTACGGTCAATCGTAAGTGACGTAAGTAAAGCTCGAGTAATAAAGGTACTCACCATCGACGATCCCGCCCTCACGATAACGCTCGTCTTGCTGGGACTCCTGGAGGCACCGGGAGCGTTCAGCGACGGGCCGGGAATTCCCGCGATCCCGTGAAAACTGCTGGTAGCCGGGCTGGTATCCATACCGCCAGACAAGTTGGAGAAGTTGGATGAGGTATTTAGTTGCATCTAAAAAAAAAACACCGATTAGGAAGAGGCAGGCCTTCGGAATGGGGGAAGAAAACCCGCACCCTCTCGAATCCCGAACTTGTATCGTTAACGACAGCGCTGTCCACCCTCCTGGGCGACACGATTATTTGGGGTCGCGGGGTCTGCGAAATGTCACCGGGGGCGGGTGTCGTCGACCTCGAATTGTTCTTCGACAAGTCCTGCGGGCTGTCGTTCATAGATTCTTCTAAAAATATTTAAACCCACAAAACAACGATTAATACACGTATGATAACAAAATATATTGTAAATTCGTATTTAATTTTTACCACCGGTATACTAAAGATAATTTAACTTCAGAAAATAAAAAAAAAAGAATTTTTAAAATATTTCAGGATTTAAATAATGAGCTATTTAGCAAATAAATACGGAGAAGAGAAACAAAGCTATCCTAATACCTATGGGAAATCATATTCAAAAATGTGATAAACTCAAAGTTTCACGTAGAACAGGCTTAGTTTTTTGAGACAATTTGAGAAAAGCATTTTTTAGATATAAAGTAATGTGTAGAAGGTTAAATTTAAAATTCTTATCAAAACTAAATTTTTACAAAAGTTTTTAAATGTGATCACACTTACTGCCAGGGTTATGGAACTGACCGGAGATATTTTTTTTGTGTCAATTAACCAGTCAGTTAATTTTAAAATATTATCACTTTGTCGTGATAATATTTTAAAATTAACTAGACTTGGAAGGATTGATTTATAGAACGTGCCGACATATTTTTATCAAGTCAAAATTTAACAGGTTATTATTATATTATTAATATTATTGGGGGAGAAGAAGCTAGAAATCTGGGTATCGCCTGAGTATAAATGTTACTTGCGATACTGAAGACAGTTAAAACTGTATATGCTATATAAAAATGGAGCGACAATGCTGCTGTAACCTAAACTATGTCGACAGTTATCCTAAACCGTCCTTTGATACCTATCGGTCAAAAATGACGATACTAGTGAAAGGGCTGATTTTCGGATTGATATTCAAATACCGTGATAAATGATATCATATGCCTTAGTATAATATCAAGTGTAACTAGAATTGTAGCACTATTCTCTCCCGTGATTTAAAAACATCATTCGCAATATCAATCAGAGCTGTCACACAACTTGATACTATTCTAAATGAGGACTGCCTATAGAGAATCAACTGGTTTAGTGTAACCACCACAGGCTAATATAATACTATTTACAAATATTCTGGATTCCTCCTGCGTCAGTTGTTTATAAATAAAACTTGCTGAGGTTTTGCCAATCGTCCTGTTGCATCCTTCAGAGCTAAACGTCGGTAAATTTGATTTATCAACCGACGCAGGAGGAATCCAGAATGTTTGTAAATAGTGCTAACATTGAAATGAAACATTTTTTTTAATGGAATTATAAAAGGACAACAAAGAGTACGTGGAGTAATACCTAACCTTTCTGATCCATGAGCAAGAAAATGAAAAATTTTTATTTACAAAAAAATTGCTAGAAAAATGTAGTAGTTCGTTATTAGGTATACGATTGTTCCCTATTATTTGTGTACATTTGTTCTACATTTTTGCAATTATTTCTTTTTAATATTTAGTTTCTTTAATTCCTTCCATTTTTGCTGAGAAGAGTTAGTTATAGTTAGGATATGCTTTCCTTTCAGCCCTTATAGATAATGTAAATTTGAGTTTATAGTAATTCCAGTATTTCAAACTTCTAGTACTACAAAACCTATTTAAGTAATAATTTATAAATAAATTTAGTATTTTCGGTTAGTCATGCAGAGACTATACGGTATATTTGTTCACTTTATTTTAAATGGCGCATACTTAAAAATTGTTAAAATTGTTTTACTAAGAAAAGGCGCTTTATCATCACATATCATCCAGATCAAATATGTTGGACCAGACAGCATTTTTCAAATTTGCTTATTGTGAAAACGAATAACTCGCCTGTTTTAGTACCGATGGCGGCCAGCAAGCTCTCGAAGGGTTGCATGATTCTTTTCTTCGCCTCCTGACCCGGCCTGGGATTAAGGCACAAGCCGCTAGTGCCCGGCTCTCTTGCGCTCTGACCCTCGGTTTGCACGTGAACTTCCTTCGAATCTGATGGGTGTTCTTGTTCCACGCCGGGGAAGTAGTTTTTTGGATAGGTTAGAGGATTTGGTCCCATCACGTTCAGCGAATTTGATATGGGATGATTCGCTTGCGCGGGCTGATGCATTGCGTAGTCGTTTGTGCGAGTCGAAAGGCTCAATTTCGTCGGCAGCTGTTCCAGGGGATTGTCAGAGTTGTCCACTAAAATCCCGTTAATAGGTTAATGGGAAAGTGTTCTTTGTCGGTAGTTCAAATGAACCGCAAATAAAACTCAAGAAATATAATTGCCACTGGGGTTAACCATCTAAATATCATTCACAATTTTTTTTTATATTGCGGAGGTTCAGTCAAAATTTGTCACAAATGGTGGCAAATTCTAATTTATAATTTTAATTATACCGATCTTTTAACGATTAAACCATTACTTTTAGTCTTGTCTTTTAACGGACCCTCCTAAAGAGTAATTACAATCTTTTTACCTATTGTTACTGGGCAAACGCAACAACCAGTAATTTATTCATAAGTAAGTGCTAAGACATTTCCGTCTAAACAATAGTGAACAAGATATATATTCTAATTTATCAAAACAGATGGTTCCGACTTAGAGAAAACTGAAAAGGAAGCTGGAATTATTTGTAAAATGGGATTTGAAAACCGCACAACAGACAAAAAATCAGTAGTAGTAGAATCGCACAAAACATTGTGAAAACTGTTTTCAAAATTATTTTTCGAAACAATATTCCGGATTAAAAATTCAAGAATATTAATATTAAGTTCATATTCAGTCAATTTATCAGAGAGTCAAACAGAATAATATTTTGAATAAAAACGTACTTATTTACGTAACTACGGACAATAATTGACAAGTAAAGTTGACAATGCACTAATCAGTATTTAATATATTTAAATAAACATAATGTAATATTAAATCTCTCTATTTTGTGAAACACTTTAAGAGTCCGTCCTAATGCTGTGTCCTACAATGACGACTGGTTGGGTGTTTCGTTGCAGTCGGCAGGTTATTTTGATAATAGCTGTCCAAAGCCAAGACGGTATACTTTGAGACAAACGTGAGATGTCGATATTTGCAATTCCTAATGCCTAACACTGGGCACTTTAAGTCCATGAGTCTAGGATATGGCTGTTACCGTCGCTCCTCTGGACTAATTACATGAACGTGATTTTTGAGTTTGTGAACGAAATTTGCCTATCGGATCTTTTTGACTTACCGGACGCGCTAAGGGTAACCGGCTGCTTGGGAATACCGAACAAATCCTCGCGACGCACGTTCGGCTGCAGCAGATGGGGTTGATCGGCGAGGGGCAGCGCCTCAGACATGGGCGTCTCGAACGGGTCGGGCGGCGGGCAACCGAGGCACAAAGTCGATTCAGATCTCTAAACAACACCCTTTTTATATATGAATTCGCTTATATCTCAATAGTTCATTTTATCGAAAATTTTGAAATACAAAAGCTCCGTAATTTTATTTTTTATATTAGAATATATGATTTTTATGTTTCGGTTATTTCTAACAATATTAATAAAACAAGAACACCAACAACAACAGATATTAATTAAAATTTAAATACCTTATTTTATACTATCCATTTAGCAAAGGAAAGGAAAACTATTTTTATTTAATACCCCTTCTGTTAATAAAGGATCAGAACTAAGTAAAAGTCATTCATTCATCCATATTACACTTTGCGCGAGACATTTTTCGAGCATAATTTGGTCGAAATCATTTATACTTTTTACTTTTTGCCTCAAATCCATGATATTCAGCTACCAATAGCTCAATCATACTTTTTTTTATAAACTGCATAATATTGATTTTGAATCTTGATTACATGCAGCTTAAACTTGCAGAACACTTTTCTAGAAGGCTTTTACTTCTGTAATTTCAGAAGATGTCAGTCATTGGAAATACCGACTGCTCAAAATTTTCGCTAGTTTTGGTTAGTATCAATCCAATTTATTTCTGAATCTCGCTTTTCCTTTCACATAAATGTTGATTTTCTTCTTGAAACTATTTTTGCCATTTTAAAAAATTTAATCCATATGAAATATTCAAACAATCGTACATAATTCTAGGCGGGCTTGTTCTTGAGGGGATTAACCAATGTCGTCAATTCTTTCGGACTTTAACCAGACAGCAAACATTTAGTTGAAGACGATTTATTGCTACAAATCTATTCTTTCACCATAGTTAGCTGCAGCTTGTGCTTTAACGAACAGTTTTTGTGGTTAGATAAAAATAATGATTGGCTTATGCCTTTGGCTATACCTATTTTTAATGGTTATCTTGTTATTTGATAATTTATACCAAAAGACAATCAACATCCAACATTCTTTCTAGCTATAACTGGTTTCACAAAATTTCATATTCTATACATGGAAGCACAATGAAAATTAACAATTTGACAATTGTTTTTATCACAAACAGGGTGTCCCAAGTTTTTTTTTACTTTTTTATTTATTTTTTGCTATATCTACTTTAAATTTAAATTAAACATCTAGAGTGTTTTACAATCCTGCGATATATCGAAGAGTTTTTTCGCTACATTCAACACCAATCCGAAGAAGAAAAAGTTATGCAAAACGAGATCATCACGATAATTGCTTCTAAGTGACAACACATGAAATGTAATACAATAATATACGTGGTGTCGTATTTGAAGCTGTCAAGAATGTAGAGGAAATAATCTATTTGGGTACCCACATTAGCAACAATGGCGGTTTAAGACAAGAAATTAGAAGAAGGATAGCTCTTGCTAAAGCCGCAATGAACAAACTTAACAAAATTTGGAAAGATCAGCATATCACAACGTCAACAAAATGCAAATTAGTCACCACTCTCTTTTTTCCAATTGCGTTATATGCAGCAGAGTTTCGGACTTTAAAAGCCACAGATATTGCCAAGTTGAGATGTGGGTCTGGAGAAGATTACTCAGGATCCATTGGACAGCCGATAGAGATATGATATCCTACTTGAAGAACTTAATATCGAAATTAAATTGTCAGCCAAAATCAAACAATAGATTCTGAAGTATGTCATGTCAGCGGGAGACCAGATGACAATCTTGAAAAACTTGTGGTTCAAGGAAAAGTAGAAGGAACCTGACCTAGAGGCCGCTCTTCAAAACGGTGGCTGGACCAGGTGAAGCAGTTTACAGGAAAATCGTTCCAGTACAGTACGCACGATTGAAATGAATGGAGTGACATTGCATTGAGTCAAACATAAAATCACGACACTTTATCTTTGAAAATGATGTAGTTGGTGAATTTTGGACATCCAAAAACTAAAACCGTTCTATTCCTATCAAATTAAAAAATATATATATTGGAATTTGTTTTTTGGTTGTGTGTGTGTGTGTGTGTGCTCGCGAGGGTGCGTGTATGTGTGTGTCCGCGCACGCGGGTGTCTTTAATGATTTGACTTCGTCTGTAACCTTTGGTTAGTAAAGTCCTGTTATTATTATTATTATTGACGCTAAGTCCCAGTATATTAATGTGCAGTGCCAAGGAGAAGCAATTCAGACATCCTCGAATGAGAACGTATGTGTCACGCTGCCGAGAGGAAAAAAAAAGTGTTTGCATTTACACTGGAAAAATAGTGGACACTACACAACTGAGTATGGCAATCTTTTGATATGCTCTGGAAACGAAAACCACAGCAGTAACGGTGTGGCCTTTCTGATACATAAGAACTTTAAGGAATCTATTTTGGGATACGAAGCTATCAACGATCGAATAATTACCCTGAAAGTGCAAGCAAAACCGGTCAACCTAAACCTCATGCAAATCTATGCCCCCACATCGACATGCCCTCAAAATGAAATAGACAACTTTTATGGTATACTCTCGAACACAATAACCAGAATGCCTAACAGAGAGCCTTTAATCGTACTGGGCGATTTCAATGCGAAGATTGGCGAAACGAAGACCGATACACATCTACGAACGGTAGTAGGAAAATATGGCATAGGAGAAAGAAATGAACGTGGTCAAATGCTTATCGAATTCTGCGCGGAAAACGAACTATACATATCTAATTCCCATTTCCAACATCATATTAGAAAAATATATACCTGGAGATCTCCTGATGGACATACACGCAATCAGATTGACTACGTTCTTATCAAGAGAAGATGGAAAAGTTCTATTAGAGATGTGAAGACCTATCCTGGCCTGGATTGTGGAAGTGACCATAATGCTCTGGTCGCGGAAATCTGTCTCAGACTGCAGCGCAACAAACGCCGTCCTCCAAAAACCAACCCATGGTACAATGGGAAAAACGAGATCTTTCAAAATGCAGTCAAAGATAATCTTGACAAAATATCGCAAGAAAAAATCAACCAAATGAACTCCGATGAACTCTGGACAGAAATGAAACACTCTATTGAGCTCGCTGCCGAATCTGTAAAACCTGATAAAAACCAACCAAGGAAACCATGGATAACACAAAGCACCTGGGAAATGATCTCCGAGCGAAACAACTTAAAAATCAAAGGACTGCAGGAGAACGAAGCCCAAGAGACATATGGAGAACTGAGCAAAGCCATTAACAGAAGGCTTAGGATTGACAAAAATGCGTACATTGCTTCAGTATGTGAGGATATCGAAAAACATGCAAACCAAAACCAACCACGGGATCTATTCCAAAAAGTGAAGATGCTCTCAAGAACCTTCCAACTACAGTACCTTCCAATTAAAAATACCACCGGTGTAAGATTGACCACGACACCTGAAATTGTAGAAAGATGGCGTCAATATTGCGAGAATCTTATGGCCGCTGAAGAGATGGACCTACCAGAGAGCCTGTCACTTGAAGCTCGGGTACGTGAACCACAAATTCTGAGAGACGAAGTTGAAACAGCTCTTAAAAAACTTAAGGACAGAAAAGCGCCAGGCTCAGATAATATTGTAGCGGAAATGTTAAAATGCACTGGAGGCAAAGGTATTACCTTGCTGCACCAAATCTGTCAAAAGGTATGGGAAACGGGAAAATGGCCAGAAGAATGGACGAAATCTGTATATATCCCATTACACAAAAAAGGCCCAAAAGACGACTGCAGTAATTATAGAACAATTGCTTTAATAAACCACGCAAGCAAAGTGCTACTGTACATCATACAAGGAAGGCTCAAAAATTACCTCCTCCCCAATATACCCCCAGAACAAGCAGGTTTTATGCCAGGACGAGGAACAAGAGATCAAATTCTAAATGTGAGACAGATGGTGGAGAAGCTCTTTGAATACAATGTCTCTGCTATGTTATGCTTTTTGGATTATAGCAAGGCCTTCGACACGGTGCACTGGAATAAAATGTGGTACGTTTTAAAAGAAATGGGAGCCCCCGACCATCTAACCTACCTTATTAAACAGCTATATGACAACAACCTAGCCCAAATAAAAATAGGAAACGAATACTCAGGAAATTTTAGAGTTGGAAAAGGCGTAAGGCAGGGATGTATTCTCTCCCCCATACTCTTCAACATTTATGGAGAATGGATAATGAGGAAGGCGTTGGGGAACTGGAAGGGTGGCGTATCTATTGGAGGGAAAAAGATATCAAACCTTCGATACGCAGACGACACTATCGCAGTGGCTAAAACCGAACAAGAAATGTGTGTACTATTACAACGAATCGAGCAAGTAAGCCTGGAGTGCGGACTGCGACTAAATAGATCTAAATGCCACCTGATGATAATAGACCGGGCAGGAACAATTCCTTTACCACTGCAGCAAATCCATGACATAGAAGTTAAAGAAGAGGTTATTTATCTGGGCACGAAGATAACAAATAGAGGTGGTTCAGAACAAGAGATTAAAAGAAGAATTGGGATGGCAAAGGAGGCTTTGGGAAGGCTGGTTAAAATCTGGAAAGACCACCGTATCCGCAAGGAAACTAAAACAAGACTTGTGAAATCTTTAGTGTTCCCCATTGCAGAGTATGGCTCGGAATCCTGGACCATAAATGCTGCATCTCGAAGAAGAATTGAGGCGTTTGAAATGATATGCTACCGAAGAATGCTGAGAATACCCTGGACAGCATACCGCACCAACGCATCCATCTTAAGAGAACTAAAAGTACGGGAAAATGAGAGATTATTACCAACAATACAACGACGTATGCTTAAATTCTTCGGTCATGTAATACGAAAGGACGGTATGGAAAAACTCATGATACAGGGGAAGGTTGATGGAAAAAGGGCAAGAGGAAGGTCACCAGTGAGATATATAGATCAAATAAAGGAGCTCACACAAATGTCGGTCTCACAAGTGATGCGTACTGTAGAGGACAGAGAAGCTTGGCGAAGGGTCACTACACAACATCCATGAACGAGTCACGACGTCCGAAAACGGACAACGACTGAAGAGAGAGAGAGAGAGATTATTTTTATTATTATTAAATCTTTTCAATCAACTATTGAGATTAATTATAGGGACACCTGAAGGAATCTCGTACCAACCATAAAATTTCCTCAGAAATCAAAAAATGAAAGAATCTATCGGGTGCTCTATTTAAAATAACGTGCTGTGAGATACTTACGAAATAACCTTATAATGGTGTAAATTTTTGTTTTACAAAATTTTTCGATAAAATAAAAGGGACATACAAGAATCCTGCAGTAGTAAACACCTTGGCGAGGCCAAACCGATCCAAGATTACTCTACGCGATCGTATTCAACTATCAAAAAGAAATACCTGGAAGAACGAGTGCTTGCGTCCTTTGCCCGCGCCGGCTCCCTGCTGCGACGATCCGTTCAGGTTGGTCGATATATTGGTGGCCAGATTGGACACTTCCTGGTCGTCCAGGGACTCGGTTTCCATCGCGACCGCGATATCTTCCTCGCCCTCGTCGTTTTCGTTCTCGTCCTGGTCGTTCCACGGAGGTAACGGCAAGTTTCCGCTCTGGCTCCTCAGATCGTCATCTCTAACGGTGTCGAAAAAAAAAAAAAAAAAAGAACATGTTACAGGGTTCTAGTCAACAATCGATTCGGAATTACAGACCTGTGCTCGATCATGCCGGAACGCATGTAGTAAATCAGCGCGTCGAACACGTAAGCGACGTGCTTCAAAGCCGAAACGTCGAGAATCGGCAGCGAATCCAAATGTTCGCTGTTGTGCGCACGCATTAACGAGAGACAGTACGATAGGAACTCCCGTCTGGCGGCATGCGCGTCGCTACCTGCGTTTCCATCAAATTGAAAAAAAAATAACATCAAATCAGTAAGTACAATAAACCAAAAGAAAACTTAAAAAAAAGAAAAATAAATTTAATAAATAAAAAGTTGACCAATAGTTTTTGCTTTGTGTTTGTGTTATACACGGTGTTATTGAACTGACATCATACAATTTAATGAATGAAGTCTGAACTGTAAGATGGATCATTAAGTGTTTTTCCAGTTCACTTCCACCAGTTTCAGCTGTGTCGCAGCTGATGTGTGGAGCCTGGCGTTGTCGTGAAGGAGCAACATCTCGGGACGGGAAAATCTCGTTTTTTTTGCGACGATACTGAATCTATATACCCAAAAGACCACGTCCAAACTTTCTCCACAGATAATCGTGTTTCGACTTTCACGGGGTTTTAGTCGCCATGCTTTCTTCCACTCCATATACTTTTGATTGGAGGGTGTTATGATGGACTCATGTCTCATCACAGGCGTCACAAGTGACAATTTAATGCAAAAAAAGCTTCCCCTTCTTCTAGAAAAACAATTCAATGCAATTGACAGTCTTCTGGTCTCGTCTGATAAGCTCACGAACACGTGCAACGTGCAACACTGGCGCGGGGACAATGGAGCTGGAATCTCAACACTTTCGCGGCGTTGCTCTAAACTCATCTCACTCATTCTAAGGACTACTAAGTTAAGCACTGGATAAGCCGGCGGATGTGCTTTCTCTACTCTAGACATCCCCACCCAACGACCACAAAGACCCAATCACAAACTTCCCAGTTTCAGCCACTAAAGGTTCGTGTATATTTGATTGAACCTAGCAATTTGTTTCAGTATTGGCGTTAATAAAGTTTCGGCATCGTAGTTTTAATAAATTCCAATATAATAACAAATTAAGCGTTATTATTTTGTCTACTAACCCCATAACTCCCGAAGAATTTTCGTTACGGACGCCGGTAATTTAAAGTTCAAAAAACATTTTTTTTTCATTGTTAATTTTGAAAAAAAATATCCGCCATTAGTTAAACACGTCCAGATATGATTAGGCGGCTTTATTCCTTTGTCTTGTTAAGTGGTTCTTGTTTTGAACAAAACCAATCCCCATTCATCCAGCATTCACTATTTTCCAAAAAGTTCTACACAAATTATTACGTCTTCAGTTTTATGATTGGGCTACAAAAAATTTCAATTTCTTCTAGATTTAGACACTGATAGACAAACAGACTGTGTACGGTCAGAATCCTATATTCCTTGAATAGATCCCTAGAGCTGTTCCAGGGTTTGCGGTTACCGATAATCCTTAGTGCGGTCTTTCGCATTTTAAATACCCGCTCCCAATCAGCAGAGCGCCCCCAAAATAAAAGTGCATATGATATTCGTGACTGAAAGAGACCAATGTAGGCAGTTCGAAATACATTGATGGAGGTGAAGGATGTATAATATAGAGGCTAACTTTTTTGTAAGCTCATTTATGTGATTCTTCCAGGACAACTGGTTGTCTACATATACACTCAGAAATTTCAATGCCATACTCTGTTCATGTTCCTTAAGAGAAAAGATACATATCACGGTTTTATTGAGACTTGGGCTTAGATTGTTATCTGCGAACCACTCACGAAGTTTTTATATTTGTACATATAAAATAAACAATAACGGGCCTAAAATAGATCGCTATGGGACACCCGCTATGACGACTGATAAGGCTGAAGATAGGTTTTAGGACTGGACTATCCGAGAGAACTCTACCGATCCCTCATGAGAATGAGAGAATGTCCAGAATAAAATCCCCTAAATTAAAAACTGGCTTACTGGAACACCTCCAACTTAGCAATTGTACGGCAGAATTTATTTGTGATGTTGTAATCAGGCAAACAGTAGTTCCCGATCGCCGTTTTTAAGCTTTAACAAATACTTTAAAATTGTATGTGCTCGAGTGGCGAGAACTGAGGAAAACAGTATTTTTAACCTTAAACAAAGACTAATATAGGCAAAGGTAAGAAATATATTTCTTTTACCTTTTTCAGTGGGATAAGTTACATCAAAAATAGTTCGGTATGCCCGGAACGCCATGTATGGATACAATAACAACTATTTTGATGAAAAAGCAATTTCTCGAAAATGTACTTCATCGCTTTCCCAAAGGGAAAGATCTAGTATCCCGAACTATTCGGAACTTAATCCAGATAAAAGCTATGTCTGCTCAGTTCATTTTACTGAAAGTGATTACGAAAGAGACTTACAAAATGAGTTATTAGGTTTTTTTTGTCTTGAGTAACACATTAAATTCATCACAAAATTTAAGTTTTAGGTTTACCTTTAAAAAAGATTGTAACAAAAACTGCTGTTCCAACCCTATTTTTAACTAGAAGCCACCAACAGAAGCAGGATTATCTAGATTAAAAAGATTTCAGGTATTGTCTGAGCTTTTAGCAACAACATCGAATGCCTCAAGTGAAATTCTAGAGAAAAATCCATCTCCTGAACCCATGTCAGAACCCCAAAAATAAATTATAAAGCTAAGTGTATGGATTTGTTGGATAGTTTTAATAATTTAACCAAAAAATATTCTTGCATTTTCTACTTTTGAAAGAACAGTTGTTTTACAGTATGATGAGGTTAAAGTGACGGCTGTGGAAGAATATAATGTCGCTCAAGATGAAATTTTAGGTCCTTATAACAAGTGGATCCGATTTTAATCAGGGTGCTAAGGAAACTACTGAAGATGCTTTGGAGTACATTGCGGACTACTTAGCTAAAAAACACAAAAAATATATCCCCAGTTTAGGAGATTATACTTATAAAATTACCACAGCATTCCCTCTTGGGTACAACAGTTATCATTTGGGGGGCCTTATAAAGCCTTCTGATCATTTTTTGAAAAAAAAATAAAAAATGGAACTTTTATTTTGAATCCCATCATTTCGAAAAGGGCAAGGGGTGGTAAAAAACTTAGTAAAAAAATATTTAAAACAGAAAAAGAATTACGATTTAGATTAGTTACAGATTTTTGTAAGCTGAGAACGATAATGAACGCTATGAATCTCAGAAACTTAAAATCAAAATATAACGTTAGTCTAAAAAGAAAATCTTTGCAAGATGATACCCGCAGAAAAAAAATTAGAAAGTATGGTAAAATTGTAAAATAAAGATTTAAGTATATGTAGTAATATGTATTTTTTATATTATGTACATACGAGGGTACATATAAATACATATTATCATTTACCTACCACCTATAAATAGTTATGTATGCCTAATATATTTTTTGTTTTTTAATATGTTCTTTAATATATCCAAAAATAGGGATTTCCAGTTTATAGGTATTTGTTGATTTTTGTATATTTAAAATGGTAGAATGTTGTAAAACACAAAGTTTTACAAGTAAATCGTTTTGTTCGCTAGTTTTATGTATTTATGTGTAACAATATTTAATTAATATATGTATTTCAAGATAATACATATAAGCGAAACTTGATTGCAATAGTATTATTTTTATCCTACCTGAGATCCTACCCTACCCTACTTCCCAATAATTACTAATAACTAATAACTCGGATCAGTTTCGGATTATTTCCTATTAAGTTTACGATTCTTGGTTATTGACATTCATTGCAATAGAGGTTAGCCTGATAGGATCTTCTTGTTTTACTGGGATCCTGGAGCTGCCGTTGTTAGTTCAATGTTTTCTTTGTCCTGCCTGGTTGTTGAAACTGCTTTTGTGGCCATAGTTCTTGTGGATTGCAGTTTTTTTGCGGCAAACTACCTGATCGTAACCTTACTTTTCAAGTTTTTCTTGGAGTGAAATTATTTTTTTTCTGACAATTTTCTAACATCAGATTGTTTTTCTGTTCGAGTTCCTCCATAACTCAAAGCAGAAGTGATTCCCTGTCACTAAGAAAGTTCATCTCTTGGCTATCTGCTGGCTGTATTGTAAACTCTTAACGAAGGCATGGCGAACTTTTTTTTTCCTGTGCTCTCTTAAAACACGACAGATGATAGATTTCTATGCACTTTTTATACTGTACACCGGTTGTAACATTGCCCTTGCAATGAAAACACTGCGATACACTCAGTTTATTCAATATTTCTTTGAGTACGAATTTTAGACACTTCTGACCTTTCCGCCATCTATAACATCAAAGCGAGCGTTAAAGGTATTTGTTTGGAATTTAATGTTGCTTCTCGTTTACGTTTGGAGCCCTACTACAGTATTTCACAATTCTGTAAACCAAAGAAAAAAGCGTGAAAAAGCAGCAAATTGCTGCGAGAACGTCTAGCATCAAATATTTGTAAAATGGTAACTGTTCTTAAATTTCTGTTGTATAAAACGGAATTTTGTTAATAATGGTTTGAAGATGTTGACAAATATGTGGTCAGTAATATTATGAATGTAAGAACCACTGCAGCAAGTCAGGGGTTGCTTTCGGACTCATTTTCTTAGAGAGGTTGTGGTGTGTCAATATATAAGCAGGTACAAAGTAAAATGCAAATCAGTTTCAGATAAGCTCTGAAGAAGCAAAGAGGATGAATGGCGACGCAGGAGGAGACCAGAAGATTTGTAAATGTTATTACAGTAGCCTATTTCTTTGAAGACTAACGAGGTTTTTTGCAGGGTATTTATGATACGAAATATTTGTCCTAATTATTTGCCATCATTTCAACATCGGCTCCAGATACACTAATTAGAATATATGATGATATTTCAATAACATAATTTTGGAGAAAGTGATAATTTATCTTCTAACTCTATTAAAAAACTTTCCTTACCCTCTCTATCGGCCCGGGACCTCGCGCCTTCCACATTGGTGGTAAATCCAACGATTCTGCTGCCGCCGGTACCGCTCGTAGTTCCCGTGACGGCGTGCGTTCTATAGCTTGACCTCACCACTCCGGTACTACTCAGACCCGCTATAAATAAGAAAAGAAAGTTGCAGGTCGGTAACATCGTTACCGATCCCTACAGCTCTTCTATCACACATTTTATATCTTATCTGCATTTTCTATTTCAATTATATTTATTTCATGTATTATCGTCTAGACACGTAAAATGCAAATAAGCGCAAGGATGACGAAAAGGCAAAACAAATAATTTTATAAAGTTAATCCAAATAGAAATCGCCAAGAATTGCTTTTCTATTTTTACGCCCAAACCAGTCACAGTCACAACGTCGATTACATTTTTAGTCATGCAGACAACAACTGTTAAGGTAGAAATAAAAAATAAAATAGTTACAGGAACGTAAATGCCAAAATCCAAAGGGTTTTCTTGCGAAATGACTTGTTTAACGCAAGACAACCTTCAACCCCAATAGCGCACAGTGGACCGGTTATAAGAGAAGAGCGGGAGGATGTAATATTTTACAAAAACGTCGATGATTAATAAATATGGGATTTATATTCATGAATAGTTACAGAATTCAAAGCTTAATTTTTGATAGTAACGATTAGAGCAGTTATTTTTTGAGTTATTAATAAATTACAAAGCCAAAATATTTGCGTTATTGTTTATTTTTAGAATTCGTTCTCAGAAAAAAGAATTCGACGTCGGAAAAGTAACATATATGTATAATATCAATTTTTAACGAAACGGCCTGCATATAAGTCAACTTCTTTACAGAGCACGTTCGTACGTCTAGAAAAATATACAGTTTTGCGTATGTTTGGAAAAAGTGTTATTTGGTCTAAAAAAATGAATGAAGAGAAAGTAGGGAAAATTGATTTATTAATAAACAACTTATTTACAAATACTTAAAATGACCCCTGTTTCTATTGATGCACTCTCTATAACCGTCATATGGCATCAACGATAAACTGACAGTGATTTAGTTCACTGTATTACTTTTATTTTCGTTTTCATTTTTTTATACTTTTAGCGTGTTGTGGGTGCCTTTTTAAAAAATCCAAAACAAAATGATCATCTTGACTTTTAAATTGTTTTTCGGCATAATATTTCCTTGTTCTTTGCAAAGATTCTATTTTCGTGTTCACTTAAAGAACTAAAATAAAATTAAATATTTTTATTATACTTATACAGGGTTAGTAAAAAGTAGCGGACGTTTAAATATCTCAAAAACTGCCAAAACTGGAACGATAGAATTTTTAATCAATGGGGGGTTTTTGGAACCTGCAGAATTGAAATATACCACCAGCTGTGTTGTCATATTTATAACTGTTAATGTAAAATCTCCTAACATCTGAACATTTACGAGGTTTGTGAACGTAGGAAACTTTATAAGTGTATCAGTGAAAGGTTACCAGAATTATAAGTAATATCGCAAAATCTGACAACATTGCTGTTAGCATTTTTTAATTCAAAAACACCTAGGCATTGAATTAAATCGTTTTAGTTTTGGCAATTTTGAAGATATTTAAGTGTTTCGGTACTTTTTACTAACCTAATGTTTGATAAACTCAAATTGACATGCAATTTTGGTTGTTTTTCAAATTTCAAATTCAGTATTAGCTTCAATTCTTTTAATTTTTAATTTAAGTAACTTCTTTAAACAAAAGTTAGTACTCATATTAATATAAAAAAAAGCAATATATTGCACAATATTTTCAATCCAACAAAATATTAAAGTAATTTATAATTACAAAAGGATTCAAACATGTACTGGACAACAGCAATATACTGTAATTTGTAATCACTGACTATATCGGTTCAGATAATCTGTTATTTTCAAAACATTGACATTTATGTATTTTTACCATTAATTAAATAAAATAAAATTTTAGCGAAAATTAACCGAGATTTGGTAATTAACAAACATTAACTAATTTCAAAATCTTGCAGTAAATGTTTATTTAAATTTTTTATACAGGGTGGTCCTAATGGAGAAACAACGCATCCATCAGGTAAAAATAAGTAAACAAGTTCATATATACATCCCCTAAAATGCTTCATTGGGAGATACAGGATATTGTAATTCTGTCGAGTTTGCTTCTAAACTTGGTAATTAGTATTGCCACTTGTACACTTAATTTTCGCACTACTTTTTAATTATTAAAATTACATAAAAGGTCTCACGAACTCCTATGGTTAAACAAAAACAAGTTTATCGGTCCTATAAATTTGTTTTGAAGTGGCGATAATACCTACAGAGTTTGAAAGCAGAATTTAGAAGAGGTATTTCAAAAATAGTTTAAAAAGCTTTTCTTGTAATATTTCAATACTCTGTATATTCAAAATGAATATGCTTTAAAAGTTCCTCTATTATAATTTTTTTTTATTGCTTTTAAACAAATAAACATAAATAATAAACGATTAAAATTATAAGACGGCAATGAATTTCCATGCTGTCAATTTCTTCTTATAGAAACATTTCGTAGTCTCTTTTTATAGAAACTTTTCAGAGTCTCTTTTGTCTTTTCGCCTCCACCCTATTGTATACTTAAATGTTGGGTTGTACTTCGGAGCACGGTAGTTCCAATGAACCGCCACCAAAATGTCATTGAACAATAAGCGCCAAAGAATCGAACGTAAATAAAATTATCAGGTAATTAAAGGAGCATTAAGAAAAAGTTGTAAGCGCTCATCAGCACTAGGGACAAACACACGTCATGCATATATGTACGTTCTCATTTGGAAAGCAAAACAGTGGTGAAAAAAAATCAAATTCCTAGGTGTAGGTTTTCTGGCCAAAAGTAATACAGCGATTACGATTTTATGAAAATGATAACACAGACGCTTAAAACGTTTTTAAGAAAATGAAAAACTGAATATCGTAATTTCAAACAAAAATGACGTTTAAAGATAACTGTTTTCAGAAAGATGTTTTGTTAAAAATATTATCCAAATTTAAGATTTTTTACTGCCCAAGCTGCGGTATGTTTTTTGAAAGTTATTTTTAAAAAATACAATTCTTTTTTTACAATTGAATTTTTAGCAAAATTTTGTACTACACCTCATCACCCATTACATATTTTTAACTTAAAAAGTTCCATATCATTGAGGAAAATAAAGTAAATGCCGCAAGGTACTTTAAAACGGCATATAATAGACCTTTACATCCTTATCACATATATGCAGTTTTTCAAAACAACTTCAAAACTTAAGGGGGGTCATTTCCTGTTTAAAATAAAGGGCAGTTTGTCATATATAAGCTGAATCCAAAGCGAATCTTTAAAAATATGGGGGAAAAAAATTGTTTTTATTTTTTATCTTTAAAAGGAAAATAGATAAAACAAAATTACACACTTTTTGCATATTCTTTAAAAATCCGGGAAGGGGATTGAACTGGTCTACCCCCATTAACTATAATTAAAGAAAAACTTAAGCAATGAATTATTAGAAACTATTTTGTCTTCTGCTTTTTTTTCCAAAAACTTGCAGTTTCCAAATAAAAAAACAAAATGCAGAAAAAAAAGTTATTTTGGAAACATCTCTGCAATAGTGTAATTCACCATTACTGAATTAAAACCATTACTAGGGAACAATTAAATGATTAGATAATAAAACTAACTGAGCAAAGTCAAATAAAGCAATAATAAGAAACGTCAGCAGCCCACTAGATTTTTTTTATCTCGTTATGCATTTCTTTAGACTTTATTTTTTATTTGTAAAAGGTAAGTCATATAAAAAAAATTCAAGAAGCAAAAGTTTCAAAATAAAATTTAAAAAATATATATTTTTTTAGTTTAGTTTTAATTTTTAGTTTTTCCTTAAATTTAATATTCCAATCCCGCCATTAAAAAAATAAATAAAAAACATGCATAAAATATGTAACACTTTTTATCACCATATTTGTTGCCTAGTTTGTCGTCCTTTGAGAAAACAAATTTTAAATTATACTATTGTAGTTGGTACACTGTCTTTAATTACCTCGAAATATAATAAATTTAAAAATTAAAACAATATGGAGTTAATATTTGTGTTGTATTTTTTACACAATGTTAAATGTTTATTATTATTGTTCGTGGTCCAAAGTTTTATATTGTTACTTGAAGGATAATGATTCAGTGGAAATACTAAGGGATAGTAGGACCTCTATTGTCTTTATTTTTTGTTTACACAAAGTTCTATCACTGTCCCGGTTGCACTTTATAATGCGTGGTGTAAACAAAAAATAAAGGCCATCGAAGTTCCATATATTTCATATATAGGCAGCTGATAACTTTTAGTATTTCGCTTTGCTTGGTTTTTCTCGCTTTTAGTTCTGTAAATCCTTACAAACCCAAAATTTCTTTACACATTATTATATTATTACATTAGCAAATGATGAATTTCTTACCATTCTGTCAAATGTTGTGTAGGGTTAAAAGATATAAGAAAAATTGGTCAACGTCCAACAAAACAATTATTTCAAATGAAATATGTAAATTTTACTAATTTTGGCCAAAAAGTTACGTCGCGAGAATGCAGAACTACCGTTTACGGACCAACAATGCTTTCGACAGGTCCTCGGCTAATAAACAAGTCCAACCTTAAGATAGATTTCTAAGGGGCCATATTCATACCAGTTCATCGATTTTTCAAATATGACGAGATAGAAAAAAATGAAAAATGTTTTTTCCCGCACTTTTTTTGGATATCAGTAGAATGGAGGGTTGTCTTATAATTTAGGTGCAGTTTTCTAAAACGGAAATGGCGGGATGATATTAAGAATTCCTTATATAAAAGTCTATGAATATGGTCCCCGCATCGTAAAAATGCCATCAACCGTATTAGCCCCCACCCTCCCGTAATTGATACAGCCCGACCGCTAACGGACAAATGTCGAAACAAAAGCTCCCCAAAAACAAAAAAGCAGTGAAACACCTAATGAAGCCAATGATGCGGGAGCAGGCACGTTATTACGATGCCCACCTCCTGAGTTGATTCCGGAATTATTCATCGTATGGCCGGCGGGGCTCGGTAAATCGAATGAATTTGTTAAAGACGCACCGAATTTCAGCTGGGCCTCGGTCGCGTCCATCACCGTCAACAGCCAATCCCACGTCGGCTTCAGTCTGAACTCTAAATAGATCTACGACGAAACAAATGAAAAAAATGGGAATCAATTGGTGCGAAATACATGCGATTTTTATATGATCTCGTTTGTAGTTCAAATGAACCACTTAAGAAAATTGATACTTGGAAATGAGCTGAACGCGAGAGTCACTTTTTGGAATATTTGAAGAAAAAACTTGTTCCTACACAATAAATGAAAATGATGATTGTTTTGTACTAAAAAAAATGTTGAGAAAAATCAGCCCCAAGATCATTAATTCATAAAATGACGTCTAAACTAACCCGCCATTTAACATCTCGTAGGAGGTTTTCCACAAGGCAAAAGTGTATACAAGCATAGGTCAAGTGTCAAACTTACAAAAAAACAGCACTACTGACTTATTAAAAATATTCCTTAAAAACACAAGTTTTTTAGTTTGTTTCGGTTTCAAAATAAAAAATTGAAAACTTAACTCCATATACTCCACGACACAAAGGGATACGAAATTAAACTTTAAAAGTATTTTTTTAACAAATTTTGATTGGAGCAAAATTAAACAAAATCGGCTGCAAGATTTGTAAACGTTTTTTTTTTTAATTTAACACCTTGAAACATTAAGATGATTGAAGAATGTAACTGACATCCACGTTGGAAAAGAAAACAAAAAAGAGCACCACCAATTCCAAATTTTTCTTTAAAATACTAACCTAAAATACAGCTAAGGCGTTCGAAATAATCCATTTTAACTTGCCCAATCCGAAAAAAAATACTTTTTTTTTAAGTCAGCGGCGTACATCTCTTTGACAAAAATATAATATTATTATTATCCAGCGCGCCAATGGTAGGTACTAGTGCCCGATTTTAGAAAAATCGTCTGCAAGACTTTGAAATAACTTAAGAAACGTTGTCAACACTTTAGGATGAGGTAAAAATACAACTGACCTGTACATTGCAAATGTCATCCTGAGTGACGTTCATGCACGCCGACTGTGGAATGCCGCCGATTGAATTGGTCGACATGGCCGCAAGCAAGTCTGCGATTTGTCTCACCACGATTCCTGTAAATTAATAAGACACATATTTCGATATTCCGAAAACTAACCGAAACAAATTAAATATTATCCACGAGGAGAATTTTATAAATAATTTATCTATACTTAGTAGATGAAATGAACCGCTGACGAAAAACTATTTAGAAATCAACTCTTTGATATAAGATCCAAGCAGTTAAAAGCGCGAAAAGTTCAATACGCAACTCCAATCTGAACTTACCGAAGGCCCTCGCCAAACAGCTCGCCGTCGTGGCCATGGTGATGGGTTCCGAGCTGGCCGCGACGGTGGTACTACCCGTCGTGGATCTTCTTAACGAGCTCGGGTCGATGAACACTAAATTCGATCCGTTAGCGAGACGCACACCGGTCGATCTGCCGGCTTCCCTCGACCTGATGGCCCACTGCATGTTTTGCGGCGCCAGATTCGACCGGTTTCCTTGACCGGTTGGGTTGCTAAAAAAGTTTGATTTGAGCCAGTGTGCCAAACGAGCCGACGATGCCAGAAAAAAAAACTTAGACACCCGAACAAGAAGTTTGCTTTGTCTCGCTTTGGTTAACGATGGCATCCAAATATTTTGGCAACCAGTCATTTTGTACCTGATTTCAATGCAAAAAAGCATACTCCTAGTCCCCCACGCATTCTACGCTAGTATAGGTTAGAATATATTTACACTCCGCAAAAAAAACGTATCGCATAATGCAGTTTTCAAGTGTTGGCGATTTCGAGGTTTGACGATTGTATTAAACATTATACATGTATAAACATGTTTGTTCTGTACTACGCGCTAAGCAACCACTTGCGAACCGGATATTTTATTAATGCCACATGTTAGGGCATCATATATACTAAAAATAGTTTTCGCGTGCAGTAAGACTTTAAGAAATATCCTTCGGACAGTTCATTCGAGCGTTACGTTATTATAGGGTTTGCGTTGAGTTAAATTGCGAAGACTTAGAAGAGGTGAGTGTTCTCAGGAGTACAGTAATTCAAAATTTATTTAGTTCTATACCCGAGGCATTAGATAAATTTAAATTTGTTCTTTCTTTGAAATAGTTCAAACGTTGTTACTTTGTTGCTTGAAAGTCATGCGTGTGTGTGTGTTGGGCGTTTCTGCCCTTCAGTATATTATGATCTATGCAAATCTGGTATTGTTCGTTAAGTCGTACTTGGCAGTCACAAGTGGAGCTCTCCAAGGGAGTAAACCTTGCCATCTCATATTTTTCATTAAATTACTACTATTTGCAGAAGATATGAGAATATTAAGATTTATCCACAATCAAGATGATATCACCTTCAGAAGGGCCTTCAAATTGTTGACTCTTGGTGTAAACTCAACAGATTGCCATTGAATATTTACAAATGTTTTTTTGTTAATTTTTCAAAAAGGGGTTGCATTGGTTTTGATTATTTTCTAGGCAATATAAAATTAAAACGAAAACTTGGGGGTTTTATTTGACACTAAGCTTTTGTTAGCTAACCATATCAATCAAACTTGCAACAGGGCGTTGAAAATGTTAGGATTCATATTTTTCCAATACTAATGAGCTTACGAGCGAACAGGCATTAGTTATGTTAGACCTAGGCTGGAGTATGGGGTCACTATATAGCAGCCTATTTTCAATAAATATATTATTCAATTATAAAAAGTTCAAACGAAATTTTTAAAATATCTAACTTTTAAGTGTGATGGTGTATTTCCACAGAGATGCTTTAATCATAATGTTCTCTTAAAGCGATTCGAAATACCGGTATTAATTAATAGTAGGTACTATACTTCAGTTCAAATTTTATTTAAATTATGTAGATATCTTATAGACTGCTCTGAATTATTATGGCACATCGGTTTTCATGTTCCTTCCCGTCAGTCAGAACATCTCCAATATTCCACCTTCCAAATCCCTCCATGAACTTCTTGATCAGCAGTCCACTCTTTGAAGCAAGGACATTCTTAATTGTATTTGTAATGATATAGATATCAATTGCACCTGCTCAGCTGTTTATATGGTTTATTTTGGTTTTGTTGGTTTTTACAATGTTGTTTATTGGTACGTTTTTGGTATTCAGAATTTTGATTTGACCTGGTAACTATACTTCGCGAATTAATTGTTTTGTTATTGGATATTACTTTATACCATAACAAAATATCTGTCATCTGTGTTGTTTTATGAGACTAAGTAATATTTACTTATATTTACATATATTCCTTATTAATTAGTAAAAATATATATTACAAAACTTTAAACTACTTTTTATTATATTTCTGGGAATCACAGGCAAATAAACTAGGTAAAACAATAACATATTAATTATAAAGTGAAGGGCAACGCAGAAAACAAAATTTATTGTTTAAATAAAATGACACTATAATAATTTAATAATAACATAATATAATAATTTAATACCGGCTGCTCCGGTTCTAATTACTGCTCTCATGGGACGTGGTATTGATTCAATTAGTCAATTGAAAATCATCAATCAATATACAAATCATCAAAATTATCCCATGCTTCAATACACGTGCTCTATAGTATTCATAACCGAATTTACAGCAGGGAAATCTATAACTTCTAATCCAACAACTTTTAGGTATTCAGATACAATTCTTGCCACGTATGGCCTTGCATTATCATGCATTCAGTTAAGTGAGCCAATCTCCAATATATTGCATGAATGTTACAATATACGGTTCTAAAATGCCTCTTGTATACCCTTGTATAACCCATCATTGATCCTTCATTCACCGCAGCTAAAAGGCCTCCCCACACTGTAAGAGATCCTACACGAAAATTGGAGTTATGTCACATTAATTATTATTTAATTATTTCTGAATATCTTTCAAAATGTCGTCTGTAAACTGGTATGTCTATTAGAAACAAAAAGGCTAAACTTAAACTCGTCAGTAATCAAAACATAAGCTCAATAGATTCAATTTACACGTTCCCTGGCAACCCTAAATGGCTTACACGATTTGCTGTGGTGAGATGAGGCACTGTCACTGCAACTCTTGCTCATATTTCATTCTCTCTTAACCTACTACATACATACAGCTGGGCTACTCAGGCTTATATTTCGCACATTATTTAAGTCATTTCGCAGTTCTCTTGCTGTCAGATTCTTAGCTATCATCATCAAAGCAAATAACAATCATTTTAACAGCTTGTGCATCGAGGACGCCCAAAAACAGACCTCTCCTAATTTCCAGTTTCTCTATACCGAGATACTGCCCACGACACACTGGGTTAATAAACAGTTATTAATTGATTTAATCATTCGCTGGGGTTTAGTACAATAACAGAGATGATTGTTTTGTACATTTCTATAGGCTCTACAAATATTATGTATCATTTTACCGATTATGCAAAACTTGATTTGCGCGTGTTTTTTTTTTCCAATACTTAATTTTTCAAAAATCTCAATTGGATCTAACCAAGTTTTATCAAAACCGGTAAAGGTGATAATACTCTATTAAAAACTCCTTTTCTTAAAAAAAAAGCACCCTATGCTTTTGGAATTGGAGGATACCTGACATGGCGTAAGAGCATCCTTAGTTTTACTTGCCCAAATATAATGCCATATTTGAAACATTTTTTAATAAAATATCACTTTTGACAGATGGCAAGTGCCACTGTGGCGAGTCTACCAAAAATTTGTCAAATTTCGAACATAAAACTAGCCAAAACTAGAATTTAATTAAAGTTTCATTGCAAAAAATCTTAGGCGTTGCGAGCTTTTTAAAAGAAATCGTTTGATCAGAAGCTCATCATACAACATCCGATTGGAGCAAACAGTTAAAAAAAGAAATATGATCTTATAGATCAGCGTCTATGATTGTGGAAGGAAAACAAAAATTGAAAAAATACGGTAACGCCCCCACAAACGCTTGTTCGGACTATTTCGATGACCTCAACGCCCCCAACGTGTTTTAAAACTAACCAACCTTCGTCTTTCCAACTGCTCGTCGTTGAGGGTGTAATCCTCGGTGTCTTGTTCGTCGGTCTCCCCCGCCTCGCTCTCCTCCTCTTCCTGTTGACTGGATTCGCCGCTCTCGTCCTCGGGGAAAAGCAACATGCCTCCTGCAAATCGTCAATTTGTATTCGCGAATCAGAAACAGCAAAAACACTAAAATAACATAGATTTTTATTTTTAAATATTTAATAGTTCACCCATACATGGCGTCGGGTCTAAAGGCACTAACTAGTGCTTCTTGTTTGTCATAGTGGATGACTTGCCAGATAAGAAGAAAGTAGCCCTATTCAACACCTTTGCGTTTGCTTGAGCAGAAAAGGATACGCTAGATGTTAGGGAGTTTGATAGTTCCTTAACTGAGTTTTGTGCACCTGTTGAGATGACAGACTAAGATCAAAACGACATGGCTAGAGGCAGCAGAATTATTATGGGCATTTTGGTTAAGCATGTCCGAGAGACATTATTAAGAGAACCTAAGCAAACTTTAGAAAAGGCTGTTGCAGACTTCTTAAGCTAGTACGTCTATAGCAGTATTGGTTTTATACAATAGTCCAAAGCGCATTATGGATCTATAGACGAGTGGTCCAAAGGACAACAACAATTGGCCCAGGCCAATAAAGCTAGACTACAGAGACAGGCGTGTATGGCGGCTACACTAGGGGCTGCCCTACAAGGTGGACAACCCACAGAATATATCATGCGGCCTTCGACAGGCTGCAGGCGTGCGTTATGGAGAGCACTCGGTGGCTAGAAATGTTACTGAACCATAGCGTTTTGGAGCTCCCATCAGGCATTACGCCTAAGGCAACTACGTCGAATCTGTCAAATGGGGAAGAGTGGCACAGAATAAGACTAGTCTACTGGGGAAAGGATAGCGTTGGTTCACAGGCGATTGCATCTACTCGGAACATTGAAAGATGGAGGTAAAGATCGGCCTTCGTACATATCCCAGCATATTCAAAGCGAAAGTGCATGTCAGCGAGATCAATATACTTACTGATGGCTAGAAGCATTGCAGGTGTTAAAATTGCCTCGATGCTCCTCCAAAACCATAAGAAACTGTCAAGAGGATGAATGAAATACATGTTAGAGACCCGAAATAAGGTAACCCTGATGTGGATATATGCACAGAGTCGTCTGAAGGGAAACGAAAAAGCAAACTGTGTGGCAGGGAACAGGACAGTACTAGTCCATTTAAAGACAGTAATAAATATAATGTAACATCAAGCACACAACTCACACCCTGGGCAGGGCAAACCTGAAAACCTTGATAGGGACACTGCAACCTCAAACACTACGTCCACAAAATCGGTTTTTGGACAAGGAAGAATGCAGAATGTGTATAGAGGATGACGAAAAGGTCAAGCAATGCGTTGATACCGCCCCACAAATTAACGGACTTCATACGACGGCCGAACTTGATGTGATAGACATAGCAGCATTTGTTGCAGGAGAAAGCCACAAACAATAACCTATACATAACCTAACTTAAGTCTAAAGTTGAAATGCCTAAGAATGAATGTAACATTGAGATTTGATAAACGAAAAGAAAAAACAAGAGTTGAAAGCTTTTATAGTTTATATGGTTACGAAATGGAGTTGAAAATAATAACGATAATAAAGGCGTTTAATAGAGTTATAAACAATATAACAATAACAAGTTAACATTTTGACAAAAAGTCTAATAAATATTGGTATAATGTTCTACCTGAGCGAGGAAAGAGAAAAAGTGTACATAAATTACATTTGTAACTTATATCAAACAAGAATGATTAATGTTCTCGCGAGAATCAAACACAAAGTAATAATAAAATTTAATTCCACTGAGGAGCGCACAGCTACGAAGAAATTTCTTTTTGTTGGCTAAAGTTTTTTATTATGTTTGGTAAATTATTTAAACATAAAACAACATTATATGATAAGGAGCGTTTAAAAATTTCAATTGCATGCGTTGGAGGAGTAAGCGTTCCCTTAAATCGCATATTCAGGTTATGTAAGTCACAGCGATAGCTTATTATATGTAGCATGGATGAGATTTTATACTTAGTAGAACCGCAAAATGAAGAAATATTCTATTTATCATATTTACCCAATTAACTCTCTGTGGACCTTTTGAATCCCAAAATTAACCTCAACGTAACTGATACAAAATCAGAGATTTGCAGGACAGTGTTATATGATTCCTGCTGAAAAATTCACGATATTGATTTATAAATTAACATTAAATAAACCTTTTGGACATATGCTTGGAAAATCCCAAACCTCATTCAATCCATTATCATTCTTTCTCACCGAATCATAAAACTTTATTTTTTTCTTATTATAATTTCATAGTAAAGAACATCACGTATACAATGAAGAATGGTGGTCCAAAAATGGACCCCGAGGTATATCTTTATTGACGTTTATTAAGTTATGAAGTTATGAAGCTAAAAGAAGAAGCCTAGACACTCACCGGTATCAGATCCGGCCGTGGCGCCGGTTTGAACCGACCTCTGCGCCGACGCCGCGTCTTGATTGCTGTGATTGTCATCGCTGTCCGACTCGGTTTCCGCCAACAGATCCAGTTCGGGGTCGCTCTCCTCGCCCTGCAGCCGGTTCTCCTGCTGGTCGGGGACCACCTCTTGGTTCTCGTTCTCTGCCAGGGAGGAAGCCTGGCCAACTAAAGACAAATCTCGATCGGCGGACGCGTCCTCGTGCTCAGACGCGTTGTCGTCGTCGTTATCGATGGCCATATCTAGGAGTCGATTATTTACAACCCGCCGGGGAAGATCGAACCATCTCTTACTCTCCCCGTCGACGATGTTGAGCAGTTCCCTCGCGGTTTGGGATCTGCGGATCGAATCGCTCAAGAACGGAAACGGCTCGGTCGAGTTGTGGGCGGTGCTCGGTCGCGAACCGCTAGGCGCCAGCGGATCGACCAGAAACAGTTCTTCCGATCCCTAAATTTCAAAATACGAAGTTAAGAAATGTTTTGTTTTATAATGGTAACGGTTAAGTTTTTACAAACCCCGAGAATCTATCAATTGTACGCGAAACGTGTTCATTATTCTTATAAAACTTTTGAGCAATTTAATGGACGATCTTATAAAGGTGCCCAAGTTTTAATCCCATATAAAACTAAACTCTTCATTTATTTGTAAATAAGAAGTCGTCGTTACCCCTATAAACCACAAATAACTTTTATAAAAGCAAAAAATACATTTTCGTTACAGCTACGAAACCTACCTACAGTGTCTATAAACACCAAAAAACGAGCCATTTCGCTTCGCTTTTTCCACATAATTTGTTCACAATATATTTTATGTCATTGTCATTGCTTTTTTGCAGTTGTTCTAAGTTGACAGCAATGAATTTTTACTTTGACATTATTATGAAAATGTCTTAAAATAACAAACTCAAAACTCTGAAAATTTCTTCTGAAGACTTAATTTCATTTGGAACGAAATATATATATATATATATATATATATATATATATATATATATATATATATATATATATATATATATATATATATATATATATATATATATATATATATATATATATATATATATATATATATCCCACTATCTTCCAAGCGTCCGTACATTAACAATTTGCCATTTTCCGAGCGTCCGTCTACAACCGGGCGTCCATATAAGGACGCTCGGATGCAGAGCTATAGAAACGGAATATACACCATCTAACTAGTCTAAATTAAAATTTTCAGAAGGACGCTACGATCATACAAAACTGAATTTTCTTGTATATTGTTAGTCAACTGTATACCCGGTAGAGGCGCGAGACCCAGTCTCTGTATATTTTACAAGATATATTCTACTTTCAGCTAGTTGATTTCCAGGCGTCCTTTGCGCCTTTGTTACGTGGCAACACTGTCACTAGTAACTTTTCCAGACTGGCGCGAAATTGTGGGGTAACGGCTCTGCATTGTCTAGTTGTTTTATTAGCTTGTAGAAACGGTGGAAATAGATAATTTAATTAAGTACGCTAAGTTGGAATTAACGGAAACGTAACACTTTTCTATTAAAAAATTAAATAATTAATAAATGTTTATTCATATTCATCATATTTATCATATCTATCAATCATATTTACATCCTGTTGCCAATGCCGTACCCTTTATATGATGTTAGATGTTAATGATATTAGAATTTAAAACAATATTGTGTGATACACATCGGGAAACTCTTCTGTTTCGCTTGCTCTCTTCTTATCGAGAAAATCCGCTCAATGCATAAACATTCTTTTTTCAACTACTTGTGAACTCGCGTCGGACAACAATCGCAATAACAACACCCAAGGCTCCAGGTGGGAATCAAACCTACAACCTGCTGCAAGTCAAGTTGGCAGGTCTAACGACTTACCAACCGAGCCATCCTCGATCACTTAAAAAAAATTATTTTTTTTATTTAGTTGCACGAATTGCTATTTTTCGATTATTTAATTATTATTGTATTATATAAATCTTCAGCTCCATTAGGCAACATTATTAAAATAACATTTTAATTAAACAAAGTGGCACCAACAAGTTTTGGTCTTTTATATGCGAATATTATGCAATAACTTCAGAATCTTTTTTAATTTTTGGGTACATTTTTAGAATTATTACGTTCTTCCGATAATTTCTGCTAAATACTATTTAGAGCGGTGTTCGAAATATTAAAAATATCGAATATAAATAATTATATTATATAAGAAGTAGTTGGAATTTGCAAATTAAAATATCGTTTGCTAAATACTTATCTAAATAATTGCGTAATAAAGTATTTTGATTTTATCATCTAATATTATATTAATATTAATTATAGTCCGCAACATATAAAAACTATTTTAAACTATTTTATTGAACGATTTTTGCTTTTAATCAAACCAAAATAAATTTGAAAAGTAACGTTTCTATATTTTAGTAACAATTATCATTTTGAAATTAACTTTGATAAAAGTTATTCGATAAAAGTGTTCTTTTTAATAGTTACTTTTTTTTCATTGTAACCTAAGATATAAATAAAAATAAAGTTGAACAAGGAATGAGAGGAATAGTAAGTAAAGTACGGAATATTCAATAATGTGTCACCACTGCCACCGAAAAATATTTGGCTATATGTAACAATGTTTTTCTAAATATACTCTCAAAGTGCATACCTAGTGCAGACCTCTGAACTAAAGTATCTTTTTAGGTGATATATTCTCTATAAACTTTTGCCTCGAGATAAAAAGTGACTCTTTAGTTCCTTAGATACCATCTAATTTTTTGTCCCAAATTCATTAAAAAAAAAAACTTTCAAATTCCTGCTCTAAAATACCTATTATTCAGTGTGGCTTAAAGACGTTACCTAGGGCTGCGAGCCACTTCGGATATTTCCGGTGATATATCACCTTGTTGTAAACTTCTTTAGTCACTTATTTATTAAGCACTAGCTCCGTTCGTGCCAAATAAATTAATCTGGCGTTTATCAAACTTGTCTAGCAAAAAATTTCTAAAGATTTTTTTTTAAAGGAAACTTTCACAGAATAATGTAAGACTATTTACAAATATTCTGCATTCTACCTGCGTCGGTGGTTGATAAAACTTGCTGACGTTTCGCAACCATCCTGGAGATCTCACAGCTGGTCCAGTTCATAAATTTGACCGTTACACGAAAAATATGTTCCCGTCAAGTATTTTTCAATTTGGTTGAGTAAGTTTGGTTCCACATTCCCGAATTGCAATATATCTGAAAGAGCTATGTCAAAACTAACCAGAGAAACAGAATAAAAAATATACGACTGACGAATAAAGTCATAAGCAGTTGCCGAAAACAATAATGAAACCGAAATCTCATTCGATCAAATTAAAAATTAATCAATGTAATCAATTCTTCTACGAGTGAAATATCCGAAAATCCATAGAAATCTCTAAATAACCAAACAATCTTAACCGCGTCTCTGTCTTTCACCAATATGGAAATCCGAGACAATGTTCATGTCCCTCCTTTAGCTCCGCCTCTCTAAAACAGTCTATAAGTGGGTTCAGAATAGATTGTGAGAAAGCTTCACTTAAGCTCTGAAGAAGCCATCAGGATGAGTGGCGAAACGTCAGCAAACGTCGACAAACGATGCTGAGGGGATGTATAAGATCTATAAATAGCCTTCTGAAGAAAATGTTAATTTTGACGAGTAACGAATGCCTCTCTCATCGCAGTTGTCTGCGTTCTTTATAATTTTATAAAAATTTAAAAAATGCTTAGTTTTATTAAAACTAAAATAGTAACCTCTAATTATTCCTCCTAAATATTCCAAATAACTAACATCGGTCCATTTTAGGCCAACATTAAACACACAAAACACAGTAATATGATGCCTCCGTTGGCCTCGTAAAAGAAAATAATTGAAAATGATATTAATTTCTAAATTAACAGTTTTTCTTAATTCGGTACAATAATTTATTGATCTGCAAATAAGTCAACCGTCAAGAACTTAATTTTTAACAAAACTTCTGGATTCCTCCTGCGTCGGTTTTTGCTGGGTCGAAATTGCTGACATTTCGCCAATCATCCTGTTGGCTTCTTCAGAGCTTGACTGAAATCCAGAAGTTGTGATTAAGATTGTTAGGGTGTTTATAGATTTCTATAGACTCTCGGATTTTTCGTTGGTAGGAGAATTGATTACATGCAAGAATTTTAGTTTTATCGAATAAAATTTTATATCCGGTTTCGTGATTGTGTTCGGCAACAGCTGATGGGTTTATTTGTCTTAGTCGTAAAGTTCTTTCGTATTCTTTGAGCCTAGTTGATATTTTTCGACCGATTTCTCCAATGCATTCTTTGCTGTAAACTCCTGGCATCTCAAATTTAATTTTATCTTTGACGAACCGAACATGTAGAGAGATTTTGGACTTTTGATATGCGGTTAGCAATATTTTGACTGTAAGTCGCAAGTGTAGGATTGCTTTCGGCTTGATTGCTATTGGAATGTTGTGGTGAAGTGTATATCGAACGCTTAATAGCTTTAATGTGGAAATTATTAGAGAGAAGAGCAGAGAAAGAGGTTGAATTAATGTTTTAATTCTGGGTTCAGTGACTCGGGCTGAGATAGTTTTACGGCTCTCTAAACAAGAGAGATGTTGAGAGTTTCAGGAATAGTAACTTTGGTAAAGAGGGATTCTTCGTCGAAAATAACTAGAATATCTTGTGTATCTAATGTAATTAAATGAACACCAACATGGGAATCAGTCATCCGAGACGGTGTTTATGCCCCTCATTTAGCTCCGCCTCCCTCAAAAAATATGTAAGCAGGTACAGAGTAAAATGCGAGCCAGTTTCAGTCAAGCTCTGAATATGCCACAGGATGATTGGCGAAACGTCAGCAAATTCGACTCAGCAAAAACCGACGCAGGAGGAATCCGCAAGTTTTGTAAAAAGTTTTACAGTAGCCTGTGGAAGTTTCTTTGAGAAATTAATAATAGTATTTATTTTCAATTATTAAGTTGTAAAAAAAGTGGTTTAGATTGCCATTTAAAAAATATTAGTTATTAAGGCACCTCTGAAATTAACACTTTTTATGTAAATTTAGATCCAACCAGCAACTGATTAACGTAGTTACAAGTGCAATATTTCTGGCAAACATATTGCCTTAAAATCAATCAAAGAATTACTTTCCGAAATCGGGCGACGTATTAAAGAAAACATCTACAAAAAGAAGTTAAGTTTAGCAAGATCTTTAAAAATTAAAAAATCGACCAAAAAAAAAAAATAGAATAAAAAAAACAGTTCGCAACAAAGTATTAATCAGAATATAGGGAAAATATGAATCGCCTTATACCCGCTCGACTATGCACCGTCATGTTAAAAACGAGAAGCGTGTTCTGAAGACGATACCTATTTATATGTATTTTAATACACAATCAATCGGGCAACGTTGCTCGGACGCTCAGAAATCTGCGCAATAAATGAAAAATATACATAAGGACGCTAGGATGCTGGAATGTAAAAGTTTTTCCGTGTATATTGGACGCTAGCAAGTTACCTTTATGAAAGGACGCCGACATATTAGTATCTTAAAACTTCACAAATGATCTTCGTAATATCTGGCCTAAGGAAACCCAACGCCATCTCGTTTACAAAACTTAAAAATATTCACTTGCTAAAGTAGGGATCTTTAAGAAAACGATACTGGACTCTCAGAGACGGACCTATGAAAGGACGCTCAGAACAACTTTTTCTAATTATTCCATAAAATCGGCACTTTCTATCATCAATAATTTTCCACATTTTCAAAGAAACTGTGACCTAGTGTGCGGCCTACAGGTTGGTATAACTAGGTTGATATATTTTTTTAAAATTTGACAGGATTATTTTGTTTCCTTATTTAATATATCAACCTAGTTATATCAACCTGTAGGCCGCACACCAGGTCACAGTTTCTTTGAAAATGTGGAAAATTATTGATGATAGAAAGTGCCGATTTTATGGAATAATTAGAAAAAGTTGTAATATGCAATGAAAGCACTGTTACATACGGGGTGGTCCAATAGTAGGATTAAAATTAACATTTTATTTATGTAATACTATTTCAGACAAGTTTTACATGTTTTTTGTGAATACTTTAAAGCAATGTACATAACATACCAGGTGACCAAATAAAGCGACTCAAACTTAAGATTTTTTAAGTGTAACATCCAAATTTTGGTTAAGTAATATATATATTATAGTGCATGGGTGTAACAAACTGCTTTCATTTTCTATCCAGTAAGATGTTACAGACACATGACATTGGACGTCGCATTAGAATTGCAAGCAAGAACACGAGATTGTAACCTAAAAGTTGTTTGAAAATGATTGCCCAGTTAGAGCAAATTCAAGTAAGAGACAGTTCTCAATGAGTTTTTTTTTTCGATTCTTAGTATCTCAAATAATGAAAATGATTCTTTTTGAATGAGAAACTAAAGCTACACACAGCTTGCTTTTGATTCTATTAACCTTTTTCCAATTCTTGAGTAAATCTAATAGCAATTTCTAGCCAAGATTTCTTTACAAACGGTTAATTTTAAATTTGACATCAAAGATAGAGAAAGTAACTTCTTTTAAATAATTTTACCAACTTTATCTGTATCAAATGCTGTTTGATTAAAAAAATGCACTTTGGGGACATTTAAATATTTCCACAGACGCAATAATCATCAATTTATTGTATTAACTAGATTAGCTCCTAAATAATATGATAAAAATGTAACCTAACCGTGATATAAAACATTTGCTTTGCCTATTTGAAGGCAGTCCAAAGCAGAGTTTCCTTTGTAGCTTTTAAATACCTTTATACTAACAAAAAGCATTAATAAAAAAATACTGTTTTTTTTATTTAGCAATCTACACACTCTCTTCTTAAAAGCTGACTTAAAAAAATACTTGTTATTTTATTGATTAAATTTGGGGTAAATTTATCAAAATTTAGAGATAAATGTACATAAGAATAAAGTTTAGACTAACCAATAGTTATTTCATGAATTTTAAACCAGTTATATAGTGATTCTAACAAAATTAAAACAAACTTATAGATTAAGAAACGTGCTCTCATGCGCACCGCAATTCTTATTAGATGCCCCAAGCCTGTCTAATAAATCTGAGTAGGCAGAATGTATTTTTTATGTTTTAACTTTTTCAATAGTGCCCATCGTGGGCGGGTACCTACGTTAAGCACGTCGCTGGGAGAGGTAGCCAAGGAAAACGGGGCGGTAGGTCGGGCCACGCCCAACCGGACGGGCGCAACTAGCGAGTCGGCGGTTTCGCACAGCTCCTCGATCGCCAACTTGCTGAGCGATTGGAATATCCGTTTGCATTTCATCACCGGCTGGTTCTGGTCTCTCAGGCTGCGTTTTTTCACCGAACTGGGCGCCATCTCGATACTGAATATGACAAAGATCCGCACCACGGACCGGACGAAACGTCGGGCGACGAATTTCGCGAACTCCGCTTGTTTCTTGTCCGCGTTCTTCATCTCCTTGATGAGCGTCTCGACCAGAATGTCGGTGACCATTTGACACTTGACCAAAAAGCAATGCGTGAATTTGTCGAGCAGGGTGGTGCCCGATTGACCCGAAATATACGGCTGGTCGGCGTATTGCGCGTCGCTCGATTTTCGAGTGCCGGACATGATCATGCTCTTCACCGCTTTCCAATCGGACAGAAGGCATTCCAAAGCTCTGCGGCTAAACCGCGGCGGTTCCAGGTCGTGCTCGGGCATGTCCGATTCGACTGAAACAATTTCGTTCGTTCCGTTTCCGGGTCATAGGGCTCCAATTTAAGGAGAGGCGACAGTGACGAAATCAGGAAGTACCCGGTATAAATGTCAAAAAACTCACACCCGCTCGTTTGTTTAGTCCGAGAGTTTACTTCACGTTTGTGAAGTGTGCAGAGTCTTCTTTCTTGGTTGTTTGTGTGTGATTATTATTTCATTTTTATATAATATTTAATTATACAGTGATCTTTGGGTCTTTACCACTGGTGTAATTTGCAGGCTGGTAAGCATATAAGTCTATTCTCTTTCACTAAAGATACTTATCAGTAAGTAGATTTTTTTGTGTGTATTTTTCATTAAATTTAATTTAGAATAGTATGTTTATTTAAAATATTTCAATATTCTGGCGAAAACGGACAATAATTCGCATTAATTTAAGCAAATAATATATGTTTAAAAAATGCTTGACTATTATCCTCTAGAACTTATGTTTTTGCTACAGGCACATGGAAAAACAAAAATATCACCTAATAAACAAATAACTAAATGCCTAGTTTTATTTTTCATTATAACAATGTAACAAAATTAAAAATACATTGTGAGTACATAGTTACATTTTTTTATATGAAAATGTTTTTATTGATGATAGTTCCTATAAAGTATTTAAAAAATTATTGATCTTGATAATCTATACCTTTACACCTTGATCCATTCTATTATCTTTTTAACATATTTAAGAAAAAACTAGAAACACACAATTACTTTTAGTAGGGAAAGACGAATTTATTTGAAGAATATATTTGAGAGCAGCTTCGCTTCGAAGGGAAAACAGGAATATCTATTTTCAGGACGAATCGTGGTTAGAAGAAAACTATACCTCTGATTCTATTTACGGATTTTCAATTCTTGCGTAAATCTAATAGCAATTTCTAACAAAGATTTCTTTACAAACGGTTAATTTTAAGTTTGACATCAAAGATACAGAAAGTAACTTCTTTCAAATAACTTTACTTTACCAACTTTCCTTGTATCAAATGCTGTTTAATTAAAAAAATGCACTTTGGGGACATTTAAATATTTTTTACAGATGCAATAAATTTGATTCAATGAATTAACTAGATTAGCTCCTAAATAATATGATAAACAGGTAACACAACCGTGATATATGCTTTCCCTATTTGAAGACAGGCCAAAGCAGAGTCTCCATTGTAGCATTGGATTATGAAAAATGATACTTTAAACACTATATTGTACCCCCTATTATTTCTCTGTACTTAACCTGACAAATATTGTAAATAGGAGAATTTTTGAAACTTCTATATAAGTTTTTATTAATTGAGGTAAGAATAACTAATATCTCATTTATCTTCTCTCTATCATTATAACAATGTTATAATTATATTTATTATTCAAATAAAGTACATGTAGATATCAAAAACACAAATAAGGAAAACAGTAATTGTAATTTATCTTAAATTAACGATCCATACTGTTTAATGATCTCTGTAATTGCAAATTTTCAATTTATGCCTCTCTCGTATTAAGTATAAATCTCTTTATAAGTTGGTAAACAAATTTCTTTCAGTCTATACCGGGTAAAAACGTTAAAAATGGACTCTCATATATTTCAAGTGTGTCGACGCTTATTGTCGCCTCTCGTTTCAACTTTCCAAGGATATGAGGGAGTGCACTTACTGTCGGACGATGGGGTTTTGTTCCTCGAGTTCGACGACGTAGTGCGTGGCCGCGAGTTGCGAAATTGTCTCTGTTCCTGGTTCTGTCTGCCCACCGTTTGCACCAAGAAAAGCAGTATGCTTTCGCCCCTAAAACAATGGGAGACCGTTTCCTAATTTTCAATTCCGAAGTATCTTACGGCTTTCATAGTGCTTAAAATTAAATTGTACGCTTAATGATCCGCCTAAAATAACGACAGGTGTACAGCAAGGTAAGATCCTGGGACAGATTCTCTTTATAACTTATATTATCTCTGAACTGAAAGTCGAAGTAATATCCTACGTCGACAGCACCGGTTATTGTTTAACGGAAGCACAATTCAAGCAACTCAAGACTGAGTGATTCAGGGCTTCAAGACTGTTAAGAATTGGCTGGACTCTTTTAAATTAACTCTAAACCTAATAAAAATGAACTACAGGTTTTTTATGAACAGGCCCAGTTTCAATACTATGAGAATTGGTGAAGTGGAGACAATAGTGAGCGTGGCGTGACTAAAAATTTGGAAACTGTAATTAATCAGAATCTAAAATCCATATGCTTTATACTCTGAGAGAATTCCTTGATATAAAAGCGATCCAATTAATTTCCAAATCTCTCAAAAAATCTCAAAAGTTAAAAAAAAAAGTAAATTACACATTTTTATTTCATTTTTTAAAATTTATTATATATTTATTTTATACATATTACGGCCAGGAAATGGTTATGAAGGCGTCCCGTTTGTATGCTAAAATCGTCAATTTATTTCTTTGTAATATCTATATAATTACATATTTCCGAAACAAGCTTTAAAATTTAAGGGTCATTATATTTTTTTTCTTTTTTTTTTAAATCTAGTAGATAATTTGTGTATAACAAATAATTAATTAAATGATAACAGTTGAGAAAAAACACTGATTCTTTTTAACCTACAAAAAATCGTGTTAATTTTGAAAATAGTGTACACTTACTAGGGACAATTTTTTTTAGGTAAATTCTGATCGTGGGAATGGTTTACGCATTAAACTAACCAAACGTTTGTCTCCACTTTGTTAAAATACATATTGAAAAAAAAAAACACTAAATAATTTACCTGTTTTTCCAAATATCAAAAATTTTTATTGACATTTATTTTTTAGTTTTGGTTAGTTTCGGACCACATTGGACGGCCACAATTTAATGAATTCTATATAGGTGCATTTGATGATTTTCTCTAAAATTGATGGTTTAAGTTAAACATAACGAAAAACACATTATTAAGATATCAGTCTAGTTCATCAAGTTTGACTGTTTTTGATTTTGATTGTTTCAATAAAAAGCGTTCCCATATGATTGGGACTTTAGTGGTGACACTGACACTGCATAAAATAAATTCTCTAACCCTGCAGTCAATAAATTTTCATCTAATTCGTAAAAAATAATACTTGAAAAAAAGGACGTACCTCGAATTGGGCAAGCAGACCAAATTCGTCTCCTTCACCAATCTGCTGAGCAGCTCGTAACGCACTGACTGATTGCCCATGATCAGCGCTTTGCACTTGCACTTCTCCCAACAGTCGCAATAGGCGGTCGGCGAAGTCTTCTTCAACTTGCAGTCGTGGCCCTTGTGACATACCCGCGCACACTCGGTGCAACAACACAGAGTGCCGGTCAGGCCGCAGGTGCGACACTCGAATATGTCCTGGTTGATGTGTTCGGCTCCGGTCCACGTGAAACTGCATGTGTCGTTACAGCAGAGCACGTGCAACGGCGAGTGGTCGGGATTCGAGCCTTTCGGGAACACCATCTCCTCGCGTTCCTGGGGCGTTCCCAGTTTGGTGATGCGCTCGAATATCTCGAGGGCGGCCGGATAGCTGCGCGAAGAAACCGCCAGCATGAACGGCGTCTGACCTTGCGCGTCTCTGAGAACGACAAGAATTATTTAATCATATTATTATTAAAATTAAAGCTTTCGCGCCTAATAATATTAATAAGTTTTATTTCAAGTTTTTCTCACGATAAAAATAAAAAAACGAAACGGCAACAACAAATTAATTTTCACTGCACTGCAAACAGTCGGTGGCTACTTATCTTCTTAAATTTGGAAGGTAGTTTATTAAATAGGGTGGTGAGTAGCACTCTATTACGATCCCGGTAAGAGACAGGCTACTTCAGGAATTGGCAATCCTGCCCTATGCTAGTCACTCTTACCTTCCACCTCCCCCTCCAGGAAGGAGCAGGTCACTTACCCTCATCCTATCCCACCAATCATAATATCCTTACGTATCCCAAACTCCTTGACATTGGGAAGCAGCTACGTCAATACTAGATCAAGACCATCGAAAAATGATTTCCTTAAGGACTTGATACTAGACACCCATAGGCGACTATCAAATCTTGATTATATAGGCTATGATACTGCGATATAGAAAGCAAACGGAAAACTATTGTATTAATAATTTCAAACAATCTCTACGGCTGACGAAAATATAAACAGGGTCCTCAGTCCGGGACACCTTTTAAAAGAGGAAAGGGTGCTAAGAATATCCCCGTCGTCTACCATGGAAAACAGAACTCAACTATATAACAAAACACTACACGGACTGGAAGTCCAAACACTGCATATGGCAGGGAAACTAGCCAATGTTGAAAAAGAAAGACAACGTCTGAGGTTTGATATCCTTGGTCTAAGCGAAGTCAGATGGACTGACACTGGCCAACAAAAGACTGATAAAGGACATATATACTACTCGGGAGGGTCACAACATCGGCATGGAGTTGCTATCACACTGTCATTCGAAATCAATAAATCGCTAATCAACTTTACAGTGATAGAATAATGATGTTGCAATTAAGAACAACTCATAGAACAATGAACGTAATTCAGGTTTATGCTCCAACATGCGATAGCTCAGAACAAGACATAGAAAGTTTCTACGACGAACTACAAGAGATAACGAAACTGGTGAAATAGGGTGAAGTGGCTGTCGTTATGGGTGACTTCAACTGTAACTTTGGATCGGGAACGGATAATGAAATAGTCGGATAATACGGTTTTGGACAAAGATAACAGGACAAATTCCCTCGATTGGCTTAAATCGATCTTCATCCCCATACCCAAGAATGGATATGGAGTTTGAGAATTTGCTGTTTTGGTGAAAAAAAATTGGAGTACGGTTTAGATCTGATGATAGACAATATTTAAGAAGATGTGTTGGCGCAAGCAATAAAAATAGCCCGATTTCAATACAAAAAGGTATTGAACAATACAATGCTACCGTTTGCAGAAGGTGCTATTTAACAGGACAGTAATCTGAAACACGTATCCAACTTAGTGAGTAAATGGTTTAGAGAGAAAAACATAACGGTCTTGAATGGTCATCTCAATCGCCAGATCTGAACTGGACCAAAGATCTCAATCTCAATATCTTAACATTCTAATGCATTCCAATGTTAAAAATCAACAAGAACTCATCAATCAGATTGGTCGAAAAGGGCTGCAAAAATTCTAAAACAAGTTGGTTAATCATCCTATGCATAGAGGATGCCAGGCCATCCTACATTCTTGAGCCTATGCCACAAAATTCTAAAAGTAATATATCATATTGAATGAAATATTTTGCGTAGATTAAATAAAACTTTCCATACTTTTTTCCACCACTGTATATTGCTTCATAATCTAGACCTATTTATATTTTTCTAGTAGTATTAGTTGTTGAAATATTAACAACAGCAAGAAATTGATTCCATTTATTTATTTAAATGAGGGCTGCTTCGTAATTAATTGTCTTGGAAAATCTAATTTCACACGAACACACTTTGTTTATCGTGACGCAGTAAATATCACCTTGTGAGAATTGTTACACTAACATTCTATTGTATTGTGGTATACTAGTCATTGTATCTAATAAATATTTAATATTAATTAATTTTATTTTTTTTTAAATATTTATATAAGTTATGAGTTATGTTTTAATCTTGTATGCGGGACAATAATGCATCGTGACGTCACAGCCAATTTTGTCGATATTCTTGGGCTCTGCATCTATTAAATCTTGAAATGCGTATAAAATTGTCGAGTCGGTGCATTTCAAAAATATTTGGTAGGTGTATTTTAAATTTACCAATAAACATTTCTAGCAAAATACAAAAAAATAGGTGGTTGGGTTCTGCACGAATAGAATGGAGTTTTTCCTGAAACTAACATTTTATTCGTGTGTAAGTGTGCGCCGTACGGCCCTTTTGTGTCATCCGAACGAAGACTTTTAGGCAGTCTAACTACAGTTTCTCCAACTTAATTTTTGTTTGTTTTTCGATCCGGCCGTTTGTGTTTATGTTCAAACTACTCACTTAGAGCAGAGAAATTCGACCAGATGGTTCTCGATCGTCGACGATTCGTAGAGGAGCGCGTGGAGAATTTGCATGGCGTTCGATCTGCGCTCCGAGGGATCCAAAACGTTGCCGGACACGCTATGGTTGTGCGCGCCGCCCTTGTTCGCAGCGCTGCTGCCGAGACTAATAATACTGTCTTCGTCGCCCGAGGCACCGTCGAAAGATTCGGGCGGCCAACTTTGCGTCGGGATTGGATCTTCCGGCACGTACTGATCTGTAAAGGTGTCAAATGACCGGAAGTAGTTATCGGTCTGATGTCTTCGCCCATAACCCAAAGTTCAAAAAATCACAATTCGCTGATATTTAAATTTTTAAAACTTTTATGAATGACCAATGAAATACTTGGAAAATTTATTGATACCCATTCAAGCAAGCTAGCTTCCTTTACTCACGAATTGTGTAATAAGTTGAATCCTTGTGTTAGTTACAGAGATTCTTAAAAATATTTTCCTGGTATGGACTAGGTGTATACTATATATTTTATTGGTAATATCAAATATTTATTTAAATAGGTTGACTTTATAATAATTTAACTTTATACAATGTATGCAGAGAGATCCTTTAATACACAGCCCCAACTTAGGAGTGCATTCATCAACTTAAAATCAGAGAAAAAGGTCGGGTGTCAGTCAAAGTCTTCCCAAATTAAAAAACCAATATAAAAAACGTTTGCTAGAAAGCAAAGTCGTTGCGCAAGATAGTTTGAAAGGATGGGTTGAAAGTGTAGCACCCTGTGCTTTAATAGCTCCCTTTCATTGAATTTATAAAGCGCACCAGGTGTACCAAACTTTACTTTATTATCAAAATTGTGGGAGAAAATTTGAAAAAACCTAAGAAGTGTTGAAACTTATCTGTGTCATTTTTTATTTATTTTGTTATGAATTTGAAAGTTAATTGATCTGAAACATTTAAGACTGTTAGATTCAATTCGTTACGATCAACCTCCATAATTGCCTCTAATATACATATTTCACATTCCCTCTAACCCCTTCTGATTACATCGCTCCCAAGAAAAAAACTCTTTCACTGGTTCACCCAGATACCATAAAACTATTAAGACAATCCGACTTTCAGGTTGAAAATAATGAAGACTTTAGAACAGAAGCTGCAGGATTTGATTTGAGCGAAATGGATAAAGATTACTCAGATATTAGTTGTAAGTGATATAAACAAACATTAGATTTCAATATCTGCACGGCGAAATGTATAGGTATATTGGGTGATTTAGTTATTAACAATTACCTTTTTTTAGTTGTATGTAAAAACTAATCGGTTTTAGCGAGAGATAGATATAAGAAAAAAAATTCAGAGGGCTAAAAAATGCCTGATTTGCCAGACTGTTCATATAAAGTAACTGCATCTAGATTTCGTTTCTTCCTCGAATTATTTAACAAAATTTTATCATTTTGAATGAATAAAATAGACCGCACAAATGATAAAATGATTTTGCCTCCCCTAGATACTCTGCGAATCAGAAACGAAAATATATGGGAAAACGGTGACTAAGAAAGCTACAGCACTTACCGTCGTTATCTTTATTCGATGTAGGCGTGCACATGTTGACCACGGCGTGGAAGATATTCCTATTGCCGTCGCACCGCTCCGTCAAAATGGTGGGCCTCGCGATGGTATTAATTTCTGCGAGAGACGAAAAAAACACGTTTTCCTGTAAATTCGTAACCGTGGGGTCGACGAGAAACCTACTACCGTCGCTGTCGAGCTGCGCAAGCACCTGCCTCACGCCGTCCACGTCGCACTTGAGTATTTTCGGCATCAGCAACTGTTGCTCGAGGGCGAACACCAAAATGGCCACCTGATTTTTCATGTTGACGTTAGTGCCGGTCAGGGCCAGCGTCCCCGCGGCTAGACACTTCACCGGCGGCAGATCTAAAAACTGCGGGTCCCTGATCGCTTCCGCGCAGTCCTTGGCAATGGGATAGATGGTGTTGTTGCCGTCGCGCAACACCAAGACCGTTTCGGTGCTCTGAAAATAGAGCCCAGACCATACCGTCCATAAAACCACATTATCGTTCATCTATTTATTAATGCTATTTTGATTTTCCATTTTAACAATTAAATAACTATTATGGATACTATCCCACTTTTTCGATCTAGTAGATCCCTCTGGATTGGACGAAATCCAAGCATTTAGCAGATCATTTGTCTAATGAAGGAAGTGAAGCCAGGTTTTCCAAGAGGTACTCAAACAAACCTAAGGTTGTATGCCATTTAAAAAGTGGACGAGCAGGACATCACAAATTACAAACCAATGTCGGTGTTATTCTCAGTGTCTAAGGTTTTTGAAAAAGAGATTCATCCTAGAGCAATAAATCATTTTAGTATGGATGATATATTAAATAACCTCCAATTTAGATTTATACCCAAGAAACCTAGTGATTGGCAATATTAAATTTAATACAATAAATTAATAAAAACCTTGATAAGAATCTTAAAGTTGCTGGTATATATTTTCATTTGTCTAAAGCATTATGGATCATCACTGATATTGATCGCGGAGCATAATGAAATGTGTGAGTAAAGAAAAAGAAAAAGTAAAAAAAAAACTTAAAAAAAACATATTTTAGTTTAAAAAATACACATTTCATTACGGAGAAGAAAGATTTATAGGCTGGTGCGATGGAAATATTAAGGACTCAGAAGCAATTAAGGCATTAGAACGTTACTTAGGTACATTCGAGCGCTGAAAAATGCCAACACTTGTAAAGAACAAGTTTATCAATGTTTTAAAATTAACGTCCTACGTCAAAGCAAAGCTTTGTCATATTTTGTTTTTACCAGCGATAAACATTATTATTTTTTATTAAAACTAATTAAAAAGATATAAACAAAATTTCGTTCAAAGAGTGGGCAAATTTCTGGTCAAGGATATATGTTTTTATGGTCAACTACAAGTTTCAAAAATACTAAAAAGCCTTGAGCCGTTTGGGTTATGAATATCACGCCCTCTTGGTCATTGTAAACGCGCAGCCCTACTCTTAAACCTTTTGGTTTATGAATGCCACGCCCACTTGGCCAATGTAAACACGCGACTTAACCCTTAAGCCTTCTGGTTTATGAATGTCACGCCCTTTTGGCCACTGTAAACACGCAGTCCACCCTTAAGCTTTGATTTATGAGTATTTATTGGCTCTATCACCATTAACAATTTGCGAAATAAGGCAACTCATTTCATCGTAGTCTAGACTACTACTAGAGCCTTCGGCTGAACCAACCAGTGTTACGAATGGCGTCTTACAATTCCGAAAGCACAACAAGGGGTACCTACCTCTCCGGCGCAGGTCAAATTGATGTAGGAAGGGTACAGGCCCATGAACGCGGCCGTGTCGCTCGGGAACGCGTTATCCTGCTCAACGCGGCCGCTGCTGATGTTGATGATGACGTAACTCAGTTTGGAACCATTCCTGACCACCGCGTGGACTCCCTGTCCGTCGACCGCAATTGTCAATATCTGACCGACATTCTCGGAGACCTGGATACGTCGCGGCATGCGTTGGAAACAGTCGGGCACCCGCGAGTTCGAAGACGATTTTATCACCTTGAAAAACGAAAATGGATACTTCAGGTCAGACCCATTGCCATGACGTTTTCTTTTTCTCAATGGCGAAGCAGAAATATTCAGAAAGACTAATCGATAAAATCACGGTTCTTGTCAACGGTTAGCGATATTCATCATTTGATTGCTCTACCGCTAGCTTTCTATATACAGAGTGCTATTTTAATCATATCACATAATCGAATTACTGAAACTGGAGCCCACTGATACTGACTCAATATTTTGTTTGGTCCAAATCGGATAAGAAAATTTCGTAATCTCACCCGGTCCAACAGGACTAACACCGCGACATGCCCGGTTGCGGTCACTGTCATTGTCAACGTTGCCAAATAACAGAATCATGTTTACTGTTTAGGTTGGGATTGGATTTACATCTAATGGCCACGACTCCATTAGGTCATTCGGCCACCTTACGACAAGTGTGAACATAATTCAAAAATCCTCAATCCTCAAATCATCATCCTCCAGGTTGATTAACATATACAAAATGGAATTTCGACCGACAGCAAAAAACGCCCTCCTCCACTTCCCCCGCGAACTATCCGGGCCCTCAGGCCACCACACCGGTGTGAACAGGAAAAAACAGCGGGACCGACAACGTTTACAACTTTAAAACAATCACTAAACACTACACTACACACTAAACAAGGGATTCTGTTGGGACCGAACGGAGGTTAAACCGCCATGCTTACGGCAGAATCCGCTGTTTAGGTTATTTAGGTTATTTAGTCTTTTCATTTAATTAATAAAAAAGAGCAAATGAGATTATTAGACGATAAACAAGATATGCTGATTCCGAAATCATTTTTATAGCTGCATATTTTACAACTGACAGGATGTAATTTTACAATGTATCTATTCCAGAAATAGCTAAAATAAGTCGGTGGTTTCTCACTCTACACTTATAACACATTATGAGAAATGCAGCAAAGAATAAAAAATTGTAAACAAATAAAATGCCCTTTTGTGTGTTCAGTTTATCCAAGGAATAAAATTAAACGATCTTTGGCTACATAAAAAAATTAAAATCGAATTAAACCTTAATTAATAACAGGAAGCGTATTAGTGCGCAATTAGGTTAACAATTAGCCATATTTGTTTTACATTATCGTCGAAGAAGAAAGTTAAAACAGAAACTATCTGCAACTATCCATTAGGGAGAATTGCAGTAAGCTCAAGTTAACATACTTGTTTAGATGTCTATTCAGTTATTTTTTGGTTGCAAATAAAAATTTGTGAGAGAATGAAAAATACAAGTATTTGTGCATCAATCAGGGTTCATTTGAAATTATTAACAACATAGTAGTGCAATTCTCGTCAAAATGTCATATATTTCATTAATGTAGGCCAGTTTTCTTCGTTGGCGTAGAGAAAATCACGACCAAACGTTATACTTATCCCATACAACTGCGAAATGACTACATAGAGAAAGTGACTTGTTTAATAAAGCGTGTAAAACTTTTCAATGCATTCTCTTTTGGAAATTGTGAATTCTCGAGTGGTTAGTGACACTCTGACCTCCCTGTCCCTTAACTTTATCTTTCTTTCTACTACTACCCTCAATCTTTCCCTTAATTATTAGTTGCAGCAGTTCATACTGCGTATTCCTCATCACATATACCAGGAACTAGACTAGTTTTTTTTTTATTTTTAATGATATTTAAGAGTTGTCTGTTCTTATTTATAAGTTTCAGTACCTTTTTATTCATTGCTCAAGCTATCCACACTATTTTAACATTGCGGCGATACCAACACATCTCAAATTTTGTTTAGAGAATTAACTGTGAGAGTTCAGCTATTTGCAAAATAAAGCAGCATTGAACACAAAATTGAGCCTGACACAAATATCAATGTCCGAACACGTAAGCACCCTCCTAAATTTTATGAAGGCTTGAGGAGCTTATTCTATGCGTCATTTCTGAATAAATATTACTCCTCTCTTAATTAGGATTTATTTATTGGCATACATGTTTTCTATGATTATAAGAGTTTTGTACTAGTACTCGCATTTTCTTGCATTGGTTTTCTTTGGTAGAAGAATGAACGTGGAGGATAGCCACTGCTTGGGGTAGTGCTCTGTCTCATAAATGATGTTAAATATCTCATGAAGCGCTGCAATACCTGTTTTATCTAAATGTTTGAGTAGTTCTGATGGTAATTTATCTGAACGAGCAGCTTTATTGTTTTCTGATTGCTTTTTCCACTTGTTTGTTGGGTGTACACAGAACATAGGTATAAAGGTTTTTTGTGACTACTTTTTAGGGGAAGGTCCGTCAGAAGCAAACACGAAGATCATTCAATCCTTTCTTTTTTTATAGTTCGATGTATTAAACTAAACTAATATTATTTAGGGTTTGAATTTATGAGATTAATGTTCCTTTCTGGCATTAGTTCTTTTTATATGTAAGCTTATTAACCTCAGGGTTGCAAGATTTAGCAAACCTTATCGCCTGTCTTAATGCTGTCATTTCTTTATCCTGCCGAAAGATTGAGCGCAATTTTATAAGAATTTCTTGGAGCAATTTTTCCAGAATGTCAGGCAGCAACGGAGTATTTTTGCAATTAGTCCTTTGATCATTCATTAAATTCTATGATGTTATTTCAATACCACTCTGCATTTCAAATTTGGTTAGTTAAGTTTACCTGGAGATCATCTTTTCTCATCAGGCGGCAATCTTGAAATATGTCATCGGCGTCCTTCGTGTCGCGGTCGCGCGCGTGCGCAGACGGGAACCGGACCGCAGCGTACGCGCCGTCCACCTTGAGGACCCGACCGGTTGGCACGCTGCGCACGTCCTCAACGAATATGACGTCCCGCAGGTGCCACTCCTCTTCCTCTTTGCGCTGATCACTGTTGATATCTGACACTGTAACCACCAGCCTCTTCTGACGCTCTGCGAAGCACAAGAAATACGCGTTGAAAAATCGCCGCGCGAGATGCGCAAATTCACTTTCTCGTCGATTATTTCGTCAGAAAGACTAATCAACAATCATGGAAAGTCAAGTTGAGCTGTTTTCATCAGTTTATCGGAAGCGTGAGACGTTTGTCACGATGTAAAATGTTACAGTTAGTTAAAAATAACGGTTCTGACTAATTCAACTGATTTTGCTAAATAACAATGATTGCTAATAAACGGTATTCTGGCTCTCCAGTTATATCCATATCAATTTCCAAGTTGACAAAGCAAACTAAACAAAACTAATCTTATTGCTAAATTAGCAACCATATTTATAGCAAGTTTATTGGCTCCTCTCTGTTGCTGCAAATTTTTAGGCCTGTTGCATTTGAAAATGTGAAAAATCATTAAGTACAAGTTTTAGTTCATTTGTAGAGGAAGGAGAATAAAAAGTTTAAGTTATTTTGACTTAAAGAGACCACTCAAGAATAATCGTGTATATTTCGGTCAGAGCAGTTGTGCCGTTACGTCACGTACAGTGACGTAATAAAATATGATCCGTACGTCTAAGGTATATTGCTAGCATTTTTAAAAGCTCACAAACTAAATTCCTGTATCAGTTTACGACATCCAGTAATGAACCAAATAAAGATGTCATGCTATAATGTAACTGCACAATTGCTCTTATTGGACTTTATATTGGACACTGTATTACCTTTTGTGTTTCAATTTCAATTTAAATTCACCCCAAGTGACCACTTAAAGATTAGTCAACCTGCATCCATTTCAATATTAAAGCTAAATTAGAACAATTTAAAAAATATTTTAGCAGACAAACAGAAAATCTAAAGTAAGAAAAACGTCTAAACTTAAACGGAAACAATTAATAATAATAAATTCTTTATTTTTTGACACAGTGACAATACATAATACTATTCCAGAAGAAAGAGACGGTAGCCAACTAAGTTGCTCTAATAGAACGTCCCAAGAAAAGAAAGGAAAAAGGAAAAAACGAGAAAGAAAACTCACTAATGAAAGAAAAATTACAAACTAGGTATTTAAAGACAAAAAAATTAAGCATATTATTTTCGATCTCTGGGTTATATATATCGCAAAGGCAACGAGGTACAGTATTAGGGGAACAGTTGAAATTTTGAATTATTATGGTGACGTACTTGTTATCTTGAAATTTAAAACTCAGTTTCTACAAAAGCTTCTAATGTTAAATACGCGAACACTGTTTCAAAGCTGAAACCAATTCAAATATTTTTTTAATGTCTTTTCTTGATCTGCTGATCCACCAAGTGGATTTGCTAACATTTGCAACGATATAACTTTTTATATCATTAAATAGTCCAATAAGAGCTTAACTATCCAGTGAAAACTGTATCTGTACATCTTTATCCGAACCTAAAATATGAATAACAAGGCGTAGTAATGTCAGCTACTGGGCAATGACGTGCCAATCAAAGGTAACATAAAAAAAAGTTAACCATAAAAACAAAATTTTGTTTTGATTTTAAATAACATTTGACATCCTAAATAGCAAATTAGCGTTTTACATGGTTCTGGATAATTAGATTTGAATAACAACCCATAAAGTGCAATTTTTTCCAAAATCCACCTTTCACCTTTCAAACTGGTAACATTGGGTTGTTCGACTCTTATGTTACTGTCATGTCTTAGCATTTATTCTTACTCACTTGCTAGACGGGTCTACTTACTGTGACAAGTGCTGCCGGTGTCGCTGCAGGTGCTCGATGCCGGCGAAGGGGGCGGGGGCATGTCCAATCTGTCGGTGTTCTCTTTGATGTTTGAATTTTTCGCGGCTGACGCTAAAAAATGAACCGCACATGCATGTCAATAACATTCACTATGGAGGGCTTTGTAAATCTGAGTTAAAATACCAAGAGTGTTTCAATGCAAATTACAGAATAGGAATTTATCTTACTATTGTTGTTGTTGTTGATAAATAAATTATCCTGTTGGTTACTATTTACAAAACTTCTGGATTCATCCTACGTCGGTTGTTAAGTTAGTTTCAGTTTCATATAAGCTCTGAAGAAGCCAACAGGATCATTGGCAAAACGTCAGCAAGTTCGACTCAGCAAAAACCGACGAAAGAGGAATCCAGAAGTTTTGTAAATAGTATTACAGTACCCTGTGAATATTTCTTTAAAAAAAAAATCCTATTGGATTCTTTCAGGGCCCAACTGAAATTGACTGGCATTATACTCTGTACCTCCTTATATACTGTTTGAGGGGGGCGAAATTAAGAAGGGTCATGAACATTGCCTCAGATGACTGATATTTATATAGGTGAAAGGTGACTTGTGATTAAGATTGTTTGGTTGTTTAGAGATTTCTATGAATTCAAGGATTTTTTTAGTAGAATTGATTACATTCATGAATTTTTGTTTGATTCAATAAGATGTGGTGTCTGGTTTCATGATTATGTTTGGCAACTGCTGAAAAATTTATTTGTCAGTCTTTTCAGGCTCTTTCATGTTTTTTTAGCCTAGTTGACTTTGATGTTGAGAGATTTTTGATCAGCGATGTTTTGAATGTAAGGAGGGACCACAGTGGCAACTGTGGAGTTGCTATCGGTCTCATTTGCTTTATAAGGTTGTGGTGAAGTGTATTCGGTTTTAGTTAAAGGTTCAGGAGCCCTAAGACTATGACAAATAACCTTATCAACAGTTGCCAAACATAATCATGAAACCAGACATCAAATTTATTTTAATCAAACTAAAATTCTTGCATGTAATCAATTCTGCCACAAAGGCAAACCGGAGACTCCATAGAAATCTCTAAACAACCAAACAATCTCAACTGCGACTCACGTCTATACCTTACACCAATCAGTCATCCGAAACAATAACCATGTCCCTCAAATATTATATAAGCAGGTACAAGCTCTGAAGAAGCCAACAGGATGATAGACGAAACATCAGCAAGTTCGATTTATTAACAACTGACACAGGAGGAATGCAGAAGATTTGTAAATAATATTACAGGAGCCTGTGAAAGTTTCCTTGAAAAGTTACCACTTCTCAAATTTTTATTATCATTTTTTAAATTTTAACCACAACTTTTTTTCCATTTGCCGAAATACATAAAATCTTACTTACATTCAGCGAATGCGTCATCGGTCCTCTTGCTGGAGGATCCCTTCTTAAACGCATCTGAAAACGAACAAAATTTTTTTCTTTTGCATTTATCTTTTGAATGCATAAATTAAATGGGAAATCGAGGTTCCACTCACATAAACCGGAGCCGCTCGAACCGGCCTTATCCTCCCGATTCCTGTCGCTGCCGCTCCCGCTGGATATATTCATAATTTTGAACGTGCACGTGTCGCTCAGTGTCCACGCGGCGTTCTGCAACTGGCCGACCTTCGGCACCCCGGCGGCCACCGTGAACCCTATCGCGCCCGGTTGGTACATCGGGTTGTTTTTCATGCAAACCTGTGACCCGGTCACTATCTCCGACTGATTAGTCGACGGTCGCAGTTTCCTGCACTTCGTCCGGTACTTTTCCCACAAACGTTTGCGCTGAAGGAAAGGCAACACGCCCCTGAAAGTACATAGGAATAGCTGAGTCCCGATCACACCCCCCATTATACCGGCGGTGGTTACCCAGTAAGGACGACTCTCATAGAATGGTATAAACTTTTTGTTTTTACAAATAAGTACAGGGCCTTTAAAAGTAATACATATCGATAATGCCGTGGGTTAAAATTTCTACCCATACTTTTATAGAAGTTCGCATTTTCGATACTTATACAGCGCCAGTCGTTTTTGCAAGATCTAAACGTGCGTATATAAATAAAATAAAACATATTTAAATCTTTTACCACGTATGCACGTGACTCAAATCGATATAAGTCGAGATTAAATACTATAAAAATGTACTTTATTCAGTATTAAATTCAATTTCAAGCCAAATTCGATTAGAAAAAAATTTGGGTTATATCGACATTGCATTTAAAATGTATTAATGTAAACGGAACTTTGAATTCGGGCTTTAATTTAATGGTCGCTGCCAGAAAACGAATCAACATAACCACAAAATACATTTTGTTTGTTTTTGAACAATATAAGTGATAGTGGCTTTGAAAATATTATTGCAGCAGACATTTTTGACTAGAACGGAATTTATATAAAATTAAAAGTGTTCACCCAGCAATAGAAAAAATAAAGAATTATTCATATAGGACAAAACAAAATCAAAACAATCGTTATCAAAACGATTTCGAGCACATATATAATTAGTATCTATAACATTGCATCCCAAAAGTTTCGGTTACTTTAACTATAAACCCTTCAGTGTCAGTTACTAGCGTTGTTAAAAATCTTACTGAAAAAATGTTACTCTTAGGGATTTATAGGATGTTCCGTAAAGACCTTATAAATCTTAAAGCACCTAATAAATATTCTAAAATTGTTAGGGAAGGTAAACCATCTTATAAAACTTATTGCCCAGTAACAAAATTAATCAAGTAGAAAGGGGCCGTTATGTTTCTGAGGTTGGGATTTTGTGCAATTATTAATATCACAAACCAAAAAATTTAGCGAATAGTTAAATTTAGTAGCAGTTTTTATAGTAATCATAATTTCTTTCGAATGCAAAACAAATAAACAACGGAAGAGTGAGATTACAATTTTATAACTCACATTTCATATTTGCGCAATTATAGTTCTTAACTGGTATTCAGATTACTTGTAATTTTATACCGGTTTTAAGGTTTTTATAAATATGTGTTTGGTAACTTACAAAACTATATGTACTTCTTCAAAATGACCTTAGATTTTATTGCTACACCTAGGTAGAATTTGTAATAGTTTCAAGGGTGTTTAATAGTTCTTGAAAGCGCATTTAAAAAATACCTTAGGTTTTATTGCAAAAACAATATTACTAAAAGACACCTAGGTGAGTTTTATAAAAGTTTCCAACGTTTTTTATTTTTATTTATTTTATTCAATCAAAATGTTTTAAAAAAACATTTTGCAATTGTAGCGTGTTATCTACCATTTTTTAATAATAACATATATTTCATAATAAATTATTATGCGATTGTGATGTCCAATTTATCTAGAACCTTCTTCAAGGCATACCCGAATACAATATTTGGCGATTCGGGAAATCTTCGGTCATATTACTATACGACACCTAGATGAGTTTTATACAAGCTTCTGTGTTTACAATTACTTGAAAGCCTATATAAAATTCTATTGTAGGGGCAATATTGCTATAGGACACCTAGGTAAGTGTAATAAAAGTTTCCAAAGCCTTTAATATTGCTCGAAAGCCCACAATAAACTATAAGTTTTTAAAAAGCAGACCTGGTAAATATGGCGACGATACATTCATAAATATATAAGAAAAACGCATTTCAATTTTTAATTTTAAGTTTCAGAAGGCTAAAATATAAAATTAGGTAATGGTAATCGAAAAGTTACCATTATAAAACAAAAAATGATAAGCTGGATGTTTATAAAATTGAAGGTGCTAGTTTCTTAGTATTAGGAATTTGCATTTACTTAGTCGATGCTTAGTACTGTTACTGTAAATAACAAATTCACATTATCCACAATTCGCGTTTTACTAACTTGCCTGTTATTCACCGAGCTGCATAACTAGATCTCCAATTTTTTCAAACTATTGATAAAATTAGTTCATATAAATTTGGTCGACTTTTCCGGGTACCCACCACCACCCCGCACAGAACCACATCTTACCACCAATACAACGCCCCGCTCTCCAAACGAGCAACAGTGTAGAGCGGACAAGTGTGCAAGGCTGTGATCCTATCGCTCTGAAACTCCGTGTAAGACTGAGCGGCGTGTTCGAGTTTATTAGAGGCGGGAGATAACAACTCGTCCAACCACGTGGCGACTTTACCAGACTCTGTGGCCACGGAGCACCGAGTCGAACAAGCGGATAGATGCACGACTTTCTCGCCTGTCAGATTCAGCGGGATCGTTTTCGGATGATGGATGTTGGGATTCTGGAAGTGACACGAATTATTCGAGTTCAACCAACTTATTACGCCAACATGTTTGAGGGTCACTAAACGCTAGGTGACAACTAAAATTAGGTTAGGGGAGACCTTCGTTTGCAGACTACTAAAATAAGTGTCTAAGCCACTCTACTTGATACCCAAATTTAGGTGTGTCCAATTTTGACAACCTAACGCTTATCTAATTAAATCAAATCTCCAAGTTGTGTAGATAATGTGTGAGAAAACATTTTTTTGTTGATAATCAAATTGAATACAAAGCAGCATTTTTTGAGAATCATCTCGAAATAATAAAACTATTGGGATCAATGGTGAATGTAGTGCGCTGAAACATAACTTGATTGGTTGTTTTCAATTGAAATTTTTGTTTAAATTGTTGCTAATAGTTTTAACAAAAGGAAAAATAAGAATAAACGGTTATATAAGCTTCGTTTTTGTAATATTTGTTAATTTAAAGTCGGTAAATGTGTCTAGGCATACCTCCGGATGCTTGTACGGCTCGTGGTCGTTCCATTTCCACTGGTAAAGCTGTCCGTTCGACGACAGAGCGATCAGCTCGCTGTACAGCGTCGCGATTTGGCAAAATTTGGGTGCCGGTTCCGGCCAAAACTCCAAATCGTCCGATATCCACAACGGACACGCGTTGTCTTTTTTCTTATGGTCTGAAGAATCAAGCGTGACGACAGTGTCCGGCGAACGGCAACGAAAGCGCACCCTTACCCGAATCCTTGTCGTAAGGGCTGTCCCTTAAAGCGGTCTCGAGCCATTTCCTCGGGCCGAAGTAACGTCGCTCCCGCCACCCGGATAGATTTTCGCGGTCGCGCTCGGCGTTTCCGCTGCCGCCTCCTCCGCTACCGCCACCGGCGCCGCCGCCCCCGTTTGCGTTTGCGGCACCTACGGGCGGCGCGTCGCGGTCCGGCAGACGGCTACGGCTCCCGCTGCCGCCACGGCTGGTAAGGAAGCTTGTTTGAGCAACGCCAAACGCAGAGCGGGTTAAAGTTAGTGGAAAGAAAAAAAAAGAAAATCCAAAGTAAAAAACAAACGAAACCCAGGGGCAAAAAATAAAAATCTAACAAGTCAAGGTGATCACGCGTTTTCGAAATTCGGGTACTGGGAAATGGATACGAAAAGTATTATGATCGGTTTAGTGTGTAAGGAAATGTTTGAGTTTAAAATCTAATCCAGTCGACTGCTAAAAAAAATTTTGAACAGCGCGAACAAGTGAGATTACCTCAAGGGGGATTTCGGTGGTGGATCTGTGTACACGAAATTACCAGTTCTATCAGAATTACACCTAATGACATTAAATCCAGCTCAAATTACAACCAATTTGTAATAATTACCATTGCAATGATCTTTCTAGTTAAATAATGATAACTAAGTAAAAGAAATATAAATACATATTTTTTAATCTACATTGTAAGGACAATGACAAAAATACATTAAAAAAAAAAAGACAAATAATATCAAAGTTCAAACACATACATAAACACAATAAATTAAATAATAAAATTAGTGGAATAGAAACAAAATTCATATTTCATCTTGCAATACCATTTTTAAAAAAATTGATTAAAAATCTGATCAAATCAAAATCTGATTCATATTTGGTAAAACTAATGTGTTTCAAAAAATAAATCAATCTTATAAGATCCCGAGAGACAACCAGAAAGTGAAATTCAGCAGCCATAATCGCCCAAAAAACGTAACTATTTTCACGTGAGTAAAGTTTTTTCAGAACTTTAGAGCTTTTGTTTATATTTAATAAATTCACAATTCTTTTAGGTGAAAAAGGACTGTCTTTTATCCGATTAAGAGGTCCACTGAAAATACACTTCTTATTTACTTTATTCACGTCATTTTTTTTGGTTTAATTAAATCATATAGTTATTAGTAAGGAGAGGAGAAAATGCAAAATTCACTTTTTGTCTGCAATTTTTCCAATAATCGAGACCTATCGGACCGTTTTCGATAGGGCACGTGTTTATTAGTATATGTCCCGTACTTTACTGCTTTCTTATATATGAATGGATTTATAGAATGACCCAGGGTAAATCCACACTATAGGGTTTTCCCAGTAAAAGCACAAAGTTCTTTGTTAAATTAATGAAATAGAACATAATGAGAAAGTTCAAAGGGGTGGCAATTATAAATATATTTGATATCGTCTACTTAAACATTCTTGTGTGCATTGTTTTATAAACTGAATTTTGTCTGTCTCTCTGTCCAGTTTTTGTTAAAATGCAGTGGATAAAGGGGGCTTGCAGTAGGGCTTGCGATGGCACCAATTTGTTTTGTAGTTTTGTTCGAAAATTGTAACCACATTTTCACATTTATTTTTTTGTTATTGTAAAGAAAGAAAAATAAATTTTGGCTTTTATAACTTACGTATTTAAGCACATTATTGGCAGCTACTGTTAATATATTCACAAAAGTTTTCAAACATTTTATTTGGTAGAAGCAGGAAATTTTTTAAAAAAAATTGTATTTCTAAAAGCACTTTCAGTTTATTGTAATTAATAATTATTAATTATTTTTTTACTCATAAATATAAAATGGATAAAGAAGCGATGAAAGTTAAATTCTACGAATATATTAACATTACTCCACAAAAAGCTAACGGCTTTCGTATGACTGCGGAAAGATACAAAACTAATAAATGATGTTAAATCCGCTAAATCTGCTCAGAAAAAAGAAAATCGTCTGGTTACTAAAACATTATGATATAGTGTATGTATGTAATGTGGATAAACTAATTGCGCCAATAGCAAATGAAAAAGTGCTGTATTATGTTACTGTTGAAGAATTGTTTGAAGTTTTATATGAAACTCACTTATCAATTGGACATGGTGGACGAGACAGAATGAAAAAGGAACTTAACCTTCGCTTTAAAAATATAACAGCACAAGATATTCAAACATTTTTAAATAATTGTCAAGTGTGCCTTAAAAAAAGGCCGAATGAAAAGAAAGGCTTGGTGGCTAAGCCAATGGTGTTTTCTCATTTTAATTTAAGATGTCAAGTAGATTTAATTAACTTCCAATCACAGCCAGATGATAAATTTAAATTTATATTGGTATACCAGGACCACTTAACAAAGTTTGTCATTCTTAGAGCTCTTAAGAATAAGACAGCTAATGAAGTTGCTGATCAACTCCTTCGAATTTTTTTACTATTTGGGGCACCATCTATTTTGCAATCCGACAATGGCCAAGAATTTGTTAACCACGTCATTGCTGATTTGAAAGGTTTATAGCCTGAATTAAAAATTGTTCATGGGAAGCCACGCCACAGCCAGTCTCAAGGCAGTGTTTAGCGTGCGAATCAAGATATTGAGAATATTATAATCGCATGGATGCAACAAAATCAAACCAGTAATTGGAGTAGAGCCCTTCACGCTGGTATAAAGCGAAGTCCTTTGGACAATCCGCCAAGGTCGGCCTTACTTCTTCTTCCTTACCACACGAGGTATAAAACAATATAAACAGTGAAGAAGATTTGGAGAAAATTCTTGAAAATGTCAACGGTAATGAAGAAAGTGTCCAGGAGATTCCACGACTTGAAACCATTTTGGAAGATGCTCTAGAATCAGATATAATCTTCAGTGAAGATGCCGGGGAATTGCTAGTGGTTCAAGATGACACGGAACAGCGTTGTTGATGGATGTGACATTTTACTTAATTCGGAATGTAATAAAATGTGCGATATTTGCACGGTGCAATCACAGACCAATAATGCCCGAGCAGAATCAAAAGAAAACATAAGCAAGCTAAGCGCATGAAATTAATTTCCGATGCTTCGCATCCTCCGGCGAAGGTAGGAATGACAGTAAGAATTAAGGTACCGGAAGTTGATAGAGGACGGGGAGATTCTCGTGCAATATTGGGATGGTTATTAACCAAACCGGATGATGACTATTTTCAAATTGGAACACGCAATGGAATTTTAAAAGGGTTATATTCCAGATTTCAGTTTAGCGTGTGTCCCGAAAATATATTAACGCCAAATGATATTCAAGACAATGCCATTGAATTACCATTACGAACTATTGCAACCAAACAGTCGATAGGTACCGGACAGGGATTTTCTAAATGCCAATGTAAAACAAAATGCACAACAAATAGATGTGCATGCCTTGAAGCAAAAAAAATGTACAATTCCAAATGCCATGGAAGTTTTAATTGTTCAAACAAATAAAGTGTTTTTCTTATTTTTAAATGTGTTTGTGTTTCAAATTATTTTCTTTCTATGTTAGGTGTTTTTGTATTTTTATGTTCTAACTATCTCTAGTGAAATAATCATCGAGTCAATAATTAATTTAATTATTCGCTAAACTAAATTTTATTTTGAAATTCATCAATTAACGGTTTGATTGCAGTTGGTTAGTAACTGCATGCATTATCTAGTTAATGCATGCAGTTACCAGTTAAAGTGTTCATTCCAATAAAATGGGAAGTGAATATATGCATTGGCTAGTAAATGTATACATTGACTGGAATGTACACTTTGACTGCAACATTTATAAAAACAACTCATTCATTTGTAAGTATAGCACTCACAAAATTGGAGACTACCTCTGGTTCTTTGGCAGATTCGGTAGCTTTAATAAATCAATTTGAGGTAGATTTCAAAAAAGTTTCTGCGAACTCGACTTGCATAAATCAGAAACACAATTAATTCCAAAACTAAAAAAACTGTCTGATAACTTTTGTAGATGTTGAGCGAAGTTTTTCCATTTTTCAACATATTTTTACAGAAAAAAGACACAATTTTCATTTGGGAAATTTTGGAAAATATTTAGTTATCAATTGCTTTTATTACTGCAAAGAATAATTTGTTAATTTACTAATTGTATGTTGCGCGGGTTGATATTCAATTGTTAATTGTATATATATATATATATATATATATATATATATATATATATATATATATATATATATATATATATATATATATATATATATATATATATATATATATATATATATATATATATATATATATATATATATATATATATATATATATTTTATAACCGCAAATAAGCATTTGTCATTGTACGATTTTTATGTTTTGCAATTTGCTATGTAAGTATCATTGTGTGTATCTATGAATACAAAACTTTGAATACTATTTTTTTTTTGTTTTATTTATACAAGGTATTCGAAAATTGAGTTCGGAAACTTGGCGGAAAGATTCAAAGCGGTAAAATAATGGTAGTAAGTCATGTAACAAAAATTCGAAATCTTAATATTTTCCGAGTTATTGCTTGTCAAAATATTTTTTTTTCTTTTATTTTTCACGCAGTAGGCTTAATTAATTCTCAACGGAATTAGCTGGTCTTTTACACAGCCCCCTGATTTAGTAAAAGTCATCATTACAAAATAAAAGTGTTTCAGAAATCTGCCACTTGAGAGCACTTTACTTAAAACATTTTTTTTATTTTCCATGTATTTTGTTTATTTAGGCTGATATAGCAAAATAGAAAAGATTACCTCAAGCAGAATCACAAATCCTCAATAAATGTTACTCTTGTTTTGGGTCAATGAGTGTAATCGTTTAGCCACAGATCGACTTATTTATTCTCGGTCCAAATACCCCGCACTTCTAATTTACAGAAAGGTGATACTGGATATCGCGATATAGATTTCTGTTACGGAAAAGCAAGTGGAAATGCAGGCCAGCATTATTAACTTGCAAGCGAGGTGCACTAAATTTTTTAAAACAGTATGCTACAAATTCAAAAGGTGAAAAAAATGTACATTTAACATTTGCGAAAATAAAAAAATTATTAATAATAATCAGGAATTAAAAACGCTAAATTATAAAACGCTAATTACAATTCATTTTCAAAATGCCATCCTTCATTTCTAACATTTTCTTATACATTTTAAAAAAACCCTGTTGAATACGAACATACGCTTAACCTGTTTCTAATGATTTACCAACCGTTTATTATTTTTTGTCGTAGATAATCGATATATGGTATAGCTGTTTCATTAACTAAAGACTTTAGTACCCCCAAAACAAGAAGTCCATCGGATTAAGGTCTGGCGAGCAAGGCGGCCAAGCTAGAGGTCCGCCAAACCTATCCATCGATGTTCAAATTCCTGATTTAAATACCCTCTCGTGCAGCCCATGTAAAATGGGGTGGACCGCCATGTGGCATTAACTACATGTTTTATCTCCACTGCAAGGGTACCTCTTCCAGCAAAGGTGGTAGTTGCTTTTGGATAAATTGCAAATAATGGGTGTTTTTTTTTCGATGTATAGAACTTTAAGTTGGTATTACTGTTCGAGATGGCGACCGATATAACAGCTGTCACGTGATTTATTCTCAGTTTGGTTTGGCAATTCATCATGAATAGATTCACGCCTGAACAACGCTTGCAAATAGTGCAATTTTATTTCGAAAATAATGGTTCTATGCGGAATACGCATCGCGCTTAAAGGTCCATTATATCGTCGACAAAATCGTCCAACAGAGCAGTTAATTCGATTAACCATAGAACGTTTTCGCACCACGTTTACTCTTATTGATAACTCGCATCCCCAGAGACGCCTTACGGTGCGTACAGAAGAAGCTATTGCTGCTGTAGAGCGTAGCATTGAAGAAGACCCGAATGAGTCCATTCGCCATCGAACACAGGAATTGGATCTGTATCCATCCACTTTATGGAAGATTTTGCAGAAAAATCTTGGTTTACGTGCTTACAAAATCCAACTCGTGCAAGAATTGAAGCCAAACGATAATCAAGTAAGGCGTAGATTCGTCGAATGGGCCCAAACGAGAATGCCGTTGTTCCCGATTTTCATAAGCGAATTTTGTTTAGCGATGAAGCGCACTTCTGGTTGAATGGCTACGTCAACAAACAACACTGCCGCATTTGGAGCGAAGCTAATCCTCAAGTGTATGTCGAAACACCGTTACATCCAGAAAAACTGACTGTTTGGTGCGCTTTATGGGCTGGTGGAATCATTGGTCTATACGGATAAGCCACAAACGCTTGACCATTTGGAAGACAACATTCACCGTGTTATTGCCGATATACGGCCACAAAATCATCGAAAATTGGACGTCCAGATTGGACTACATCCGCGCCAGCCGTGGCGGTCATATGCCAGAAATCATATTTAAAATGTATTGCCGCAAGATTATCTTTCGGATAAATAAAATCCATGTCAATCAAATAATCCATCGTTATTTTATTGCAACTTAAAGTTCTATACATCGAAAAAAAAACACCCCTTACATTGCCCCATTAAGCGATCCGTTAAAGAAATGAGGTAGGTACTATAAGGTTAACTCATATAGTCCCTGCCAATACATTTAAAGAAAACCGACGGTGATGCTTTCCTTCAATTTCTGACGCATATTTCGAAAAATTTACAATGCCATCACGACTGAATGCAGCCTCGTCAGTGAACAAAATGACATTTAAGAATTTGGAATTTTTCCATTGATTGCATAAAATTACTCTCATACAGTGCTTGAACCCTTTGAACATGAAAGGGCCGAAGATCACTTCCATGAAAAAACTTCCCAAACTGTAGAGCAAGCAATTCTCCACATTCGAAGTACTCTTTTTTCTCTTGCAGTGTTTGTTTTATACCTTGATCTCCCTTTATTCATTTATCAGGTTTGAATGACCCTCTTTTACCAAGTCTTCTGTGTATGTTGATGTATGTCTTAGCAGATAGAACGTTTCAATTGGGATAAGCCTCAATATAAAGAAGACGTAGCAAAAATGCAAATCGCGAAATTCAGTATTTGATGGTTCATCACAGTAGCAGTTGGATAATAACTCTCTAACTAACTAACTAACTTTTTAGTTTTAACGGATTGTGACCTTGACTTTAATATTCACATTTACAGCTAAAATTCGATTTGTGTCAATGTTCTAGGTAAAGTGCCCTCTAGTGACAGATTTCTGAAACACTTTTATTTTATAACGATTACATTTACTAAACCACCTGTGTAGAAAATACCACTGCGTTAAAAATAAAATTTAAAAAAATGAATTTTGACAAGCTATAACTTTTACATGACTTACTACCATTATATTACCATGTTGAACCTTTCCTCCACGTTTCCGAACTCAATTTCCAACCACCCTGTAATTATATATAGGTCTGTGGTATCAACTAACAATTATATGATTTCTGAAGATTTTTTTTTATAACATGAATGTTCAAATTTTTGATATAGCAAAAATGCATATTTCAAGTTTTGGTTTAATTTGATGCATATATTCTGAAAATTTGCATTTTTTCCGCTCCTAGTTATTAAATAATATAGTGACCCTACTACGGTAAAAATTAATGCGCCGTCTATGCTATTTTCGTACAGTTGAAAATCATCTTTCGCGCATGCTTCGCCCAACTGCAGCATTATTTTTTTCATGTTTGGCTCTCTACACCTATACTCCTTTTTGCTTCAACATGTTTTCAGAAAATTCAGCAGTAAAAATGCCGCATACAAATTTATTGACGACCTGCTAGCAGGTACCGGTTACACATGAAATCTTAAATCTCATGCATGCACATGTTGAATGTACTTTCTCAAAATGTTTTTCATAGTTGCTTTATAAGCTCCTGTATTATCAGCATTAGGTGGCCCCTATATTTCTAGTAGCTGTATGAATTAAAAGTATCAGATTGCTGACATTTCTCAATGTACCATTAGAGTCAGACATGTTTTTAATGAGTTCCCCTAATTACCTCCAAAACTTCCTCAAGTTACCACTATAATTCTACTGAACTCACCACAGGTTCCACTCATTACTATCACTGTGCACACTAAATTACCACAACGAAATCAACCTCAGGCTTAACAAACGTTAAGAATGAATTTAAGGAGAAAACGTTGAGAAATAAATAGAAAAGAATTTTATTGTTTATTGTTTTACGATCTCACTTGAATTCAAAAAGCAAAAACAGAAAAAAGTGTTTCTTTGAAATTTACTTTTGCTCATTCTCCTGAACGCCCAGCCAATTTTTGATTTGGGCACTCTCTCACTAGTATAAGAAAAAACACCTTAAATTACTAAACGAAATATTATAATGGGTGCCTAAGTTATGGGTAAAACTAAGAAAACCGTTAGCAAAGGAGAGTTCTAGGTTTAGGAATAAGTGCCTTAAAACACCACCAAGAAGGTGGCGGCGCAGGACCGGCCGACCAACAGAAATAAAAAGAGAAGTTAGTTTACTCAAATTTCATCCTCAAATCTTACTTTCTCACTCCGGCGTAGCCGAACATGTCTTCGGAGAACATCGCGTCCGCGTCAATTATAACAGAATGGTCAGAGTGAAATCCACTATCCAGTAGGGATATCAAATCTTCCGGTACGTACGAGTCGGCGGCGTCGTCGCCTTCTTCACCTTCCTCGTCGTCGCGCGACAGTAGATTATTTACGGCCAGGTTTACGTCTAGATTCGTCCTCTGGATGAATTCGGCAAATTGTCAAATTGTTTTCTGCGAAACATTCTGCACTGACTCACCTGTAACTCTCTAATTATCAAGTTTCTGCTTTTCCCTTGCAAAACGACCTGTGCCTGCAGCACCAGTTCTTCCGGCACGTAAGGGGCGGGGACAGTTACGACGGGTCGGCCTCCGCTGGACGCGCTAGTCCCTATAATGACGGGAGCGACTCGGCTACCTATTTGATCCGGAAATTTCAAGTTGTTTTAACACGTTCTAAATTAATTAATTAAATTATTATGTATAAGTAATTTCGTTACACAAAAAAAAGTATTAGTACACGAAGTTCAATTCTCTTATATCGCACGGTATCTTGGAGGCAGAGTTTTAAAAATCCCATGCACAAAACGAATGATAAGGCACTTTTGCACCATGTGGAACGCCGTAAAACTAGTTACTTACATACTGTGGAAAAAAATATCAACTTTTGAGGCTGTTTAGGGAAGAAAGACGAATACGTTCATGGCTTAACAATAGAAGAGAATTTAAGAACAGCAGGAAATAGGCGTTGTACACAACCAAAGAAGAAAGACGAATCAAACAGTCACAGATTGACTTCAGAACTGTATGGAAATCAAAATTTTATAACAAACTAAATATAACAACGGAAAAAAGGTCCGAGATAAATTGAAACATTTTTATATCTAGTTTGAGCCTGACAAAATATGATATTTCTTTGTAAAGATTGTAGTGCCATGGATATACAGACAGAGATAGCATTTTGACGTGATGCAAATATCTTGAGGTTGGCAGCGCAGAACATCACCGGGTTTTTTTTAAGCAGAATAATAATTTTATGTATTCAAAAGCATATCTAAATCAGAAATTAAACTTAATATACGTTAATAAAATGTCTTACATTATCCATAAAACAAATAGTTCTTATTTTAACAATAGCGATATGGTTTGTAAGAAATATCTTTTTTTATGTCACAATCTATAAACGCTAGCACGAATGTAAACGAATTTTTAACCTGCTCCTTGTACCACTGCTACTGCTTTTGCTTATTTTTTGTGGAAAAAGAAACTTTTTCAAAGTGAATTATGAAAATTTTAACATTGTAATATTATAATTTCACAATTTCACATTTAAGCAAAACACCTGATCCACCCCACTCTTCCCTTGCCAGATTTAAATAGCATATTTAAAATATGTACGTTTTAATTTTGAGGATGTTATGAAAACTAAAATTTTCCTCTGTATCTAAGTATCTCAACAATTATATTCTCTCTCTAGTTCTAAATAGCTTAAATAGCGGAAAACATTTTTTTTAGTTAGTTTAATCTACTCTTAAGTTCCATACAATTGCTAAGACTTTTATATACTTCATTTTTAGTAAATTCCTAGAAATAAAGGTCGAGGGCCGTTAGGTAGGGGGAACATGCATAACCAAGCATACGTAACCAAGCAAATTTTCGCCAAAATTTTGGTTTAGTAATTCCCTTGCCATATTATGTTCTGCGGTATCATCTTGTTGAAAACATATACTGAGTTGAACTTAATTCCACGTTATCCAACTCTTCTTAAAAACTTTGTATGAAAGTTTTCAAATTTTCAAAAAAAAATTACGTAGTTGTTTACTGAGTACACAACAAAATATTAAGTGTGATATGCAACCGCAAGAAAAAATGCAGTTTTGTCAGATGTTTAGATACAAGTCCCATTTAAGAAAATGTCAATTTCAATAGCTCGAAACTGAGTAACAAAATTACCAAAAGTACTTTTAAAAAATACCAAATATTTAAAAGCACCCTGGATCTTCTAACTCAATCTAAAAAAGAGAACGAAAACGAAAAAAAAAAACACTGTGTAGTTCCTATCTTTTTCAGGTGTTGAGTTTTTAATACATTCAGGCTTAATGATTTTTATTTTTATGTTTTCGTTAGTACAGGTTTATATTGGTAAAATTTATTATAGATGTCCAAAATTAGTTATAAACCCCTGGGCCTTTTTAAAATAATCTGCTTTCTTATCTTTACTGGGAAAAGAAAAGCCTTCTCGAGTTTCTTAACATCATTAGTTTCTTATAAGACTGACTTCGGTATAAAGTTGAAGAAGGCTCTCACATCCCAAAACATTGTTCTGAAAGCTAGAATCACTTACCACTATTGCTGCCACCTCGAATTGCGGTGTTGGAACGCTGACCCGGGAGTAACCTAGTGTTGGCTCGTGTTCTGCAACCTCTACCTCCTCCACCGGTTTTGTTACCGGCAGCGTTTCCTCCGCCCCCGCCAGAACCACCCCCCGAACCACCAGTACCGCCCCCGCTGCCGCCAGAGCTGCGCCATAACCAAGATCTTTTGGTTATGTAGAGGAAATTTTTGTTGTTGTTAGGTAATAGTGCGATATGGCGGATAGTGTTAATTAAAAATGCCCTTCATAAGAGTGAGTGTGTCCTTTTAAGAGTATCAACATATTGTCATAAAACCAGTTTTAATAATTTTTATGTTTATTACTGTAGACAAAAGTGCCAGATATAAAACAAAAAACATACTCAAACTTAACAAAATGTTGACACACTTTGGATAAAAAGAAAATCATAGCTAAAAAGGCAGTTTTAATAAATTTTGTAAAATTACAATCCAATTCAGGAGTATAGAAACTTACCTTTTGGAATCGATTTTACTCAGATCTAATCTATCTGATAATACATTATAAGAAATGCGACAAACACGGCCATCTTCTAACAGCAAAGCAATGTAAGTCGAACTTAGGCATATTCGTTTAACATTAACGCGCAGATTTGACAAGGTTGGATGTAAATTGTGTCCCAAACGATTAATTCTATCTGCCACTTCCTTTAACCTAAAAAATGTATTTGTTTTAAAATAAATAATTTCAACAACCAAAACTGTATAATTCAAATATCTCCTAACCTAAGAATTCCTTTAACCTAAAAAAATACGAGTTGGAACTTTATATGTATATTATAGTTTCATATTTTTTAAATTTAATTTAATTATTAAAAATAAGTTTAGATTCACTCAACATTTAAAAAAAAAAATACCACATAGATTTAAATTTCTTAATTTTTGTAGTATTTTTAATATCCTTATTTAGCTTGTTATAGAAAATAAGATGAATACAACGATAACATTGTAAAAATAAATATATAGGTTGGTTTATTGTAAAATATTGCATTCGGCGATAACTTTAAACTAAACTACTTTGGTGACTTCCATTTAATGGCAAATTTAAAATTTGTTTATTACCATTTGATTGAATTTTTTACACTAATAAAATACAACGCTAAAGTAAGTGATCGCAATGTGATTTATAAATCATGATCAATCCTAACAATGCCTTCAGCTAAGAATTTAAATCTGCACAAGATAGATAAATCCTTCCCTTATAAATGAAATCAAAAAATTAGAACTGCGATTCATTATCGTATTCATTTTATAAAATTACGCTAGATTTGGTTCCAAAAAATGTAACGTGGTATCCCAGGCGTGTGAAGTTATACACGAAATGCGGCTTAATTTGAAAAATGTCTAGCAGCACCCAAAGAGAACGTTTGAAAACGAAAATGGAGGTGATCCTCCCTGATAAAACTTAAATCAGCGTGTTAGGACTTACCTGTCATTGAACTGTTCGTCAGTCCCAGGTAAAGGATGCACCACGTATTGCAACGAAGTCATTTTTCGCACCAACTACAAAACTTCTATAGTTTTTGCTAGTCAAAGAGTATACATATTTAAGGAAAACCACAACACCTTCAATAAAGATCCTCCATGTTGGAATAAAATCCGAAAATCGGAAGTCTCCTTCTGGAATTTCTTTCTTTGTGACAGAATGGTAGCCTACGGAAAGTAGGCTGACATAATACGTAAGCCGTAACCAGGCAAAAACGTGCTAAGCATAATGACTGCAAAGTCAAGAAAATGATTCACCAAATTCATTTATTTTTTAGGCAGCGTTTTCTCTAAAATCATTCTGGGATAGCTGCTCACCTTTTATTTTCGTAATTTAAATCGAATCATATTAACGTTTAAGCACATCGTCTTTTGTGAATAAAACCTGTTGTTCTGTTTAGGCGTCGGATCTTTACATGTGTTCTGTATTCAGTGCTCTGTTTGTGGTTTACGTTTAAAATTTATTTAAACGTTATTATATATTTTTTGTATTTTGTAATTCATTGTGTTATATAGTGTCGTCGGCATGTTAAAAAACTGTCCCAATTCTATTGATGTACAGGTAAACCAAGTATTTTTTTTAAATTAACCTTTTCATAAATTAAAAAATTTACAGGATTTACAATTCAAATTGCAATGCCGTTTAAAAGTCTTTGAGAATACAGATTTGTCTACTTTTCCAATCGATTATAGTCTAGTTGCCTGCGCTAGCAGATATGGACTGTTGTTTTTAGGAACAAATTTAAAATGCTTTCAAGGTACCAGAGTCGCTAGTAGGTTTTTTTTTTGACAGTCCTGAGACGTAATTTTTTAGCAATACAAACTAAGGATTTATTGCATTATACTCCAAAACATAAGGATGTATCTGATTATTCAAGAAGGAATGTTAAATTACCCTCAACTCCGAAGCATCTTTGTGTAAATTGCGACGGCACATTACTGGCCGTGGTTGTAAACAAAGATGAATGCCCTGTGGTGTTGTTTTATACTGTCACATCATTTTACACAAAGGATGTTAAATTAATAAAAGAGATCCGACTCTCTGCAACACCGAATACTTTTATAAAAGAAATAAATTGGAATCCTTCCCTTCCCGGTATATTTACAGCATGTAAAAGTGATGGGAGCTTGGGAGTATATGAATTCAAAGGTGATGCGGTGAATTTTAATGAACTGCCACCCTTGTCTGGTAGTACTTCATTCAGTTGGAGTCCCAAAGGTATGGCGTTTTTGTAGTCAAAATAAATTTGGTATTTAAGAACTGTTTGCAGGAAAACAACTGATTGTTGGGTCAATAAATGGCAAAATTACTCAGTATAAGCCAGATTTGAAGCCGGTAAGGGTTATCAAAGAACCTCAACTTCAGGGTCAGCATTCTGTAATTCGTTTACAATGGGTTGCAAATTATCAATTTATTGGGGTCTATCAGTCAACAGAATCATCCTTAATTCTAGTTATTGATGCTCCTAAAGTGGGTGAACCCGTTTTTACCAATTATGATGATATTTGCTACAGCAATTCATCCAGGCCGCCCCAGTTTTACTTCATCTTCGAACAACAATGGTATAAATGTATTTTTTATGGAGTGTAGTAAATATTAGAATTTCTCTATAGGAATCTTCTTATGGTAGCTTCTGCAAACAGTACAGAGGTTGGTGTACTGGGAAACACAAATGAAACCTGGACCCAGTGGATAATGCAAGATTCAGCACGGGCAGAGCTGCCTCTAAGCTCTGATCATCAGGAAACTCTGCCAGTAGGATTAGGATTTGACATTAGTTCCACTGTACCTATACCATGGGGCGAGGGAAGCATACCCCCTTGCCCGTTGTTACTTCTTTTGTCACATCATGGGATCTTGTGCTGTTTTCATGTTGTTAACTTGAAACAAGATACACCTTCACTCTGCACACCACCTGACAACATCTCAGACACATCCGGTCTGGTTTACTTTATCAAACAACAAGAAATTCATGAAAATAAAACCCACCTGGCGCACTCAAAGGATAATGAAAATATAAAGCCTCTACCTGCATTAAGTCCATTTCTTTCTTCCTCTGGTCAAGCTACTATTACACCAGTTAAACCTCAACAATCTGCTCAACTATTTGGAGGTCAAGCCACGATTACACCCCTTAAACCACAGCTGTCAATTTCGGTAAATAAGCCACTTGAATCTGCAGCTGTTATGCCTACTCCAACAAATACAACTACAGAAAAATATTCCGCTATATTCTCAGCATTGAAAACTACAGCTGCTGGACCTCCACAGCCGAAACCAACTGCTATTTCCACAAAACCCGCAATTGTTCAGCAAGAAGAGGTGAAACCCAGTTCTGTGGCTCCAACATCCCTTAAAGGGGAAGATCAACTCATCGACCCCAAACTTAAAGCTGAAAACAATGCTATGCTGACCCAAATGATCAAAGAGGAAACTACTTACTTAGAGTCGGAATTGAAAGCGATTCTTCATCAGTCTCGTTCTGTTAAAGTGACCGTCGGGGTAGATGAGGAAAAAACCTACATGGTTCAACAACTGAATTCCCTCCAAGAGTTTCTTAAAGAACTCAACACTATCTGTGTAGGTCAGAGCTCAGAGGTCCACTGTCTCAAGCAGAACCTTTTACAGGCGTGGGCTTGGTTTGAAGAGGCCAGGTCTCACTACAACACAGCCAAGAACGAAGCAGTAGCTTTATTAATGAAAAGCCGACCTTTGGACTCGCTTTCGCAAAAAAGAAAAAACGACATTAAGCAGTTGATTTATTACATTGAGTCACAACTCTCGCAAGCGAACAAGGCACTGGACGAACAGTGGAATAATTTTCAGGATTACGCCAAGAAGACCCACAGGGTTCAGATGCCTACAATGGAGGCCATATTTCAAACAATGGTCAGGCAAAATGCGGTATTGCAAAAGCAGGTAGGTCTCAAGCAAGTTTTCACGATGAATGCTCGTTTTTCTTCGGGAGTTTTGTGTTAGATCATTGAAACTTTGTAGCTATCTACATAGCAGTTCAAATCTACCAAGAGTAATTTTTTCTCGTTAACTAAAAACACCTCGAATTTGATAACTACTAAGTAAGTAAATTTGAACCTCAACAAATTTGTTGTTTAACAGTTACAGTGAGGTAAAGTCCGCCGGCTGTATCACAATGTAGTAATGAAGCTTTTCATCATGATAGTCACTGTTTGTTAAACAACCTGTATCAGTATAAAAAGGGCAAGCAAAGTATTATATTAAATATCACTACAGTTATAAAAATTGGAAGACAGATTGAGTTTATGAAGAAGGTCCCCTTTCAGAAACGATTTTTGAAAATTTTATGTGTAAAGGACTAAAAATAATACTGGAAAATAAGAGCAGTTAATTAAATTTTAAACAGATTTTCCATATATCGAAAAAAATCTCAATAAGCTTTTTCTGCTTGATGTTTTCAAGGTTTGTCTTGAGGGTAGTATGTTTTTTGGCTTTCTAGATATTGTAAACAATGTGTCTGGTAAATAATTTTATACTTTTAACACTAAACGACCTTCACCTTGAAATAAACACTTTCTAGGAATATTTTCATCTTGCATGACATTCTCCATAACTTAAGGTTACTGCTTTCCTCTTTGAATAACTCAATAAGAAATGATTAAAAGGGGAAAATGCAAGTTATATTATATATTAAGCAAAGATACATCAGAGAGATTAAAAAGGTTATTAACACGGGCTTTCACAATATATACAAAAACTACTAAAAATAATACTGGAAAATAAGAGCAGTTAATTAAATTTTAAACAGATTTTCCATATATCGAAAAAAATCTCAATAAGCTTTTTCTGCTTGATGTTTTCAAGGTTTGTCTTGAGGGTAGTATGTTTTTTGGCTTTCTAGATATTGTAAACAATGTGTTTGGTAAATAATTTTATACTTTTAACACTAAACGACCTTCACCTTGAAATAAACACTTTCTAGGAATATTTTCATCTTGCATGACATTCTCCATAACTTAAGGTTACTGCTTTCCTCTTTGAATAACTCAATAAGAAATGATTAAAAGGGAAAAATGCAAGTTATATTAAATATTAAGCAAAGATACATCAGAGAGATTAAAAAGGTTATTAACACGGGCTTTCATAATATATACAAAAACTACTAAAATTTTTACGAAAACATTGAATTAATTAGATATAAATCCAGATATCGAAAATTAGAAGAAAAAAATGCTACTTTATTTATCTACTTATACAATTAAAGTAGTATAGCCTAGTAATAATCGTAAAATACTTTCATAACTTCTGGAAAAAAAAATCCGGAAAACTTTTGCGTATTGACGAACGCAAGTTTTCATTTGCTACCTACACTATCAGACAAAAGTAGAGCAACATCTTCAAAAATAAGATATATTTAACACAAGTCCCAACATTATGATTATACATGTAAGGTATTCTATACATTAAAGTAGGATATGATTTATTGATGATCACAAATGAATTTATTTTGACATTACTTTTAAATGCGTATTAGTGACGCGTCAAAAATAGAGCAACATTTCTAAAATTTGTTCAAAAAGACGCTTTTAGTAAAAGTAAATGCACAAATATTTCGTGTTGGGTTTATTTTGTGCTAAGTTAACCATTTGTGTGCAGGACTAGTTATGCCAAGAGGAATTCCAATTTTAAAAGACCTAAAGCAAAGAGTAGCAAATGCATTTATGGAAGGTACCAATCAAGCTAATATTTCAAGACAGTTTATGTTACCTCGGTGCAGCGTATCTAGAATAATTTCATCGTATAATGACAGAGGACACTTGAAAAATTGCCAAAATCGGGAAAACCCAAAAAAACAACGGTTTTGACTGACAGGTGCATTAAAAGAATTGCTCAACAAAATCCTTGGAATTCCGCACCTCGAATAATTGCCGAAATTCCAGAAATTACGGTTGATATACGAGCTGTGCAAAGATTAGTAGCTTCAAAGTTGTTCAGTAGACGGCCAGCAAAAAAACCGCTAGTTTCAGCAAGAAACAGAGCAGCAAGGTTGGCCTTTGCACGCTGGTATTTAAACTGGACCATCAATGACTGGAAAAAAGTTCTATTCAGCGATGAAACGCGATATAAAATATTCAATTCTGATGGAATGCGACGTGTGCGTAACAACTACAATTAAACATGGTAAAGGCAGTGTTTTTTTATGGGGATGTTTCTCATGGAATGGAGTAGGTCCTATACACTTCATTAATGGATTCGACAATGGATCGATTTGTTTATAGGAAGATTATGGAGAATGTTATGCTCCCTTATGCAGAGTGGGAAATGCCGTTACGTTTTATTTTTCCAACAGGACAATGATCCAAAACACTCTTCACAACTCGTTCAACAGTGGTTTGCAGAAAACAATGTTAGAGTTTTGCAGTGGCCGGCACAGCCACCAGGCCTTAACCCAATTGAAAATCTCTGGGAAGAAGTAAAACGTCGCATTCGTACACAAATGTTTCCAAGTAAACAATCGTTGATAGATAAAATTAATGAAGTTTGGACAAATCTTCCAGAAAATGTCGCTCAAAAGTTGTTAGAGTCAATTCTGCGCCGTTGCCAGCAGGTAATTCTCAATAATGGATGTTCTATAAATTATTAAGGCATGATTTTAATTATTATTATTATTGTACTAAAATGTGTGTTTAATGTTTTTTTTTTAAATAGAATACAATAGAATACTGTTAAATACAATTTTTTGAAATAAAATAAAATAAAACACTGTTAAATACAATTTGTTGCTTTACTTTTGTCGCCTTTATTTTCGTCAAATTTTATATTAATTATTATTTAGCTTTCACCTTAAGGTACACCCAAAATGTTGTGAAAAATTACTTGCTATGCTAGCAAAAAGTATGAACCAAATTTTTTTTTATTTAAAAAATACTACAAAAATATGTTTGTTGCTCTACTTTTGTCCGATAGTGTAAGTAAAGACCTTAATTGTTTTGGAAACACTGCTTTCACCAAACATAAGGCAGCGGACCAAGGTAATTTTGGTCATGGATCAAGTACAGCGAAAGAATGCATAAATTTTGAATCAGCCCGAATAATGTGCAGTAATAATTGCAAATGCGAAAACAAATGCTGCCCAATGGCCGCACTTGTTAATCACATTAGATGGTGCAATTAGAATGGTTGTAATTCAGAAAATTTCCACAGTAAGCATACTCTATTCTACAGTTTTGATGTTTCTTTTTGACCATTTTAAATGGTTCTGTTGCCACTGATTGTACGATCACTTTATCTACTTTAGGCGTACATCTTAAAAGACATTTCAATGCGGTTGCGCAAGAAGACACCAGCAACGTCCCTCGCCCTTCTTTGTCTCGACGAAAAACAAGGGAGGGGACTCGACCAGTCCATCAAGCTTCAACTAAATCCTGATGGTGCGATTCAGTCCCATTACGACAATCTACTAAAACAATTAAAATATCTGTCGGTTACCAAGACCGGTAAACTGCGAAACCTCCTGAAACGAAGGGACGTTTCTCATGTGACTGTCGTCAAACCTCAGCTCTCCAGTTGGACGCCGAATCAACCCGGCAAAGCCAAGATGATAATATCGCTTTTGGGCGCTCAAATGTCGCCCGTACCGAAAAATTCGGCCGTCAGGAACTTGGACTTCACCCAATCGACACCCATCAGGCAGACGACTGTTACGCAACCAATCAGCGTTGCTAATGAAATTCCGCTCTCGAAGAGCAGCTCCATAATAGGCAACAAGCCAGGTAGCGCTTTCGTGCCGGCAACTCAGATGAAATCCAGCTCTGGTACGTCAACCACGCCGACCAATTCGGCGACTCCAACTTTTGCAAAGACCGGCACTCAGGCAACTTCTGCATCGACGGTGTTTTCATTTGGCACCTCCACGACGAAACAGAATATAACTCCGTCAACAGGATTTACTTTTAGCTCTACGTGGGCGCCAAAATCTTTAATAGTCGAGGATCCCTTTAAGAACACTGCTCAGCCAAAAAGCACTACCGACGCCCCCACATTTTCTCTATACACAACAACCACGTCATCAGTTTCACCGATTACTCAGACTTCATCTCTCTTTTCTAACATGTTATCTACCCCCAAGTCTACCTCATCGAGTTTGCTAAACGTGTCGACTACGTTTTCCAAAGCAACTACCCTGTCTGGCTTCAACTTCATAGTGCCTACTCTTCTTCAACCACCTTCCGAGGGATTTACGCCGATCGCCAACGCTCCATCTTCGATATTTTCAAAAGTTGCAGCAAAAGAAGTGCCTGAAGTATCATCCACTTTCGTTCAGGCCTCTGCTGCCTTGAAAGAGACCGCGACGACAGCGTTAAAGTTCCCAACCGGTTCGTTGTTTGGCACTCCTGAAGTCGGCAAGACTGCTGACACTACACTGCCGATATCTACAGCGACCGATTCAAACACTAGTTCCGCAAATCCCATAAGTGCTTTTGAAGGAGTTAAAATTTGTAGTCCTGCTTCCAGGACTAGCGAAACCACCACCTTCGCATCGTCTATATTTACGGCTTCGAAGCCTGTGGGGTCCATATTTTCCACTAACAGTTCGAATGTAAACATACCGTCGGCAAATATTTTAAGCACACTTACAACCTCGCCATCCACCACATTCGGTCCGTCCACAACTTCCGGTTCCAACTTGTTTAAAACACCCGCTACAACTGCGCCGAGCATCTTTGCCGCGTCTTCATCGACGACGGTTCCCAGCATATTCGGGACTGCGCCTTCCAGTATCTATGGCGGACCATTTAAATTTTCCCTTCCGTCTGCCCCTAGTGCCGCGACGACTACTACAGTTACTACAACGTCCAGTATTTTTGGGGCAGTAGCGGCGAGTTCCGCGTCTTTGCCTTCTGTTACATCTGGATCTACTCCAATAGCACTTGGAACTCCCACAACTTCATCAAGTGGCATCGAAACGCCCACAACATCTGCTTCACTATTTGGATCCGCCCCCAGCACACCTGTCACTACATCTGCGATCGCTGCTTTTGGTGCAGCACCTTCTCTGTCAAATATTTCCGGAGTGGCTCCCATTGGATTTGGTATAACAACGACGGCTACTACACCATCGAGTGTATCGGAAGTCACAACACCATCTACATCTACCACATCTAGTATCTTTGGAGCCGTTCCTTTGGTCGCACCGTCGTCAACACCATCCAGTTTGTTTGGCACAGTGGTATCTGTCCCACCTTCTTCGTCAACGGTACCACAAAGTGTATTTGGAGTAACTACTGCGTCTGCTCCAACGTCTAATGTAGGCGCAACAACTCCCAGCGGGATCGGTGGCGAAACCGCAACTAGTAATGTGTTTGGAATGTCGCTTTCAGACACTGCAACAACAGCCTCAAGTATCTTTGGAGGCAGTTCCCAAGAATCAAATATATTTGGTGGTTCGGCTACTAGTACACAGTCCAACTCTGTACTTGCTCCACCACAATCTACTGGCAGTTTATTTACTCAACCTATTGGAGGTCAAAGCATATTTGGCTCTCCTCAAACCTCTTCCGGTGGTTTTAATGCCTCCCAATCCACACCTTCTATATTCGGAACCACCTCGACCACCTCTGTATTTGGGTCACCTCAAACGAGCAGTACTACCACCGCATTCGGATCGACGGAGGGTAACACATCATCGATATTTGGCGCATCCCAACTCACCAGTACCCCCTCGGTTTTTGGAGCAACGACGGCAGCAACAAACACGACGTCCATATTTGGACAAGCTCCAGCGTATTCTACAGCTTCCGTATTTGGCACTACAACTTCAAGTAGTTTTGGCAGCGGTACTCAAACAAGTACCTTTGGATCTGGTAAACTATTTACACCAATTGTATGATTGCTGACTTATGTGTTTGTACTAGGTTTCGGTTCTTTTGGTTCATCAGCTCAGCCACAAAATGCGTTTGGTTTCGGTAATTTAAGTGTGGGCGGTGCAAGTCAATCGTCGGGAAGCATTTTTGGAGGTGGTAGTTCATTCGCGCAGGCAGCAGCATTGTCAAATCAAAATCCTTTCGCTAAAGCCGGAACCGCTTCAAATGCATTTACCAATCCAAATGCTTCCCCCAATATATTTGGCACTCCCGCTGCCACTACAGGCTCAATATTTGGATCTAACACGGGAGGCACTTTTGGAAGTGGTAAATCACTTAATTTACAGTTAGTTTCAAAAGTAACAAATGTTGACTGTGTTTCAGGCTTTGGCACGTCAAATACTTTCGCTTCGTCAACGTTCGGTCAAAACACTACATTTGGACAGAGCAGTTTTGGTAATACACCCTTTGGTGCGACGCAATCTGGTCCTTTTAGCACGCCCAATGCGTCGCCCGTAGCTCAAAGCGGTTTTGGTGCTTCACCAACCTTCCAAAAGCAATCCGGGTTTGGTAGTCCTCCCTCATTTGGAGGTCCGCCCGCCCCATCATTCGGAACAGCCCCCAGTTTTGGAGGGTCCCCTACTTTCGGAACGGCCGCTACATTTGGGAGTCCCGAGAAAGTGTTTGGGGCCCAGACTGGTAACACATTTGGATCGTCCGCAAGCCAACCAAATACTGGTTTTGGGAATTTGGCGAACCAAAACACCATTGGATTTGGAAATTTGGCGCAGCAAGCAAGCAATCAAAGTTCATTACCATTTTCTAGCGGGAGTTCTTCATTCTCAAGTTGGCGATGAAAGGGTATTAAGACAACGAAGTTACTTAAAAATTTGTTTATTTTTAAATATATGAATATAATTATCAGTGCCACCAGACACCAAATATTTACTATTACTCCAGTCCACCACCAGAACTTGTCCTTCATGTCCTTGGAGGTTGTACAGCGGAGCCTTGGGGCTTCTCGTGTCCCACATCTTTACAGTTGAATCATAACTTCCCGATAAAAATAAATGTTCACTATACTTAGACCATGCCACTGAACTGACCCATAAAGTGTGGGATGTGAACATAACCTTACATACAGAGCCTTCGGTCGACCTAGGGTCATACAGACGTATATGTCTGTCTGCAGAACTTGCCAATAATGTGTTGGAGAGAGCTGACCATGATGAACTAAGAAAGGCTTTTTGGTCCACAATTTCATTTTTGATGCCACAAAGCTGTAAAATAGCAATAAATGTAAAATTAAAAAAATATTTATTTCAAAAAATGTCTTACTTCAGCGTCCCAAAACTTAATAGTATGATCCATAGAAGCACTGTACAATACATGATTATTTGTCCAATTTATTGAAGATATGCATTCCTTATGCCCATTTAAAGTGTGTATAGGTGTTCTGGTGGAAATATCTGAAGGACCTTTTTTTTTCTTACTTGCAGGTTCACCATTATCATCACCATCTAAAGATGCTGACCATATTTTTAAATTGGTATCCCAACCTCCCGTAGCAAGTCTGTTGGAATTAGGACTAACAGCGACGGTATCGATGCCTCTCTCGTGGCCTCTTAGTTTAACCCTAGGTTCTATTTTATCTGTTCCTTCTTCCCACGCCCAAAGAATACCGGTTAAATCATGAGAAACGCTAACCAAACCCTTTGATGGTTGTTGTTGATCAACCCAAGCCACATCTTTAACAATATTCTTATGCTCCTTTGAAGAAGTCACTGGCTTACCATGAGGCGTTCTTATGGACACAGAATGATCATAACATCCTATTAACATCCTAAAAATTTAATACTTAGAGCTCAAACTGCAATTGCATTACAAATTATTAACCATCGGTTAGCAGTTTCAATGGCTGCAACCCAATCTTCATGCAGAATGGAATCCTCAGGTTGAGGAGCTGGGGTTACTTGAATGTATTCGACTTCAACTGTTGTTTCGACTGAAACACTCCTTTCTTGCAAATGCTCAATCAAGGAAACTCTGACCAACTCTCCTGAGGCAAGAAAATCAAATTGCTTCTGCTTCAAAAAATCTGGTTTGTTCTCTTTCAGTAGATGATTTAACAGCTCGTTTAGGCCGGCGGTTTCGATATTAGCAGGTACAGAAAGAGGAATATCCGGAACTGCATATCTGTAAAAGGTATAACCTCTGAATTAGTTTATATTAATTAATAACTTTACTTACTCGCTTTGTTTTGTGACAAGCCGGATTTGAATTTGGCTTTCGTTCGAATGCGACTCCTGCATGTTTGTGGACGATAGTTTAATTACTCGTTATAAAAAAATTACAAATTTAACTCATTCGTCCACCATCATAGAATAAATAAAAATCTCCCACCACAGAAAACTAAATTTTCATAAATCACTCCATAAAGTCAACGGTCTGTGATTGTGTTAACGTTCAGACGACATAACGTTCAGATCGTTATTTTTAGGGTCTTTTGGTTTTCCTGGACGTCTATGTTCACCGAAGTCGTCCTCATGTTCTCGGCAGTTTGGTTCGGTGTGTTAAAATGTCAGAATCTATCGTGATACTCGTATGTGACGTGATTCCAGCTGTCAAGCGAAATAGTTTGGTTTTGTCCGTTTCCGCTTAAGAATCGCGTCGATGAATTTCTAATAGGAACAAAAACACGGTCGTTTCGCGTGCCATGAGCTATGGCAATGCCCGTTCCCAACGTAAGCGGGCACATTCAAAATCAACTCGAACGGATATTAGAAGAAGCCGATCAAAGTGGCGAACTAAAACTGAGTAATAAAAAATTAAAGGATTTCCCGAAAACCAAGGAGAAGTTCAATTTGGGTGACACGGTCATTGCAGGTTTGTCCGATTTCGTTATCGCATTTGTTTTTCTATAAGAACCGCCGTGTTTCACGCATCGTGCCTACACAAACACAATTTGCATTGAATGAATTCGCTGTTGTATAAATAGTGTAGTGCTTCTTTTATTTTTTGTTGTGTATACGGTATGCACCTTTTACAACGCCACTGCTATATAGAATTATTGATGGTTCGTCTTTTCCAAAGAATGTGTAATAACATAATTATTAATTATTAATATGGGATATATTACGGTAAGAAAAAAATGCCTCTGCCGAATTGCGAACTTTACCTCTTGGATTTATAATATTTATTTTTAATTAATTAGTAAATCCCTCTTTTTAATGGCTTTTGTCACAGGTCTTTAATGAGTTTTCAATTCAATAACCCGAACGTTTTGCTAATTGAAGGAGCTTAATTAAATTCATTGATTTGCAGATTTTGGATTATATTTTAAACCCATTCTTCAGGATATTTCAGAAACGTTATTGGCTTTTAATATTCAACACCTGTAAAAGAATGTTTCCTTCTAGACGTGACGTAGATTATTAATAACAGAATTTCCATTTCGATTGTGTATGTTGACACTAGACTTTCAGCTAAAATTTATTTTTAGACTCTTTTGTATTATTCTATACATATTAAACGCGTTGGAGTTTACAATGACTTTCTTCTGAAAATTTTCTGATGTCTCATTTTTCCTTTTTAATATTTTTACAACCACAGCATAAAAAGTCGGTAAAAGCTTTGTCCGGAAAAAATGTGATAGCATTGTGCGTTTTTATTTAAATTGTACAATTTTTAACATGTAGTTGGCAAACTATATTTTTTCCACAAGAGACCGACTGCATATATGTAAGTTTTAGAATTACTAAATCAAATTAATTAAAATCAGTTCTCATGACAAGAGTTTAAGTTCCATTTATTGACAATTGAAGAAAAACTCTAATTTAAAAAAAATCTAAAATCTGAAAATAGTTTTTCTATTTTTAACGTTTTAGCCTCGGCCTTCTGTATCTCCTTTTTTTGGAGTTGTTAAAATGAAACCTATTTGATTAAGTTTTGTTTAGCAAGTTGTTAATAATATTTTCAATTTTTTTTTGAAATTTCGCCACTTTTAATTGTTTATTGATATTTCAAGTCAGGAGTAAATAATTAGCCAGTAAGTCTGTCAAATATTTGTATTTGTGAAATTTCGCTGTATGTAGGTTGTAGGTGTGGGTATTCCAAAAAATTTTAAAAATTGAGCAACAATGCCTCAATTATCAACGGATGTTTAGTAGACCAAAAGACGAAAATTGTTTATTTGACATTAGATGAACTTTCACGTTAAATAAACCTACATTAGTTTTCTGCTCACAAACATGCTTGCCTGTGTTTTATCTCGGGTTTTATCAATGGAACCGAAACGACTGAGCGTTGTTTGTTTTGGTTTTTTATGGTTTAAATCTGTTCCGCGTATACGTATTTAGTAAATAATCCGTTTTTTAACGTTTATTTTTTGGTCTTAAATCACTTTTAATAATACGATAAGGGCTTTAAGAAATAGAGATCTAACATCAAAAAGCCCCTTTCTAAAAGTACATTTAAGCTAATAAAGCCACGATATAAAAAAATATATTTTTAGTTTAAGTAGTAAATGTCAGTGTCGCATTTTTTTTTTAATATTGAGAGGGCGCTAACTAGAGTTAATCTAGGTATTAATCACTAATTAATAATATTATTTTAATTAATCAAATCAAAATCTAAGTAATCAAAGTATATTTCGGAAAGGTGTGGAGTAACAAAACTTCAATAGGTGTGCTAGGGGACGACTACTGGCGATACTACAACTTGAGCCACTTTGTATTGTTGTTTGGCATTGGTTTTTTCATCGGAACATTCTTTCATTTTATCGGGTGCAGTAGTACCACCCTGATTTAGATAAGTTTATGGGAAGTTTATGTGCTTCATAAGCATTTTACACGCAGTATTAGTATTATAGTATCACCTCTTAAAATTTGGACAAATATTTCCCCATAGGGAAATATTTCTAATATACCTTACCTTACGTTTCTTCATATTGCCCTGTGTTACCCAAAAAAATCCTCGTATTTCCTAAATATTTCCTTGAACGCTTGTATTTTTAGCGTCGATATTTTGTATAAAGAAACTGACCCATAATAAAAGTTTTTTTTAATGATTTTAATGTTTTATAATTTAATTCAAGTATAAACTATTGTATACTTAATTTTGGTTATATTTAGTTTTAAATTTGTTTTTAAGAAATTCTGTTTTTAAAATCAACAGTCTTTCATGCGGACAATAAAAATTAGAAATTGAAAATATTTCATCCGTATGTAACCCTCGGGTTTTCTGTTATATCTTCCTCAGCGTGTTAGTAAAAGGTTACGGAGATATTTCTAAAAAAGCCAAAGCTAGTGCGATAAAATTCAATACCTGGGGGTTTTTGTTTCAAATTGTCTTTGGTACTGTATATTCTAAGTCTCAGAAAGATAAAATATTTTCTTCTGCTCTCTTTGGTACTGCATTATACTTTCCGAGTACATAATTTTGTCTCCAGCAAAGATTCATCGCTTTCGGTTATGCTTTTGCCAGTCAAAATCCATATTTCCAAGTTTTCTAGCTATGATCCATTAAAATCTTATCTAGGGTGGGTATTTCTTTTTAAAAAATAAAATGGTGTACTTTTCTTCGGTATCGTCGTCGATGACCTTTACAGGTTTACCTGTACTTTTTTTGAGATTTAATTTGAAAACGACGGACTTTGACATGAAATTATTATATTTATCTTTTAAATGAATCGCTCATTTCAAAAACCCCATAAGTCAATTTTTGCCGAAAATAGATTTTTGCCATGAACGGATTTAAAATGTCAATTTACACAATTTGTGTTAAAATCCCATAAGTCGTATTAACCATTCAGCAAATATTAATACTCAGTTTTGACTATTAACTGTAAAAACCACATTAGTCGGTGACTTGTGGGGTTTTTGCGCAGAACGACGGATTCGGGCGGATTCGATGGTGGGGACGTGTGGCGCATGAATATGTTTATTTTCTTGCGGCGACTATGTTAGTCTACTGTTTACACCCTGACTGCAGTAGTGACGAAACTCTACAGCCACTAAAAAAGAGACAAAAACATCCAGAACAGAATAAGCGATTTGTGATCAAAAATTCTAAAGTTAAAGGTATCGAACATACGAATTGGAGAGGAAAGAAATTGCCGTCAAGCTACTGGACGAGATAACGTTTTTGTGTGCATTAAATTTAGGTATAGTGTGTTATAGGATAAATCTTGTTTTCAGATGTAAAATGACATGCTTTAATAAGTTTACTCAAGATGATCTGAAATTATGTCTTACTAAGCTAAACGGATTTCATTCCAAAGATGAACAAGATATTTTCTTGCAGCAACTAATTAGGAAAGGCGCAGTAAAAACTCATAGACGTCGTAAAAAAAGATCTATACCGAGAGAAATTTATTTTAAATACTACATCGTTACTTCTGGTAGAAGAAAAGTTGTACGCAAAAAAGCGTTTGTTTCTATCTGGGGCGTCACTGCAGGTCGCGTGGGTCGCTTGTGCATCTTGCAGACTCCAAAAGATGGTAGTGGTAAGCATTCAAAAGCCAGCACAACTCGTCCCGAAATTTTGAAAGCAATTCATGACCATATATTTCATTCCCTAGAAAGAAAACGCACTATTCAGGTAAAGATATTGATGCTGCTTTGAATGTAAAAAGTATGCATTGATTATTCATGATAAAAAAAAACTTTCAAGAATACGTTTTCGCTAAGGTTCGGCAGACCTTAGGTCGATACGTGCGTAACTTGTTAACCGTTAAAATGAAAAACCCTAGGTTATGATTTCATGCCAAAAAAAGCTGTCGAAGCAGAGAAGACTATTCACAAAAGAGCACAAACGTTATATAATAAAATCCGTGACATAAAGAACTTTGTAGATCTCGTGAAAACGTGGCCGACCGCCCTAACTTTTGACATGCAGAACTTGTCTTTGCCGAATATTCCGGTACAAGAAATGTTTTACCTAAGACAACTGTGGGTGATTTTTTTTAGCATAAAAAATCTTAAGACCAATAAAACTGTGTTTTACGTCTACGATGAAGGATTAGGAAATAAAGGAACAAATGAAGTGTGCTCAATGTTCCTCCATTATCTAGAGAACTTCTTGAATGATGATGTGGACGAACTATACCTTTTCTCAGACAACTGTCCAGGACAGAACAAGAACCATACAATGATCAGATTTCGTTTGGCTTTGACAGGCACTGGCAGATATTCAAAAATAACACATTTTTTCCCAATATAAGGGGACACTCCTTGCCCAATGACCAAGATTTTGGTTTTGCAAAAGGTTAAAAAGGTTGACCGGGTATACCCGCCTGATCAATATTATTCTATGATGAGCGAAGCCAGCGACAAATTTGCTGTATTTATGTGGTCAACTTCTCAAATTTTGGAATTCTCAAAGTGGTGGCCCACTTATTATAAGAAAACTTGCCTGTCTGATGAAAGTTTTAGAAACAAAGTTCCAAAAGAACTGAAACAGAGCTTTTCACCCTCTACTTTTAACACACTTTTCAACTATCCAGGAATAAATCGGCTCCTATTTGTTTGCCAGCTCTACAAACTTACCCGAACGGAAATGTTGCCCTAAACGCTAAGAAAATCGGAAACTATCAAACGGGTGAAGAGTAGCATACCTTCAGAGTATATGCAATTTTATGAGAAAAATTTTGATTGGCCGACTGGTGAACTGGCCGATGAAGACCCAAATGTTGAGTGTGACCAAAAGTTCGATTATGTGCCTTGAAAACTCATTTTTGTAAATAAAACGTAATTTTGTCTCACTTTTTAACCTAATTCTAAATAACATGCATATGTTCAGTGCAAAAACCACATAAGTCCTGAATATATTTTTTATTATATATCGTAAAAGATAAAATTTCCAAATACCATTTATCAAAAAATTTA